AACACAAAGTTCGGTAAAATATATTAAAAAATCATGTAAGACACTTTATTAACAATTATTTACAATGCCTACCTTTAAGCTTTGTTTAACACTTTTCTTCACCAAACGCCGTAATTTATCTACATACTTTTAGAGTTGCTATCTGGATATTCAGAAATACGAAACTTCATATGCCAACGTTACAAATCCTTCTAAATTTACTTGACAGTGGACTCGGGCTCCCAAAAATTTTTTAACATTGTGAGCCATTTTAAATACGCTTATTTCAATAGCTTCGACGGCATCCAATAAAATGATTCTATATTATGAAATTTTAAGTACTATTCTAAATTCCCTTACGCTCTGCGACTAGTAGAACTAAATTTATTGGTTTTCAGCAAATCTTTTAATAAAAAAGAAAATTAAAAATCAATATACAAACAAGAAAACGACAATAAGCTTGGGCAGAGGGCATATAAAAGTGATTGGCATGTAATTATTAAAGATTCAACAGAAGTAAACAAATCAAAAGAATTTCATTGTATACGTGACCATTCCAATAGACACTGCCCACATTCTTCACATAAAGTTAAACAAAATATCGTATATGATGAACGTTTCAATGAAAGTAAAAATGAAAATTAAATATCTATAAAAATGTAATACGCCCCCCTAAGCTGCACACAAACAACAGATACAGATAAATATACAAATACAAACCTCATTGCCATATGCCATCAGATGATGTGTGGTTATCAGCGACTTGTACACGACAACCCAGTTGGCGTTCTGGGAACGCTCGATAAGTAAATTGGCCAGATGAGGTATCGACACATTCGGCTCGTTTGTACAGTGCACCAAATCTGCAAAACAACAAAAATTTAGTTATAAAGACAAGAAAAAACGCTTAATCGTGGTTATGCACAGAAATTTCTTATATGTTAATCAAAAAAATCGATTCACTAAATCTATCAAAAAATTGTCTACCAAGACTTAGTGAAACAGCAAAATGTTTACCTTAAATATTTTATAAATAAAGCATAATATTTATTACTTTACCATAAATATTGTTTGGGCCACGGAAAATACTTGTGGGCGTTGGCATAATTATCTAATAACTTGGAATAAAGTCGCACTTACAATAATAGAAACAACTAAGAAATAAATACACAAATTTTAATTTAATAAATCTAAAAATAATCTTGTGAAATTGTTTAGACTCAAGTAAATAAATAAATAAATTTTAAAAATGCTGCACCACTCACACCCCTAAGAATGGGAGAAATAATGTACACAATTTCGATTTGCATTAATTAGTGATATAGGGTATTGGGTAGTTACCAGTAGTGTTTATTAAACCATACACCAGCGGACATAATGACCATTGGGTCTCGTTATAAAACGAACCAAGGTAGCAATTTATTGTGAATTCATCTAGTAAACAAAATGTTTAATTCATGTGTCAAAAGCATTTTAATCATTTTTTTTCTTTTTTGCGACCCATTATCGGGCACGACTCTTGGTTCTTTTTGGCTTTGTTTCTTCTTGCAGCCGCCATTAAAGCTAACAGAACAAGTCTAATCATTTAAAAACGGAAAAGTGTAGATAATAAGCGCTGAAATCCATTGTGGCGACTATCTTGCGACTCCACTCCCTTTCAGCAAATATGAATCTGTCGCAGAAAGATATAATTGCATACGATTCAAGGGGCGTTGCACATGCCAGGCCAGATGTTTCCCCACATTTTATTCACTTTGCTTGGAAAAGCTGTCGGGCGCCAGACCTCTGATACATGCATAACATAAATACAAAAACAAATTTCAATAAACAGTAAATGTGGAAAATTGATTGGCCCTTGTGAACAAACTCGTGAAATTAAACGAATACAGTGGTTTGCCTTCAAAGAAAGAGCATTGTTATTGATATGATAGTTTGATTCACAGTATTTTAAAATATATTTATTAAATCAATTGTGGCGACGAAAACTCAATACACAAATGATCTTTATCCATAAAATCATAAAAAATGTTGACAAGAAAAACTCTTCATTTTATAATTTTTTTTATAGATAAAATTCATCAGAAGTATGTTTCAAAAGATAAATTTTAAGTCCAAATAAAAAAATTAAGTTTACGAGATGAATAAAGCAAATCATTATCGTCGGTATTGGCTCAAATTCTTGAACATATACACATACGCATATGTGGTGTTATTGTGAAAGTTGATAAAGAAATTTATTTTATTCTACACTCGCTTATCGAGCCTCCACTGTGAGGAAAAAGGGAAGCCCATTGATGCTTTATTTTAATAATTATTTTCAACTCGTGTGGTTCATTGAGGTGATTCCAGTTCCTATGGGTATTTGTTTAGTTCTTTTGGTATTGTTGTTACAATGAACTACCAACTGGTTTTATTTTGAAGCCGAAACTTGTTAGCAAAAGAAAATAAAAGAAATAGGTAAAACAAATACATTTCTTTCTCTGATTCTACCTGTTATGGGCCTATAATGTGTGCAGATGTATACAAAATCCGAGGTTTGCTAGGTGTTTTTTGACTAATTAATTAAAAATTGTTCAAACATATCGCATACTGACAAGAAATTAAGACAACTTAGGTTCAGTCTTTAACACATGCCAATACATTTAAAGTTTGCTGCGACAGATGAATAGCTTGTTTATGTGGCAAGTAACGCCCCATGGTATTGCCCTCTTTTATTCCCATTTACTTGTAGCCATATCTGATGAGTCATCTCTAAAAAGTTTTGCGAACAAGCAAAATAAAAGCGGGTCGCCATGCGAGTGGAGCTAGCCAAAAACCAGATTCCAACCAGAATGCTATTAAGATATTGGACTCATACGATTTTTTTTAAACACTCCGGCTTAAGCAAATTTAGCGGATTAGGGAAAAGGTTTTTACATAAATTTAACAAGCAGTGACACCGCAAGTACAAAAACCATAGGCGTTTCAAGTCATTCACAGCCCCTACAAACACACGTGCAGCCGTGGGAAAGTGACGTAACATTAGAAAGAGAGAGCGCACTCAATAGAAGGAGAGGGGAGAGCAATCAATGACGAACGGAGTCCACAAACAGTAGCAGCTGGGGCACAGGTGCATTTGTTGTGGGTGGTGGAAGATGATTGTGGGGCTCTGCAGCCCGAATTTGGTTGCTTTTCAGAAAACTTTGTTATATATCCCACAAAAACAAAATACACGTGCAGATGAAGTGGGAAAGCAAAGAGACTCGAACTGGTTGCAACTGAATGAGTATTTATTTTACTTTTGCAGCGAGTTGTAACTGTTGTAATTGTATATGCACCAAACGAAAATAATTGGCAAAAGGGCAACTAAAAGTTTAAAAAAGATTTTTTTTGGTAAACACAATAAATTCAACATGCATTTGGATGTATTTTAAATTTCCCATTCTTTTAACTAAGACATTTTTAAAATATGGATATTTGACAATAAGCCAGAAAAAATACTTATAAATCTTTAATTGAATCAGTATAATTAAAAATTTTTTCGTATTAAGATGGTTTTATTAAGTACCAATTTGCACACATCAAACCAGAACACATTTTCATTGATAATACGATACAATTGAAAAAAGAAAACATGGGCTACATTATACTGCATTAATAAATCCAATGCAGAGCCTAACTTTTGTTTACAACATTGTGTATGACATGACATGAAATTTAACAACGTCAACACTTTAAAATGCTTTATGTCCTACGAGATTGACGAATACATTTTTCTGCCAAGGCTATGGACTTTTCTCTCTGTGTCTAAACTAGGAAATGTAACGGTGATTTTACGCAACGCGATAGAGGGAGGAAGAGAGTAAGAGCAAGAGAGAGGACACTCACAGTCCAAGTGCTTCTTCTTCGGGCCAATGCATTCCTCCGTGGTGGCCTTGCAAACGGACTTGGCGAGTCCTTGGCCCGCAAGGCTGTGACGAGCGGCCAGCAGCCTGTCGTTGATCGTTTGCCCTGCCATGGTCATGATGAAGCTGTTGTTTTTGTTGTCTTCCTGCTCCCGCACTCTGGCCTTTATTTACTTGATTAATTTAATTATGCACCCAAGGAGCAGACCACACCGACACCGAACACACACGCAAGAAAGAGAGACACACAGACACAAACGTATGGGGCCAGCTAGGGAGAGAGGTATTGATTGATTGAGAATGTTTCCAACGGGAAAATTCTGCTACGCGAGCTCCACGATAGATTAAACGGTAAACAATTGGTGAATTCAACGTCACTAGCACTTCACAATTTAACGCCGCGTTTTATGCGCTCTCTAACCGGTGCCTAACGCTGAAACGCGATTTTCAGTGCAAGATTATTGAACGAGAAAATTATGAATTATGTGTTGGAAAACGTTTGCGTTTTCTTTTTGGTATTTTCCAGGGCTTGATAGCGTTGTTCAGCAGAGTTGTATCGTACGAAAAGCTTACAAAACTCTTAAGGTAGGGCAATAAAAAATCATCTTAATATTTAACAAAAACTGTAGATATAATGTAATTTACAATTAACTTCGCAGTAATGGTTGCTGCGGAGTTAATGTCATTTCCTTCATCCCTTTCCAGCTCTTGTATCTCTTATGTAGAAAAGGCGCCACCTATGTATACACTCCCTGGTTTTGTGTTTGTAATTCAATTGGAAGGAACGCTAGCTTACAAAGATATAAGTTTGTTTAATAATATTTTAACTTTATTTTGGATGGGTTTATAAAAAAAATGATTTTAATTTTGAAATTATGTTATCTTATTAAAAACATATATGTGTTGCCGCTATTTATTAATCTTGAATTTTACTTTTTAATATTCAAATAATCATTTAAATTACACAATATTTATACACACGTAGTCTTGATGCAAATTTCATAAGATTTTAATAGTTTAGCTCGAGCAACTTACGTAAAATAGCTACATTTTCTTAAAAAAATAGCTAAGGTTGCAACAAAAAAACGTAACGTAACGTGACGTGACTTAACCCACCAGGCAGGAGAGGAGGCCTTATTTTGTTTCGAGTAGGCGGTCATACTGGTCATTAAAATAAATAAAATTATACTAAAAAACAGTAGTTAGCAGATTCAGTCGATACGTAATAAAATTATAAGATGTTGAATGGACAGATCGCGCACAGTTATCTGGAGAACTCGTGCACGCTGCTGATACCCAGCCCGCTTGCCGCGAATCAGTCCACAAAGTCGCCTCAGCCAGCAGCAGCTGCTGCTGCTTCTTCTTCCGCTGGCGAGGAGCATGGCCAGGGGGCGGCAGAGGTGTCTGGAGCGGGAGGCGCGGAGGCGTTGCATGTGGATCGCATAAGAAACTGCGATATATTCGTCGACGCGCACGATCTTTACTTCTACGCAGACGTCAAGCTGTACAAGTGAGTCACTGCGTTCAATCTGGCACGCCCACACTGGCCAAATTCCAGCGATATCATTACGCATTCGTATTTCCTTTCGCGAACAGATTCCACAGCCGGCGCACTTTCGATCTGCGGGAACTGAAGACGCTGCTGATAAAATACAACACGAAGGAGAATCACTACCAGATCTGCCTGCGCTGTCTGCCCCTTACAGCGGCCGCCCAAGAAGGTTCGGGTGGCGGCGGAGGAGGAGGAAGCGGTGGCACGGGCGATGCTGCCAAGCCAAAGACCGGCCGAAAAGATTACATTGCCACCTTCCTGCACCTTCCAACCCTGTCCGACGCCACCAGTGCCCATTTGGCGGACAAGGAGCCCCTGGTTCAGGAATGGAAACTTAAACGCATCACCGATCAGTGCCAATTGCAGCTCGACGGCCACGAGCGCACCTACAAGCTAACCAACCACTTCGGTTACGGCTTTGCCAGCAAATACAGCGGTCCGCTGGACACGAGTGAGGTTGGTGTTCTCGTTAGTATTCCTTTCCCCACGAAATAAACTTGAACGTTTCCCCAGCTGGACACTTGCCGCGTGTCGGAGCCACATCGATTAAGCCCAATCCAGAGGCGCCAGGAGCGCGTGGTCGACGAGATGAAGCGCTTTTCGCGCGAACAGTACAAAATAAATTTTGTGGAGCTACAGGTTCCGTCCGGTCACCAGAATCCTCAGCGCTACAAGCCGAAAATCTACGAGACTTCCATGACGCAGGAGCAGGCACACCTGCTTCACAACATCAGCCGGGAGCAGGCGAGGGATCAGCAGCCGTACGACGTCCTGCGCCAGAACGAGATCGATTGCGGACTCATTAGCATTCTGCTGGCCATATGCTATGATGTGCGGACGACAAACAATGAGCCGACATGCGAGTCGGGATGGACGCGCAGCATCCTCTGTCCGCTTTACTGCTACTTTGAGCAGTTCGACAATTACCGGGATGTGCTGGTGGCCTTCCTGCGGCGCATGATCACATACCCGCTGTACCGCAATTTTGAGCTCGGTCGCCAGTGCGTGCGTGATGCCATCGAAGTGCTGAAGGGCGGCCGCAACTGGCTGATAAACCAGCTGCTGCTTACGCACCAGCAATTTGCCAGCGGAGAGCCCAGTCGGGATAGCTTTAACAGCTACTACTTGGAGGACTACATCCGGTATGTGACCAGTCCAACCGCTTGTAGCGATGAACACCTTCGCCTGCTGGCCCGCAACCTAAAGAACGTACTAATGGATGTGAACAAGCGGCATCTGGGCTTGGGAGTGACCGAGATTGAGACTGAGTTGATCAAGGAACTGATGCAGGAGATGCGCATGGATGCGGGCAGCGAGAGCTCCTCCCCACATCAGCACGGTCAGGGCGACGATGAGCTGGATCTGGATAACGATGCGTCAGGGCACGAGGACGAGACTACGACTGATGATGACAGTGTCATTACCGACTCCTTTGATAGCATGGACATGGACATGCGGCTGATCGAAAATGAAATTGTGTACGAGGACGACGAGGAGGATGAAGAGGACGATGACGAGGATGAGGATGGGGCAGATGATGACGACGACGACAGCAGCTCCTCCACTACCACCAGCAGCGAGGCGGAGGGGAACAGCGTCATCGAGCAGTGCAGCAACAGCGATGCCGCTGCCAGCATCAGCACCAGCACCAAGTAATAAGCCACTTTTCCCGAGTCCGGCAAGTCCTGCTCCTGCCTTGCCCAAAACAAACAAGCAACACAACCAACTTAATGTCAAAGAACGGAGGCTAAACAGTGATTACTTTTACATTTAAAACAACAAGTAACATACAATACAATACAATACACTACAATCCCGAGCAAACATGTAAAGTTACACAAAAACCCAAAAATCTACTTAAATCTTAACTGTACAATAATTTAATGAGACGCAAACTCAAAGATTTGTTCACGCCAAATGCGAAGAAATATTTAAATATTTTTTCTCCTTTGCTCTACAATAACTACGATTATAATTACACATACAAGTAAATCAGAACTTTAGCATTTAGTATGGCATTAGAGTACGAAACATTTGAATTTTGAATTCTGAATTCTGAAAAGCGAAATCTAGTTGTGCATTTTGTATATACATCTATATATAATCATATAGATATCGATATTGTTGGTGCTGCAAGCAAAGAAACAAATAAAAAAAATTAAAGTGGAATGGAAAGCAACCCCGAAACTAAAACTACATTTTGGGCGTAAGTCACTTAGAATTTATCAGTTAATGTTGTATGATTGTCATTGAAGTCTAGACAAAAAGGTTAAGAAAACTAATAAAATGGAAAATGCATATTTTTTTATTACTCGTTGCGTTAAAGTCTTTTCATTTTGTAGTATCGAACAATAGAAATAACAATTATTTTTTTTTTAATTTGACTAATATATCATAAAGCTGACGTTGTTGGGATCGAAATTACGATTGAAACAAAGTCTTGTTAATATAGGCTTTTAATAAGTCTAGTCGCATGATCCTTTTGGATATTTGCAAGGGTATAAAAGCTTTACCTTGTTATTTAACTCAAAAATTCTATTTCAGTATTTATTTATTATTTATTGCCTACATTTTTTTAACAAACTAAAAAATAAATAAAATGGTTTCGTAAGTGCAAGGCAATATCGGCTTCCCAAAGTAATACTTTTTTCTTGGTTCAGTTAATACAAGCGTGAAGAATTAATTGTTTTGCTTATTCCTCGCTATATTTGCGGAATTAGTTAAGCCAAAAGTCCGTAATTACGCAAACATTGCCATTTAAACACGGAAACGTAGCGCTTAAACATTTCAGCCAGTCTGCTTTAAAATCAAATTTTTACGATTACCTCTTTCTGGCGTGAACAAAATGAATACAATATTGGATGTTTCTCGTATAGGGAAAAAGTTATTGTTGAAAGGTATTCAAAAGGTAAAGCTAGCACTTTAGACGACACAAAGTTAGTTTGTTCTTAATCAAGATCATTAGAAAAGGATCTATGTGTGCTTTTCGGTATGTCTCTCCGAGTGAAAGTCAAGATCTAAGAACCTATTAGAGATAGAAATTTATACCCAACGCCAGCCTCTGTCCACGCCCAAAGCACGGAATTCTCAGGTATAATGATGAAGCATTTTGAACTATTGATCAAAATATTCTGCACCTAGTGTGAAAGTCCAGTTCTTAAAAACTGCAAGAGGCACTCGATTCAGAGTTTAATTATCGATGGATCCAGTTATAATCTAATAATAACAAAGAAAGGTTATTGTTTATGGTTTTCTTTATTTATCCATACACACATACATATGCATATCTCTGTACGTTTTACAAGCTAATTTAAATATTTATGGACTGGTAATTGAACGCACCGTTGAGCCAAATATTGCCGTTGTTGTTGTGGCTGCTTCTGTTATAAAAGCTTGAATTTCTGATGCGCCCCTTAATTACGATAAGTGTAAAGCTAAAATTTACAAGTTAAACTAACTAAACTCGTATGCATTTCGAAATCGCTAGAAGAATTAATGCGCCCAGCGAGGCCAATTCTAGTTGTGGAGCTTTCTTCAATTAGTTCTTCCATAGGGTGTCTCCTTCTGTCTCACTCTCTCTCTATATACACAAGTCACAAATTGTTTAACAAAAGATGTGTGTTTTAGATTACTTAACCACTACATACAACATGGCGGCCATTACCGAATTGAACAAATTTTTTGATCTTGCGCCGGCTCTCCATCCGATTTAATCCGATTGATTCAAGATTTTCACTTATACTTTTTACTGACACTGAGTTTTTCTTCCGTTTCTGTTTCCTTCATTATTTACAAAAATCTGTCTTTAAACTAGTTGTTTGGAGGGCATCGCGAGTCAGTTACAGATCTAAGAGGTTCAGAATCATTAGAATATTGAGTTCTCAAAAAGGGCTGTAGTTGTACTTACTCATAGTCTCCTGCTGGATCTCCACCTTGTAGGAGGGGTTATCGTAGGCAGCGTCGCTCTTTCGGGGCGGCGTGATGGACGCCGTCTGATGCACTCGCCTCCTGGTGATGATCAGGAGCAGGGCCAGAGTCGACATGATGGCCAAGGCGGCGATTACGGAGACCACCACCAGGGGGCCGTAGTAATCGCCGACGGGTTGGTCCGTTCCCGCGGTCAGCAGTTTGCCTAATGAAAACCGAAGAACAAGTTAGTTTGCAATATATGAAATAGGAGGGGAAACTAAAAGTAAAGGATCGTTATGGAAGTTCAAATCTAATATTTTGAATAGCCATTTTATACAATTTTTATAATTTAAGAACTGAATATTTTTATAAGCCAATTTTAATAAGAAGGTAAACCATTAATTTCAAAATTAATGGTTGAAGTTAAAGCTGAATTGAAAACGCCAATGATATAATCTATGTAGTATATAAAAATTGATAGATATAATTTTTCTACATTTATACTATAATCAGATAAAAGTTATTGGGGAACTCTATGTTTCCTATACCAAATAGCTTAAATCCCTGTAAGATCCTTTCGAAGAAATGCAAGACTTGAAAATAAATAGCTTCTTAAAAACTCCAATCTATCGTTACTGTGTCCAACTTACCAGTCTTTCCGGGAGTGGAAGGACCACCTGGCTTCGTGATGAAGTTGACCACGTTGCTCTTCTTGGTGTTGCCGTTGGTGAGGTACATCTCCAGCCAGAGGCGGTACTTGGTGCCCGGCTTGAGATCCATGATCAGGGTGCCGGTGGTGCTGTCCCGCTTGGCCACCTTGAAGACGCTCGAGTCCTCCTTGCCGGCGTCGCTCTGGTAGATGGCGCGGTAGATGTGCACGAACTTGTCCTCCGGATAGGGCACTCCGTTCCAGGAGATCTCCACGCTCTGGGTCTTCACCTTGGTCACGTTGACGGTCACATCGAAGCCGTACACATCGACCTTCTGGGCGGTGCGCACCTTGATCATGTGTCCCGCCCGCAATTCCGCTCCGTGTCCGGCCAACGGGATGTAGTAGAGTCCGATCTCGTAGCCCGTATCCGGCTGCAGGTTCTGGATGGTGTAGCTGGTCAGGGTGCGGTGGATCAGCGGCGAGGATGAGTAGATCATGCCGGTGAGCTCCTTGTAGCGCAGCTGAACTCCGTCCACGTACTCCATCTGCTCGTCGTTAAGCTTCTTCCACGTCAACTGCAACCAGCTGGCGTTCGTCTCGCTGACCGTCAGTTCCGGATCGTCGACGTTCTTGAAGATGTCCTGGAAGTCTGGCCTGTAGTCCGTGAACGGAGGCGGTGGGGTGATGCTCCTCTCGGCCGGAGTCTTCACCGTGTACACACTGCTCGTTGGCTGCGAGTTGAGGTCGCGGAGGATCAGGGTGATCTTCACCTTGTAGAGTGAGTTTGGCTCCAGACCGGGCAGGTCGAACTCCATCTGGGAGGTGGCGATCAGGTCCTCTGGGGGGTGCGAAGATCTGCTGCTCCCAAGTGGAGGTATCGTTTCCGGGTCCGTTCGAGTAGCGCAGCTCCACGCGTCCATGGAGATTCACATAGACCTGCGGCACAGTGAACACAATGCGGATGGACCGGGGATCGATGGCTTCCAAAGTGTGAACTTCGATGTCAGGCTGCAGGTTGCTGGCAACTAGTTGGGGGAAAAGAGGGAGAGAGATCTTGTGTTAACTTAATAATTTCAAAAGGTTTAAAAGGGAGATGAGCAATATTGGGGATCATTGAATTTAAGATTGACTTTAGTTTGTGTGGAAACACTTCTCCTAATACAAAAGGTTATCGAAGTTTATAACAAAATCATTAAATAGGTATAACTTTATATATATAACTTTTCCCAAATCAAATCAAAGAAGAAAAAGAAGATACGACACTATAATCTAAGGTCTAAAATTTAATTTGAAGATTTCCTTTTTAAAGATTTAGGTTTTAAGTAAGATAAATATTTCAATGATAATCCCACGGTTTTACTCCATGCTCATCTCTAACTTAAACTTAAACTTTCAGTTAGTATTTGTTGTTGATATTGGTTAACAAGATAGATTCGTTTGGAAATCGCTTGAGTTGCGGATTAGCTGCAAGCATGTTAGTGATGGATGATCTTTTGTGCGAAATGGATGTGTTTCTGCGGGTTGTGAATGTTTTGGCATGCGAGTGTCAGCTGTTGGTTTTTGTTTTTGTTGTTGGTGTTGTCTCAGTTAGTACAGTAGAGCCCTGTCGCAGTGTTCTGTTGTTGCCGAATAGCTGAGCGAGTAGAGGAGATCTAGGGGAGTGGTTGGTGGTGACTAGAATAGTTTGCTCAACCTGACTGCTGCTGCTGCTTGGCCAACTTGTCCTGGTTCTGGTGCAGGCTGTGCTCGCTGGCCTGCGTGGAGAGTCCGGAGGTGGTGCTCGAGCTGGGCAGGATCGTCGGCTGGCGGTGCTGCTGCGGCGTCGTCTGCTGCGGATGCTGTTGCGGATGCTGCTGCGGATGGTGGGGCGGCACACCCAGTCCCGGAATCACCGGGTAGCTCTCGTAGGCCACCGTCTGTCCGTCGACAATTGCGATTCCATGTCCTGGTGGTGGCGGTGGCACTCCACTGTGCACAATGGGCACATAGTGACCAGGGTGTTGCTGCTGTTGCTGATGTTGCTGCTGCGAATGTTGCTGCTGCGGGTGTTGCTGCTGCGGATGTTGCTGCTGGTGCGGTGGTGGTGGAGGTCCTCCTGGAACAGTTTGCTGCAGATGTTGCAATATCTGTTCGATTCGCACTTGCGGCACCAAATTGTGATTGTCCTTTTGTGCTTGTCCGTTGTGAATCGCAGGTCCTTGGTGACCCGGGTGTCCAGGATGACCCTGGTGACCTGGCTGATCGGCACCCAGTATATTGAACAAATCGGACTGACTAGTGGGCACTGGCGGCGGTTTACCCTGCGGTGTGCCATTGGGGTTGATATCGAAAGGTTCATACGGATTGTAGTCCTCGTAAACTGGCTTCACGGGATTGTAGAAGCCATAGGGGCCCAGATGTTGCTGGTGCGGATGCTGGTGTCCAAATTGGAAGGGCACATATCCTCCGTTCGGCGGCAAAGGACCTTCCTGCTCCTCCGCCCGATCGCCATCGAATGTAACATCGTTTTGGTGTTGGTGTTGCTGCTCCTGCTGCTGCTGTTGCTGCTGATGTTGCTGCTGCTGATGCTGCACCTTCTTGTGACCCTTTTCGGGTTTCTCCGGCTTCTCAAAGATCCCCAGACCGCCAATCGACTTGGGTGGCTTGCCATCCAAGGTGGGATAGAAGGCTCCACTTGGCGGTGACTTCTTCTCCTCGTCCTTTTTTATCTGAGGCACTTTGTTAGCTAAACTCGTCGCTGTGGTTGTTGTCGCTGTCGTTGTTGTTGTGGTTTCTGTTATCGGTTGCATGTTGGATGGTTGGTTGGTTGGTTGATTGGTTGTTGTTTGATTATTTACAAAATGCATAGCGTGAATAACAATATTGAAATTGGTTGTGATGAGCGTAGAAAATAAAAACAAAGTAAAACGAAATTAAATAGCATGTCAGCGCGATAAAAGGTGATGGGAATGGCGGCAAGATAGTTCAGATAAGACAGCCAGCAAAAGCGCAACAAATCACTTAAACAAACTAACAACAAGTAAATCGAACTGAGAATGATTTTGGAATGACAAAGCTCAATCGAATGAAGCGATTTGATGGAAGTACTTTCTTGATTACAGCATGCGAGGTAAGAAAAGGAAGGGTTACTCTGGCATGCAAGTTTATTTACCATTTGAGGGGATCGAGGAGTGCGTGGAGGTGCCTCCCTCCTGCTCCTCCTCCTCCTCCTGACCAGCGGCTCCTATTTTGGGGTTCTGGGTGGCGCAGGTCCAGTGCTTGCAGCACTCGTCATCGGGAATGGGCAGCAGGCGGGCCAAGGCCGGATGGCAGGGTAGATCCGCCGGAGGAAGAGCCGGAACCGGTGGACAGGCGGCTCGGCACTCCACCCTTCCGTTCTCGCAGTAGCAATGCTGATCGCAACCTGTCCGCAAGAAACCACGAGGGAAATGGATGATGGAAATGGAAGTGGAGGTGATCAAGCCACGATCTTACCTGTCAGGTTGGCGGGAACCGGCGACCAGTTCTCGATCTGGACGCCCTGGTAGCTGCAGGTGCCATTGTCCACGCACCGCATGCTCTCCGGACAGCAGTTCGGCGGCGAGGGCTTGAAGTCCGCCGGTACGGGCTCCCAGCGGATGCAGTGCGGATCCTGGACGTCGAGGCCGAAGTTCGAGGGGCACTCCAGCTTGGCGCAGTGGATGCCCTGCTCGTTGCACAGGCAGAGCTGCTCGCAGCCATCGCGGAACTGCTGGCCCACCTCGTACTGGGAACCCTTGAAGGTGCACGTGGGCTTGGCGCCTCCGGCATCGCGAGCCTGCTCCTGGAACTCGAAGGGATTCGGCTCTCCCTGATCCTCGTTGTTGTTGCTCTGCAGCGGCGTTGGCTGCTGTTCATGGTCATCCAGGGTGACGTCACACAGCTCCAGCTGGCAGCACACGTCCTTGGGATCCTTCACATACACGCACTTATCCAGCCGCGTGTGATTGCGTTCCGGGCACCTTGGCCTGCAGTCCATGACGCCGCCTTCGTCGCAGTGGCAGATCTGCTCGCAACCGATCTCCAGACGCTCCCGGAACTTGTAGACTCCGCCCATGTAGTGGCAATCGGTGCGCGGCTTGGGCGTGGCTGCAATGTGGTTGGTGGGCGGTGGGTGGTGGCAATGAGCGATGGGCGTGAGCGGCGTGGATGGGACATGTTTATGGAGGGCACAGAGAACACGGCAAATGTTAAAAAGCTGAATCAGCCAAATCGATATGATTGGGAATGCAGTATAAGCTACGACTACAGCAAAGCCACAAAAAGCACATTCCTCTGCTGCCGCCTCCCAAATCCAATCTAACTCACCTTCATCCTCATTTGGGGGAAGAGTGGCAGCGGCAGATTCTTCGGTTCGCTCGGTGGAGGGAGTGGCACCCTCGGAGGCAACCACGGTGGGTTCCAGCAGTGGCTCACTGCACTCCATCACGCGACAGCACTCGTCCTCGGGCACCATCTTCTCCCGGCAGTTGGGATTGGCCATGCTGCGCTGGCTGCCCCTCGGGTAACTCAATCCCTTGCACCGCGGCTCGCACATCCAGTCGCCCCGGTTGCAGGTGCACCGCTCGTCGCAGTCCCGCTCCATCAGCTCGCCGTGCTGTGAATTTTAGTGGGGCATTAATGTCCGCGTTCTTGGATTTATAGACAGTTTCTCATTATGAGGGACTCGCTAAGTCAAACAAGTGTCATAAATCAATTTTAATTTGAACTTTACCTAAGACCTAAAGTAAATTTAAAGGTCTTACAAATGCACGTTTTAATGAACTGCATTAACTCTAATTAGGGTATTTTAATGTGAGATCATTTAGCTTTAAAATGTTGAATTTTTATACATATTTAATTAGCATATTTTTTCTTATATCTATATTGCTTTAAATTTAATTTATTTAATATGACTGTTTCTTATAAATTATAAAAACCTCACTAAGTCAAATATGTGTCATAAATCTTTTTTTTTTGTCAAAGTTAAAAGTATTTTAAAAGTCTTATAAGTAATAACCTTTAAATTGACCTAATTAACTTTTATTGTAATTTATTTAATCATGTAATTATTAATTATTTTGTAAATTGTTTGAATACGTCTTCAGAAGCTAGGGATACAGGATTAAGAAATGTCCATTTCACCTTTAGTTACACTCTTTCTCTTTTGCAATTCTTTTACAATAAGTAATAACAACTTTCACTGACTCAACAAAACCTTTAAATTACACCAATAGTCATGAATTTGATTACCAAGAATAACCGCAGCTTACACCGGTAATGACCAAAGATCGACCTACTGAGCCACTTTTATTTTTTGTCAAAACACATTTCCTCCGCTTCGCTGTGTGAAAGCGATTTGCGCAGAAATTACGTCAATTTGCACAGCTAACTAAACAAGTGAGTTGAGTGGGCTCATCAATCATCCGCCTTGTTGACTGAAGGCAATCAGGGATGAGATTTCCTGCTCTGTGCGTGGTGCTCCAATAACCAAATATGCCAGATTTCGACGAAGCCCACGCAAGTTCGTTGCCTCAGTCTTTTGTTCAAGTGGAAAAAACCTTTTGTCCGCAGTTTGTTCTTTTAATTAGCTACTAGCTTAAAGTTTAGCAGACTTTTCCGAAGCGTTTATGAGGTTCTCAGGTGTAAGAATTCACGCCCCTTTGTTATGGCCAGCAAGCTTTTAATGACCGTCTGTCGGGGGCCATAATTCCCCGCAACCCCTCCTCTTCCATTAATGACACCTAATGAGCACAGTTCTTGTGAACTTTTGAGCCTTGGCGTCCATAAAAATAGCAAGCCAAACGCCCCAAAAACGCCCACTTTGGCACAATAAACTACTGAAAAGGAAAACCGATAAAAAACTTGGTAAACTGGGCAATTTATTTGATTATTTTCTTAGCTATTTGGCTGCTCACTTGGAAAACATTTGCGGCATGCGGCTTGGCATGTTGCACGTGTCCGCCGATCGATGGCAATTTATAAAAGGAAGGAGACGATGGAAGGGGGAGGGCCGATCGGCCGCCGACAACAATTCATTAAAAGTGAAAGCAAAAATTATTTCATATCGAAGCGGACCGCAAACTCGATTATGAAAACTACAACACAAACAATTTAAAAGATTAAGAAAAAACGATATAAATAAAAGATGAGGAAAGTACAACAACGAAGTGTTAATGCTCTTTAAATTGATAAGACTTGTTAAGTGTGAAGTGCCACTAAATTGTTGAAATTATTTACATTAAAAAAACAGAGCTAATATTATAATCTTATGTCAAAAAATCTTTCTTAACTTTTTTGAGGAATGGTGATGGACCTCAAGCTCCAAATCAACTAATTGTATTGCAATAACAAAATAGCAATTTATTTAAAAATTGTTCTAGTCTGGAAAATGAAATAGGTCATGCACCACAAATACTTCAAATCTTAATTTAGGTACAGAAAAAATGAAATAGCACACTAATTCAGCTGCACTTTTAGAGTATTTATGAAAGAAAAGCCCAACGTTCGTTTAATTAAAACAAAATCAACACCAAGATTGGGGCATCGTTGCAGAAAATGGGTTGGTCAGTAAGTAGTGGCAGCTGCAGGCGTTGCTCCGGCCACAGCCACCGATCGGGAATATATATAAACACCCGATGCAGGCCAAGATATGGCCAGCGTGGAGCTTACATGACTGGGCGCCATTATTCGAGAGGCCGAGAGACGGAGAGACCGAGTGCAATGTTTGATGAACACGTCACACTCGAAGAGACGCACAAAGGCGTGCAGCAATTTATTGAAATTCAAATGGCCCGGTGGCAGTTAATTACCTGAATGATAAGGCGACACCGTTTTCCCTGTTCGAGCGAATCATTCTAATTTATATATATATTTGTCTGATGACTTATCTAAAACGCCGGCAATTGTCGCGCTGTTACGATGATTGCTGGAATTTAGGAATCGCGATTGGGAGATTGGGTTGGGCTTTTGCCGATTGTTAAAGTTGCTGTTAAACCACAAAGGCGATGTCAACATCAATCACAGCCCAGCAATTTCTTGGAATTTTCTTCCCCAGCTCGCCTTTTTCGTGCACTTTTTCTGTTAATATTTAAGGTGCGCAAATATTTGCATAATTGCTGCTTGGGCGAGCAGCAGCCGGGAAAAGCTCACCGAAAAATATTTCGTCGGTATTATTTATTTATTTTTTTTTTTGGACTGCAGCGAGCAGCTGCGATGGATGCTGGAAGTTGGATGCTGGCCTGGCTGTGACCGGTTCCATTATGAGCACCAAACTGGCTGCCATTATGCAATCCAGGTGACGACAAGGCAAATTGGAGTTGCGTGCCAGGAAGTGGGCAGGCAGACAGGAAAATGGAGGCGTTGGCCGCCGCTTTCTCTCCTTTGCGGGCATCCGACTTTTATTCTATTTTGATTTTATCATGCTTGTCATAAGGACTATCATTGTAGCGAACTTGATTTATGCAAAGTTTGAATTTGAGTTATGATGGCTGTCTTTTGGTTTGATAAATTAATAAAATAAAACGGGAAACAGAAACAAGATCTTTGGCAGCAGCCGGTTGCAAAAGTCAAACAATTAAAAGACTTAAAAAGAAATTCCAATTTTTTATCTTCGTTGATTGATTGGTTATCCGTACAGATGATAGATTCCTTAACAATTAGTTATATTTTAATTGAACTGCACTTTGTAGTGAGGTGTTAAAAAAAGTATGTAACTTAAATATTAAGTATCATAAATGTATTTAAATGTATACCCTAATTTTTTAATAATCATTTTGATAACAATAAGCTATCTAATATATCTTGTAAAAGGAAAAACATTTGTAAAATCAAGAAAATTAGGTTTTAATAACCAATGAAATAGCATTAACTTATTTCATAAAAATTCCAAGATAATAATACCAACCTTATAGCTTTTACTGTCGGCCAAACACTCGCGTTGCATGGTATCTCCGCTGGCGGTGATTTCCACGATTTTCGGCATTTCCGTTTCCGGCTGGGCAGTGGTGCTCGTGGTGGTGGTGGTGGTGGTGCTGCTGCTGCTGCTCTCGTTCTGGTCGCCGTCCATGCTAACATCACTGAGGTCCATGATCTGCTCGTGGGTACTGCCATTGTGGTGCAGGAAGAGCTCCACATCGTCACCGCCACCCGCCGATCTTCCCTCGCCGGCAAAAGCCACGAATGGCGATGGCTCGGTGGTGGTGGTGGTCGGGGCTTCGGTGGTGGAGCTGCTCGCCTCCTTCTCCTTCTCCTCCTGCTCCTGCTCCTGTTCCTCCTGCAGCATGTGTTGTCCTTCAACAATGTTAATCACTGGCCCCGCCGCCGACTCGCTGTCCGGCATTATTGTGGTGGCCGCTTCATTTTCTGGCTCATTCATATGCATGGCGCGTGCTCGCGATGTGGTTGGAGTTGCTGCTGCAGTGGTTGCTGCTGTTGCAGTGGTTGTTGTGGATGTGGATGTTGATGACGACTCGGTTGCAGTTGATGGCTCTGGCTCAGCGGTCGCCTTGTTCTCCTGGCTGACAACAATACCAGCCACAATTCCCGACTCTGTGGTGGTGGTGCTTGTAGTGGTGCTTGCAGTAGTGGTGGACACCGATTCCTCGGTGCTGGTCGAGAGCATTTGATAATCTTCGTGTTCGGCCAGGCGATCATGATTCTCGGACAGTATGTGCACATGATAGGGATCTTCTTCGCGATCGCTTTGAACTGCGGACTCAGTCGAACTGTTGGAAGTTGCTGCCGGCGTACCTGTTGCCAGTGTACCTGTTGCCACAGTGGTTGTTGCCGCAGTCGTTGTTGTTGTTGTTGCTGCCGCCGAAGTTGTTGTCTCGACCCGTTTGTCACTTTCGTTTTCGCCGTTCTCCTCGCTGTTGCTGTTGCTGTTGCTGGCGGTGATTAAGGTGGCCGGATGCCGGAAGTTGTTGAGATCCTTGACCACGTCGTCCTGCTCGTTGGAGATCTGGTTGAGCTCGTTCTGCTGATCCTGCTCGTGCTGCTCCCGCTCCCTCAGCATCTCGGTGGTGGCATCATCGCTGCCGCTGCTCTCCGCGTGCTCGTCCCGCAGCGGAATGTGCTGGATGTGGCTCTGGTCCGGCTCCGTGATGGAGAACACCTGCTGGTGGTCCCCTGATCTCTCCTCGGTCTCCTGGCGGGGCGTGGTCGTCGGCTCCGTGGAGGTGATGGGTTCGATGCTCGTCGAACGCATGCTGGTCGACTCCGGAAGACTGCTCGGAATTGGCAGTGTTGTGGTGAAATCTGAAATATTAAAAAGCGAAAGATTATTAGTAATTTAAATTATTTTTATTATTTGTACGTATATGCATTATATTTTATAATTATTGAAAGGGGTAACTTCAAAATTCTTGGATAGATTAAAATTTTTTTTTTAATATTAAAACCAACCCTGACATGGGAAATTGTTTACTGGGATTTTCTCGCATAAAGAAAAAGAACTTAGCTTACAGACAAGTTTGTTAACTTTAAATATTAATAAAACAAGACAGCCCCCTGAATTATAAGATTAAACTAATTAATTAGTTTGTTCATATAGACAAAATGTAAAAAAGTCCCTCAATCACTAGGTAGAAATACAATATTAAAACATTTATATTAAATACTGTTAAACTTCCTTAGCGAATCTATTATGCTTTCACCTGAAATTATTTCGAGATTAATACCTCTTTTTGGTCAAGTTCAAGCTACGGAAGCAATTAAATGCATTTTAATTACCATAATCTGTACGACATTGATAGATAGCCCGTTAAAGTAGTGAAACATGGCAATTATTTAAGTTACTTGGCTTTTTACAGCTCCTTCCGACACATATAAAATAGTTATCTACAATGATATAGATAAAGTTGTTATGTTTGTTTTGCCAAGTTTACAGGCAGAGTAATTGCTTGCAGTGATAAATACCATAAATAAATTACAAAATCTACATTTCATTTTCAATTTATTTTGGTACACATATAGATGAAGATAATCAGAGAAAAATCATATTCCTTCGGAATCCGTTCAGTCGCCAATATTTTTTGAGTCACCTTTGGGGTAAACAAACTATAAGGCTTTGTCCCACATTTACGGTAACTGGCGGACGGAATTCTTTCGCAATTCTAGCGGAAACCACGTAAATCGTATTGGAAATATCTCACGCGTCTCACCATCATCATCTTGGCCATCCGCAGTTGGCTGTTCGCATTGGCAACGCCATCATTGAAACGTAATTTCTGTTTTCGGCTCCGTTTTTTAGTTTTTTTTTTTTGCCGCAGCATCAATTCCTCAAAATCGGCAAGGTATTCATTAAGCTCCGTCTGCCTGCGACTTCTGCCTGCTGAATCATCATCGTCCGTAGGTCGGTCCATTCTCGGAAGACCCGGCCAAAATATCAGCCAGGCCCCATCTTTTATGATATAATTCTTGTTTCTCTTCGCTTTTCCTGCTTCTTTTTCAGATTCCGAGTTGGTTGGCTTGTAAAGCTCTTTTGTGGGCCCCAACGAACCCAACAGCTTGTTGTTCTTTGTGATTTTCTTTTCTCTCTTTCGCTTGGCCTCTCTTATATAATTACTTTTGTTTTCGGGCATGGTTTCGGGGCGCAAACTCATGTCATAAATAAATGACGACCTTAGCAAGGGGTCTTTAAGTTTTGTATTATAAAACGGACACAAAACACTTGACTTGCCCGTGGATGGCCAAGAGATACAAGATGGCTTCTGCTCGCTATTCACAGGAACATTCAATTAAAAGTTAATTCACTAATGGGAACTTGAACTTGGAACTTGATCGCTAATGACTGCACTTCAATGGGAAATGGCAAAGAAAAGGTAAGTCGAGTTTTACAAAGGCTAAATTGGTGGGAAACCTCAAGAGAATACTTATTTCAATAGTAAGTTGTGATTTCGTAAATTAGTCAATCAATAATCATTTAGCTGGGACATACATAATTATGTTTGATTGCCCTGCCAGTTAAAGAATTCCAAAAATTTCCATTTCCATTCCGGTAATAACTTTAAAATGGTTCAGCTGCAATTTTCAACGGACTTGAGCACTCGATCATCCAGTTGGAATGGTAAATAACCCTCACATGTGCACCACTGACTCATGATAGAGAATTCGGAGGGGAAAGGGGGTAGGGGGAGCGGAGTGGAGTAAAATGCGACCCCATGGGGACGGCATTTACCCAGTCAGGTCCTCCTCCTCCTAGACAGGCCTACCTGAAGTGTGGGTGGAAGGGGTGGAGGAGGGGAGAGGGGAGTGCGACTGTCATGCATGCGTGGTAATAGGCATTTAAGCGTTCCCGGATCTCGGGTCCCTAAGCCCCAGACCCTTTTCCCTTTCCCCGATTCCAGACGATGCAGACGCAACAGTTGTCGACGCTCCAATAAGAGAAGAGAACTCAAATAAAATTTACTTTGGTACTCGACGCTTTCAGGCAGTCAGTCCGTCAGTCAGTCAGTCAGACAGTCAAAGACAGTCGGAGTCGGCATGCAATGAACGCCAATTTAGCGCTAAAAATTCTTACTGGAAGGTAAAACTACGAAATTAAAATACCCTTTTAAGTTAAAAACTGATAGCGTCATTGAAACTAAGTCTACTAACCGATTGATTTTGTAGGAAAAACAAATTGATTCAGCAAAGTCCTACAAATTAATTTTTTTTATTAGCTAAATAAAAAAAAATAAACAAAATTGTTATGTGAATTCGATAAGCTCAATTTCGAAATCAATTACAAAACCGTAGATCACTAGGCTGATTGAATAATTGCCTATTAAAAAAAAAATATCCAAAGCCAATTTCTCACTATCGATTAGCCTATTAAAATTGAATGTTACAATTTCAAACAATATTTAGTAGCACAGTACCCGCTAAAATTCAGGAACACCGAATATGATTTAATACTGTAATATATCAACTTGTGTCAGTAAAACAAAATGCCAGCTGTCAAATATTTGAAGTGAGGTACTCCAATTTCCGCTCTTCCTGTAACAAAAAGTGTACCCTTTTAGATAAAAATATATATCCTCCTTAAAATTAAGGGTATGCAACCTAGCAGCGCAGCGGTCTGTTCAGTTCGTTAGGCCACAGACTGAATGGGAGAAAGAGGCCCTAGCCGATTTCTATATAGAGAGAACATCTTTATGTGTGTGTTTTATGTTTTAGCTGTTGCTTTTATTGTTGTGTCGGACTGGGACTGGGGACTGGAGCTTAGGGTTACTGACATGAACCTTGAATTTTAGTTCGTTATGCTGCTGCAGGCAGCCTCCAGCTAGCCAGCTCCATCTCGAGCTTCAGCTAGGGTTGCCTCTGCCGTTGCCATTGCAGTGCTTGGCCCTCAGTTCTTGGCTCTCGAATCTCGGCTCTTGGTTCTTGGGACTTGGCTCTCGGTGCTGTCACGGTTAGTCGTTTATAATATGCGAACTCTTCGAGGGTCTCGGCGGTGCTCCCACTCCGCCTGTTTTGTCTGTTTTTACTTGGCGCACAATTTGTCTTTTACTGTCATTGATTTTCATTTTTCACTGGCACTCGTTAAGCGAGTCCAGGCTTCTTTAATTTATGTATGAACAGATACCTTTATATATATAAACATATATATATGTATATATCCGAGTGGAACAGGCTGGAGAGATAGCACTCGTTTGGTGGTCTTTCTTTCCGTTATGCAAGTTTTTTCCCTGTGTTTTTATCCCCAACTTCTGCGACTGCATTCGAAAGACTCAGACAACGAACTTGAGTTTCTGCATCTGTTTTTGCTCCTTCGCCTCAAAGTCTTTCTGGGCTTTTGGCTTAGCATTGTTTATTATGACTCAACGGTCAGCTAGCCTGATTATGATACATATGCAAGCGACAGCGAATGCTAACCGCCATCAGCACCGCAAACAATCACCCGAGGACAAGCCACTTATGCAGAAATGCAAAACTGCTGTCCGGTAGTTCAAACTCATTTGCGGTTTTTCTAAGTCGCCGCACGTTCTGCGGCTCCGGCAAACAAACAAATGAACAGACAGTTGTTCAGGGGAGTTGGAGATGGTGATAGTGATGGCATTTGGGGCAGGGGTTGTGGAAGGGGGCCATGCGGCAAGGGGGAGGCCATAAGTGATGTGCTTAGAATTGACAAGCTGCCATGGAGCGTTGCATGCCAACCGGATGTCTTTGTTAGGTGGGATACTGGTCGTTCTTCGGGGGAAAAGATAACCATCGATCTGGAGTTGATAATGGTTGCAAATGTCGGTTAAATGCGACGGGAAAAGGGTTTGAGCTTAAATAATTTGTTTAAAAACGATTTAGTAACGAATTTCCTTTTTTAATCATTATAATTATTTGATTATTATAAAGATCAGATTATTAAGATAAAAATGCAATACACAAAAATATTATCTTTCATTGTGATATTTTAAGGAACTATTTTAATCAAGTACAACTTATGATATAAATAAATTAATAATAATCCCTAAACATGAAACCATCCATTATTTTTCCATTCTTTCCCATCTGCACATTTTTTCTAACTTCCGCATCTATATTCTTGCCGCGTAGTGTACTGTAAGCACTGAACGTGGCGAACCGGAAGGAGTGCTTCGAAATGAACCCAACCTAATGACCATGCCCACGCTTTTGATCCCCTCTGTATCCCGCCCTCCCCCTTTTACCATTCTGTTGGCCGAGTTTTGTAATGCGCAAAAAGTGTCAACAAAATAAAACAGTCAGTAGCGATCGAAGGGAAAGAGAGAGAGGGCGGGGAAAGCTTTTACCATTTTGGGTTTTGGGCGGTGTAACGGTCATGCCTCAGAGTGTGTCATGAATCCAAAATACGCATATGGCCGTAGATTCGAGTATATAACCGTATTATGCAGCTGTTGGCTGTGGTCCGGTTTTAGTGTCGAATGATAAACAAATTCGAATTCGATTACGCAATCTACGCTGTAGCCTGCATTCGGATACATTCGCTTCTTTTCGGGTGTTAATTTTGATTATATTTCGGTTTTAATTAAGCCCATCGCTTGGAGGTTTCCTATTGTATTTGTTTTAGAAATTCGCTGATGTTAATGAAATTGGCGGGCCTTTGTCCATAAAGATGATAATTCACAAAAGACGAGTATGTAAATTTGTGAAACGAAGTGTTAACTTTCAATGCCGGGCGTGTTGAATTGAAATTGTACGGTGATATAGAAACCATTATTTGAAAGAAAGACCTTAATGTGATAATTTTAAGAATGATTTATTTCCGGATTATTGTAGAAACCTATGGTTTCTACTGTGATAATAAAGAAAATGAAAAAAGTACACAGCATTGTCATAAATTTATCTCGATTGCAGTTATCTGAACTGGCCTCTACCCAAATGGTTCTTGACTTTTATCAGCCTTTCTATCTGGCTAATGACATAAAAATGTACTTAGACCGCAGATAGGGAATCCAAAAACAAGATAGAAAGAATAGAAATTCAGAAACAAATGACCGGCAGGCAGTCAGGTATGTAAGAGCATCTCCGATAGGGTAAAACTCCGTAAAAACTACAATATCATTAGGAAGCGAAAAGGGGAAGACGAGTAAAACTGTTCGGCAATAAAGCAAAATTATTTCCCAACCCGCGGCTGACCTTTTTCAACTGGAAAGTTCATGTGCATCCAGCAACAACAAAAATGCAGTTTGACCCGCTAAGAAGAGGAGGCATTTGGAGGGGGAGGATGAGGAGGTGCACCTCATACTAAAACAAAACAAGTTTCAAATACAACCACTAAGAGCGCGTGTCATTGTCCATTTAAAGTTCGAGCTGAAGGAGCCGAGACAAAGACCTCTGGCTGAAATATAAACAACAATATGACTAAACACAACGCCACTTAGCTAAGCTGGTGTAGTTGCAGCTCTAGTTGTATCTGTATCTGTATCTGATCTCGATGGAATGACACCACACACTTTTAGCCAAGTGAATGCGAGTTGCTTGGCCGGCCATGAAATCGAATTGGAAGTGGAGTTTGGATTCGAATGGAGCCCCGCCATGTGCTTGGTTATTGTACAACTGGCTGGCTGAATTGTAACTGGTGCCAAAGTGCGTTGGAATTGAAGGTCAATCGAATGGCTCGAGCCACAAGATGATGTGTATTAATTGGTAGAATTTGCGGTCTAGCAATAACCTGAATTGTTGAAGCAAATTCACAAACAATGTTGAGAGGTATCCGACAATTAACAGAATGTATTTATGACGATATATATAAATAAAAACAATTCACAAGTACAAGCCTAATCTTAATTTTCTTTTTGTTCTTTTTTAGTTCATAGTCTGAAAAGAAAAGGTTGATAGACCAATTGATTGATTATAGGATTAGCAAGGTGTCACGTACAACTTAGACTTAAAAAAAAAAATTAAAGTCATTAAAGATGTATTATATATAAAGATGATGGATTACCAAGTAGTATGCAATACTGAGATTCATTAATCCATTTTTTTGTGCTGACTCCAATTGGATAATGGCTTTGAACCGCCTTGGCTAACTTAATAGCGCGGATAACAGTAGAACTTATTCATAACTTGTAATTACTTTAATTTCCATTCTTTTAAATGTGGCTCCCGCTCTAAGCTGAAACTTCCTGTCCACGTTCTCTCGCTCTCTGCACCGTTCAATGGCACAAATAATTGCCCCAGCACACTCAGCACACTCACTTGGCCACTAAGTATTCGCAATTAAAATGCATTAATTAGCCGCACACTGCCTTTCTGTGCTACATTTTTCCCAACACACACACATTCACACACACATACATATGTGAGAAAAAGATACGTGGAAAATTATCTAATTGAAAAAATGCAAGCCAGCCAACGCATGTCTAGACCGGGGAGGGAATTGCATGATACTCGGATACTCGGAGTGGAATTAAAGCCATTGCTTAATGCATATTTCGAACGAGTTGTAATTGAGGTGAATTTTTGCCTGTATTTTGATTTGCGCCCCTGACACAAATAGGATTGAGTTCAGACCCAGGCCGGGTTTTCACCTGCCTAACCCGTTTGGTTCTCTTCAATGGGAGGCTGGATGCAAGGTGTTTGCTTTTGCGTGGCGGTGGAGAAAGCCCACAAATCCGGCGTGGAAAACCCACTCGAAGTTCAAAGCCCAAAAGTGATGTTTTCGACACTTGAGTTCGAGGCATCTCCGAAGCTATATTTACGGGCAAAATGTTAATTGTCTCTGTCTGCACTTTCACGCGTCCCTCTCGCCAACTTACCAACTAGCCAACTTTTTAAGCTCGATGGATGCTGTGTTGAGTGTCAATGTACAAAACCATAATAATAGCAATGCCAGCAACAAAACGCCCGCCGGCTAACGGCCGACAATTAACAATCGCGGCGAGTTGTTGTATTTGTCACTCCACACATAACACTTAACGTATTTTTCAGCTGGCCCGTTGAAAAGCCTTTTTAAGCTACTTTTACTTATCGGTTCATTATAGCGGTCGGATGAAATTCGCCAGCTAATCGAGCATGAACCCCAGAGCGAAAGGTACAGCTTTTCGAGTCGGAAATCAGAAATCACGCACTGGATTGCCACACCCTCCTGCACACAAAAATATTTCTCACACTCTGATGAAATCCGTATCCTTGAACCGTTCGAGAAAACAAAAGTCTTGTCTGCCTGCTTATTTCTGTTGAATTTCTCAGTTACGCGGGCGAATAAATAAGAAACAGAAAAACAACAGCCATATAAACAAACAAGAAGAAGCTCACATGGGCGAAGCAAACAAAAGACTTAGGCCACAAACTCTGACTTGGGTATATTCCATTAAGCAAAACTTAACATCTTTTGGCAAAAATATCGACCTGTTATCCGAAACACCATCAGCTTCCCATGCAGATCGTTTTCAGTACCAAAATTCACGATAATCGTGACAGAAATATGTAAATTTCACTTTGCTATGATTTGTAAAAATAATAAACAACCAGCAAGTCCACACAATAGCAGGTCACTCAGCACTTTTCATTTTGTTTAATGTTTTTTTTTTATGCTGTACATTTTCCCTTGAAGAAAGCGAACCGAAGACAAGTTGGTCTGTTAATTGAGGTCGTTACTTCGGACTTTATTCACGTTATTGAATTTTATAAATTTCGTGGTACTTACAATTGTGAAAAAAAGACCTCGTGTATACCTAAAAATATATTTATTTATTTTTGGCAAGCCTTTTTGAGTGCAGTCCCTGACTTGCAATGCCAACGCATTGAAAATTGCTCAATAGGATTTTTTCTGCAGTTTTTTAACTCTACCCTCGCCGTATCAAGGCCATAATTTAGCACTCAAATGGCACCGCAAAACGGAAAATTAACATAAATGATTTATGTACTCGACATTCAAGTACAACTGCAGCCAGCTGTGGTGTGCAATTTTCCAACTCATTAGTGTTAGTTTGTTGCATATTTTGCCTCGGCTTGTAAACAATTTACGTTCAAAGTTTCTTTCGGTTTGGGGCTTTCCACAAAACAAGTTAACTACCTTGCTGTAAAAAAGGCCGGTAATAGCGGGAGATTCCGAAAACACCAGGCTATAAATGATATTGAATATAATTTCTTGCTAAAATCTAGGTTGTATTTCTGTATTTGTAAATCAATTGACAGTTTATAGCTAGTTTGAGTAGTTGTTTCAGTGGCTGTAACTATAACACAAAACCAGTTAGTCAACTGGCCAAAGTCTTACCCAATAACTGATTTGTAAATATATGTATTTGTTTTAATTATATAATCTAAAACCCCAATACGCTATCTACCCACTTGCAGCCTAGTAAACCATAAGATTGCCTCACACTCAGTTTCCAATCTAATCAGGTGCGGTTTCTTCACAAAGATTGTAGGTGTTTCATTAATCAAATGTGTCAATGACTAATTGCCATTTATCTTCCTTTAGCTAATTTGCTGTCTACATACTTTTATAATTATCCCCGCGAAAAGACATTCCATGTTGGCGTTCAAATGTCGGCTCCCAAAATTACCCGAAGCTCACCAATGTTGGCAGTACTTTGGTACGTAGGTTAAGGGCATGAGTCATGACAGTTGGCTGCTTTGCATTTAAATTGGGTAATTTGTGAAGGCTTACCCTGCCATCAACCCAATGTTTGCTGTTAAATCTCATTAACTTCCCCGTGGCATTTAGAGCAACCAGAAAAGGCCAGTCCCCTTTACAACAATACGTTCCCCTTTTCCATAACAACAGCCCAAGCTGAATTGATCTGAACTGTGTGTGGCCCGTCTAGGCCGCATTTTATCGAGTCATCAATAAAACAAGATGGAAAAGTATCAAAACAATGAAAAGCCAATTGAAGTTTTTACGAGCGGGCTTGCCACGAGAAGAGTTTAATGTGCAACTGGCATTAAACCTAAAACAACATCCAAGCTACACAGCCAAGAACTCGACAATTAATCTGGAAACCCAATTTTTAAAAACTTTATTGGCTCTGACAAAACACCGAACAATGCAACCTTTCACTTTTGCACTAAATAAGTTCACTGAGGAGATACGTGAATGAAAGTTCATCTTTCTATCTAGGATGAACCGAAACGTGTTAGAATGTTCTGGTTAAATAAATAACAAAACTTTCGCGAATGTATTTTCAATACAAATTTATTTTAAAATTGACTTTATTTATTAGAAAAACCACACTTTTATTTGCTATTCAAATTATTATATAATTTAAGTTGGAAAAACTCAATTTATTGGTTAAAAATTCGAACATTTTTTCCCCAAGAAAGCTGTTTCTTAGATTTAGTAATTAGGTATTTCAAATTCAGAAATCAGAATTAGTTGGAAAATATAATTTTATTTTATTCAAATGTTCTAGTATTTTCCCCTGAGGAAGCTGTTTCTTAGATTTACCTAGAGGCTCTACAATTTTCACTTTGATGAACCGCACAATTAACTAAGTAATTCAACAGGAAACCACTTCATAGCTCCCAAAATTCTTCCACCCATTAGTAGGCCAAAAATTTCTCTTGTTCGCTCCATTTAACCGAATCGGAAAATAATTATGGAGAAATGGCTTACAGATCGAAACGAAATGGGTAAAAAGGGCGGACCAGAAGTCACGCACCGGCGCGGCGTTAATTGGGGGCTCAGAGAACGAGATTTGATTGCGGCTCAGAGCGCTAAGGCTAAGGCGGGATTAAAGTGTCTGGCCGGAGATCGGAGATCGGAATGAGATGGCTCATCTAGTCGAGCGTCGTCGCGTTTAAGCGGCATCTATAATTTCCATGGCTCTTGGCCCGGCATTCGAGACTCACCAGTTTCGGCCGCATTCGATTTGTTGGCCGCCTCAGTTGTTGTTGTCGTCGTGGAAGTCGTTGAACCATCCGCTGTTTCGATGGCTGAGCTGCCGATGGTGCTGCTTTGTTCTACGGCAATTGTTGCTGGTGTTTCTGGCGTTGCTGGTGTTGTTGTGGCAACTGCAGCAGAGTCTGGGGCATCGGTTGTGGCATCCAGAGGTGGCAGCGTTGTGGCAGGGGCATCCTCGCCTGCAGGCGCAGACGCCGCTCGCTCAATTTGAATGGCAAGCAGCAGTAATCCGCAGAGAGCAACCAGCCACATTCTACTCCACATGATCGTGGCCGGGTCGCCGGAGGCTTTTCTTCTTCTACACGTTTGCATTTTGGTTAATTTCCTCCGCTTTTCGGTTTTTCCTCCTCTTCGATTTTTTCTCACACGTTTGCACTTGTTATTGTTAATTTATAGTAATCTTCTATGAATATGGAATTAAATAAATTACATGTACGTTTAAATCTTTGAAAAGGTCCCGATAACTCATTACCGACGTTTGTGTTCACTAGTTATTATTTAGTTTTCTCTTTTAGGTTTCGGGATTTTCTTTTGCGGTTATTTAAGTTCACACGACATTTGTTGGCAGCGGTTTCTGTGATTTGTCATTGGTTCAGTTCGGTTCAGTTTGGTTTGGTAACCCCAAATGCTGTCATTTCCGTTGAAAGTCGGTTGAATAACGATCTCTCAAGTGTCAAGTGTCTATATTTTGCCTGCCGATTTGTTCAGTGATTTGTTGGGTCACTAAGCGAATAACCTAACTATCTTATATGTCAGTTCGAAAGTAGGGGAAGCTTTGTGATTTATGGAAGGTAATTTGTACTTATTTCTCACTAAACGTCCTGCTGCTTTTTGCGAATGTGTAAGCTAATTTTCTTTCTAATTTTCTAAAGAGTTACATATTTCTTACATAATTTGCTACTTTGATGTGAAAGTATAAGCTCCTTCAATGCCAAGTTTGTTTCCCAAGTCTTTTGTTTTACAGAAATGTAAATGTGTTTCTTGTATATCGTTTAGAAAACTGTGGAGATTTACGATATGGAAATCCTAGTTAGCATACTTGATTTAGATTTACAACTCGAAAACCTACACACACAGCGGCTCATAAATATATTTCATTTTTGGGGCCTCCACTGACGGAGTGTCTACTTCTCACCATTCAGACAAGAAACTAGGCAAATAAGCCAGCGTACCAAAAACAAAGGCAACAAATTGGGCTCTAGGAAAAAGATATACTTTGTGTATGCAAGGCAGTCAGTCGATGCTCATGCAATTCGCTATAATGCAACGACAGCGGCAACAAAAACCTTAGACCCAAATTGCGATAGCGAAAATATTTGAACCGGTTCCCCACGGCGGCAGCAGAAACTGCAACTGCAAACGGCTGCAGATCGCAGAATGCGCTCCAAAGCCTTTTTGGCCAAGTTAGCTGGAAGGCGGTTCTGTTTATTCTACTTTGTTGGCGAACTTAATATTGGTTTCAGCCAGTGTGATGTCATTGTAAAAGTTGGTGGCTATTTGCACTGACATTTCACATTTCACTCTCACTCCTTTTATGTAGAAATGGCAAATGGCAGAAAGCAAACATCGAACCAGCCATTCGGAGTTGGAGGGAGAAAACTTGTTTCTGGTATTTTCAATGGAATGTTTTCGCTCGTGGTTCTCTTTCTTGTTGAACGAATATTTCACTTCCAGATCTCGTGTTTGTTCAATAGGAAAGCGAAGATTTGCGTAAAACACACGCACACTCGCACACAGACACACTTAAATCGAAGATTAGCACCAACCCGGCGAGAAAAAGGTAGTATCTTTTTATCTGGCCACGTTAGCGGGCAGCGCGGGGTATGATTTTTCGGTTAACAACACTGCGATCGCTTTCGGCCAACCGCTCCGTTTGAAACACGACCACCGACTGATCTCTCCGGCGGCATGGATCTTGGCTGGAAGCATTGCCAACTCACCACGGTCTGCAGGCGGGCAACAGGTAACTGGTTTCCTCTCTCTCCTCTTTCTCTCTCCGGCCAAGTGTGTTCACTCTCTTTCTCTTCCCCGTCAGCTGGACTCAACAGGTGAGAGAGCGGCAATACATAATACCATAATGCCACTGCCTCTGGTTGAATGCTCGCTCTCACCCACACTCAGGTGTGTCTAGGCTGTTCGCGAGTGTATGGGTGTGAGTGCTGGTGTGGGTGTGGGTGTAGGTGAGGAACCGTCGGAACCGAAAGACAACGGCCGTGATGCATACACAAGACTCGACTCTGATTTTTGGCAAGGCAACTGCAACAGTCAATTCCCTGACAAGTGAACTCAGCGAACTATTTGAACTGTCCAATTGGCTGGCGAAAAACTCAATCCCATTGAAAAACCCAACCAAGACAGGCGAGTTGGCATTCATTGTTCCTATTACGCCCACGTTTTCGGCTTTGGCTTCGGTTTCTTTCTTCTTCTACTTCTTTGTTTGGGCCGCTGAAAGAGCCAAGAAGTCGACTGGGATTAGTGCCCATGCATCTCCGTTGGGGCAAAGCGCCCATGAGTCAGGGATGCTGGGGTCACAGCAGTATTAACAGATTTATCTCTTCTTACCTCATAACCTTTAGTCTGATTATACCATAAATGGAATTCAATGCCCTCCCGAAAAAGTGATGAAAACTGTATCTTTCAAATGGGTATATTGACATGAGAGATTTCAATAAATATAAAAGAATACATTACAAATAACTTTATGATATATTCAAGAAATTCTTATTAAAAAAAAAAATAAAATAAATAAAACTGACTCTCTTCGATTGTTTGCCTTAATTAAAAATATTGCTCCGATTAACATAATTTGTATTAAAAAGTCATTCAAAAATCATTGAGAAATCGATGATTAAGAATTCAAGATTAGCACAACACGTTGCAAATCGTTTAATATAGTATTCAAGATGCGAACGAGAATACAAAGTAAAACCAGATAGATGCAGGAAATTCCAATTCGAATCAGTGAGCCCACATATTCAAAATTCACAAGGCCTCAATAGCAGCGCTGCTCCCCGAAATAATAATTCACTGATCCACCGCCATCAAATGCCATCGATGCAAATATCAATCCAAAAACTCCGGATCGGAGACGCACCCAGAAACCGTCAGCACACATCAATGGCATTAGTTGGCCAACAAGTCAGTCAGTCAGTCATTCAGTCGAAGGAAATGTGTGTTCAAAGAACTCGCACAACTCAAATCAAATCCAACTCAGCTCAACTTGCAGACGTCAAAAAGAATCAAATGTGTACAGGGTTTTTCTTATTGTGGCTGCTCTTGTGGTTGCATATTTTAAAATGCAAACAAATAACAATAACGCAGAAATACGCTTTATGGTGTTGCACAAACACCGCCAACAAAGTTGCATTGTCTCCCTTTGTTTTTACACTTTTTCATAGGCTTATCGCACTGTCATTGAGGCGCTGCTGCAGCCAAAAAATAAAATACAACAGCAGATAATAATAATAATGCAAAATTTACCTTATGAACTCAGTTTTTGAATGTTGCAGTTTTTAGAGTTCGTAAAAAAAAATAAAAACTATAAAAGAGAAAATGGAATCTGAAATGAACTCTTTACTTTTTTATGTTTAGAACGGGGTGTTTGTTCAAAATTAAAATACAGATATTAATAACAATGCAAATATACTTTATGATCTCAGTGTTTGTATGTAGCAGTTTTTAAGGTTCGTAAAAAAAGAAGAAACAATAAAAGAGAAAAAAACCTGGTTTGAAGTGATTACTTTACTTTGTGTAAATGCTTTTTTGTATGGGTAAAAAAAATATAAAAACAGATATTAATAATAAATTATTACTTTATTACTTTATGATGTCATTTTTTAAATAATGGGATTAACAATAATTCTTTACTTTTTTTAAATACTCGGCGTATTTGTTGAAAAAAATGTTTAAAAATGTAATAAAATAAATGTTTAACAACATTACCCCTAAAAGATTTAGGGTGACTTAGACCTAGTTGATTTTTAACAAGCATTAACTTGATAGTGCTTCGTAAAATTTAAGAGTTTCAAGGGGAAGTACACTAACTGATTGTCAATTTCCTATTACAAAGGGCCACAAGCATAAGCACCCACTTCCCCTCATCATTGGAGCGGTAAACCTGATACTTGTGTGATCTGTTTTACCCAATCGCATGCAACGCGATAGGAGACGCAGAGCGGCGAAAGTTGTTCAATAATAATTGGCTTAATTAAGAGTACAATCTACATAGAAACTCGAAATTAAATTCGAAATTAGCGAAAAAGCCAAATCAAATCCGAAAGCCATTTCCACATTATATAAAAACGCGAAAAATGAAGTTTTCGGATGCCATCGCATGGTTATATGAGAGGGGCCAAGTTTTCGCAGTTCGCTTTTCCACTGGCATTTTTTTTTTTGTTGGTAATGTCTTCATTTGTGTTACACATGAAAATTTCATGATAAAACTAAAAGAGAGTTGGCCAAACTAAGGCCATGAAACCAGCTGAAATCTCATTCAAGTTAATCTCGATTCGAGTCTGTTTCAAAAGCCATCGAGACCGAAATAAAAGAAACTAAGTCGGTGCGCTTTAAATTGGCTTAGTTTTCCTTATTTGTTCACTAAAAGCATTTAACCAATTTGCTTTGCACCGAAGCCAAATATTACGTCAATAATTTTGTCTTGGTTTTTGGGTTTCTTTGTTTGGTCTTAATTTGATTGTTTATTATTGGATGATTAAAGTCAAATAAATCAAGGTAGGGAGGGCGATAAATAAGCAAGGTATAAGTGGTTTATGAGCACCAAATTTATTTATTCAAACGGTGTGCAGATCCGTATCGCGATTCAGTCATTAATAAGGGTTATTAAATCGAATTTATTTTTCCAATGGAAAAGTATTTAAATAAGAATTGCGAAGGTGAAGTTCTGATAAACTAAAAGTGTTTTCTGCTGTTAATTTGTACTGAATTAATTTTGTTTGGGGTTTCTCCACTACATTTCGCAATATATAAACACTTAAGCGATTCAATTGAGCCAACACAATTACAAATCATATGGCCAACGAACGTGGCCCGAACCCAAAAAAAAAATGTGTAGCAGCTGCCATTGTGGTGTTGTTGCTGGGGCCGCTGCTGTTTATTGTCAAAGCGGTTAAGCGACATGCCACCAAAAATGATTGACAATCACTTTGCAAACAGTTTTCATTGCAGCCGGAGACTGCGACAAAAACAACGCACACACTGAGAGAAACAAAGCCCACACTCGGCCAGCACTTCCCCATTGGGGCAGCCAGCAACCAGCAACCAGTTGCATATGAAAGTAAAAGTAAAGCAAATCCACATGCACATGCAGCGCGTAATATATATACACGAAATGCATTTAAATGCAGACCCGTCGTTGAGGCCCAAGGAGAGATATATATGGGCACACTTACGACTATATAGTATAGTATATTTAATACACGTACAAAACAAACAAAAGGCGAGCCGGTGCGAAGACAGCCACACCGGTTGTGAATGCAGACACCGCTCAGACAAGCCATATATCCATATAGCCATATAATATACCCAAAGCCTGCACATAAATATACATATAGCCGCTAATGAAATGCGTTCAAAAAGGCCGCTGCGCCTGCCGAACCGATACCCAGATATACTGATAAACAACCAGAAAACAAAACCCAAGCTCGCGCTCGAAAAATAACCGAAACTTCATTTCGAAGACATGACATCATATGTGCTGCATAATCTTCTCTGGCGGGATTTAACTTGGCTTTTAAGAATTTCTTTGAATATTCGGATTGTGACTCAAAGTCTTGCCCTGGGAATACTTTGCGACAGTGAATTTATTGTTTTGGCCTTCGGTTCCCCTTTAAAAGTTTTATGAGCAACTTGCTTCTTTTGTTTAAATATCATAAATTGAAATTTGGGGTAAGCTTAGTAGCTTATGCGCCTAAATTTTTGTTTTATATTCCAAATTCTACAATTTTTTAATAGCTTGGAAGCAATAATTATTGTTTTGACTGTTAATTTAAAATGCTACTATTTCTAAATATTCAATAGGTTAATTGTAATGTGAAACACAATTAGTGTTAAATATACCTGCTAACTAGTTTAGTAATAACAGCTCACATACAATTGATAACCAATTAAGTTAAGTATTTTAAGTCAGCTTCCCCGCAAAATTAGTGAGTTTCTGTAACACATAAATCAAATGTTGGAGTTATTACTTAAACGTTGAAATGTATAAGCTTTTAACGAGAAGTAATCTTAGAGTCGTTGACACATTGGCCAGTCAGTCAGTAGCACCTGACCATGACCATGACTTCAGCTGGCAGATCTTCTCACGATCGTTTGACTTTGGCAATCACTGTCTTTCGGCGTAGCAAAAGCCATTAAATTGATGCATGTATAACATGACACCCAGCTCAATAATAATTATAATAAATTTCTGCCTTTTGGCAAATGTCTTGTGAAAGTTTTTCACACAGGAAGCCGGCCGCGATTTATGCAACAATTTATCGGTTATTGTTGTTTTTTTTGGAACTCTCTCATGCAAATTGAATGGAGCTCAAGGCTGTTGTGACAAAGTCGACGGACTGCATACAAAATGCGAAAATGTGAATCAAATTTCGGCTCATGTGATTCGGTTGCAAAAAAGCTGTTAATCGACCTTCGAAAGGCGAGTTGGAAACGTCACCAAAAACGTGTGTTCGAGAAAAACCAAATTACCTTTTTATGAACTTCGAGCCGGCTCCGGATATTATACATATGTACTGTTTATTATAATACTATATGAACTGTTTATTATTTTGTTGTCGTAGAGAATTACGTGGAACTTGCCGAGTGCTATAAGTGACTCATTAGATGGGAATTTTTCAATCGCTTTTGACCAACGTGTCCGAGGGCAAACATTGAATTTAACGCCTAATTGTTTACGAAACGGTTTGCCTCTTTATAATATAATTAATTATTATTAAATGGTTATACAAACATTGAAATGATGTGGGCTTCAGTCGCGGATTTGATATATGCTGGCCCACTTCAAAGTCATCGAATCATGGGCCATAAAAATTAATAAACCATTTAGAATGACCGGCCGAACGAGAGATTGTGAATCTCGAGAGCAATAAAAACTCACGAAGGCGAAACTTTAAGGCAGCAAAACACAAATTGAAAACGCAGAAAGATGCCAAGAAACACATGTAGAATGACCTTGACAAATATTTAGCGGTAAATATTTTATTCAAATAAAAGCGAACGAATGTTTGTCACTTAAATAAATTAATTAGTGCCTTTCTACAAGTGGAATCCTCTTGCTTTTAAAGGAATGTTTAAAATGCACGAAAGCAACCCTCGTCGTAAACTAATCGTGTTTTCCCAACCTAACCTTTAGATCCGCTTAGACATCAGTTATTTTTGTTCAAGTGAAATAAATTCATAACAGCCCCATGCAGTTCGATGTCGTCACACGGTGCGTATACGCGATTAGACATGCACGAGTGAACTTGGCCCCGAAGTAAAGTCGAGTCACTGCTCATTTGTCTGTCTTTAATTGCGACGATTGTTGCAGCCGTTTGGCAAACTGACTGATAAGCGTTTAATTTGATTATCAGGGGCTGGCGTCTAGTTTGCGTAGAAATTTATTAAGTGTAAAAGGTCAAAAAGCAACCGAAACCACTGTTTTTTTCAGCCATGGCCTGGGTGAATTAATTTGACCTCTTAATTAAGCAGCCGGCGAATTCTGCTCAACAAGTTTGTTGCCTAAGTCTATTGTTTTAGAACTGAGCTCTAGCCGCAGAAAGCTAAACACTATTATAAAGAAGTTCTGGGCCCCATTGACATTTAACGGCTAACTGGTCGTTCTGAGAGAAGCGCAAATCATAATCTAATCGAAGTGCCGGTCTCGAGCTCTGGAGCTAAAGCTGATCGGCCAGATCGACCACGAGCGGCAGCTGTTAAACAAGAATGCCAAACCGCTCCGCTGAAGGCAGTCCACTTTCAGGAACAGCACGCAACCAGACTGAATCGACAATAGCCGGCAATTGTTGCTTTATTCTTGATTCTTTACCGGAGCAACCGAATTCGGGGTTATCAGTTCGCCAACAGAGGTTGTAGCACGATTGTGGATGAATTTTAATTTAAATATAAATTAAATATTTGTAAAAACAAAAGACGAGTAAGAATTACTGCAAAACTTCTTAAATAAAATAATTTTAAATAATAAATGCATTACAGTTCCGGGTGTTGAAAAAAATATTTAGTTGTCTGATTAAAGTTAAACTTCTGGTCTGTCGAATTTATAAGTAAACTAAGCTTGTCGTTTTAAAATGTGTAAGTCATAAAAACAATCTTCCATTTTTGTATTTTAATGTGTAACATAAATAAATAAAATAAATGCTATATAGATTACTCACAAAGATAAATCACTTAATAAGCAGTAAACCCAAATCTTATAGAGCATAAGTCTTTCAACATTCCTGAGTTAGCTTTCTTTTTTGCGCACACTTTTTTTGTTGCTGGCTTCTCTTGTGATTCTGTTATTAATTTATTAATAGTTTTTGCCACCACTGTGAGCAGAAAAACCCGTTGTTGTTGCTCTATTGACTGGTCATGGGTTTTTGTTTATCATGAAAATTCTAAATGGCATGCTCATGTCATTTGCTAATTTTTTATGACTCCCAAACGCTAAGCTGCAGAGCAAGTTCGCCACTCACGTCGCTCGGCAAAGACCTTGACTTTCTTTTTGGCAGACGGTACGAAAGGGTAAATGAAACATTTCTCCAGCTCAGACTGACTACAATTAGCCGGCAATAAAAAGTTGGGGCTGGAGTTGACAAACTCCACGTTACGTTGCGCATTTGAAAGCAAAACTGTTTGTCTGTGTGTAGAAAGTCAAAGTCAGGCGTTGACAATGCGTTTTGTTGACTCACTCACTCGCGCTTTCGAGCCATTTCATTTGTTGGCATGCAAATTCTGGCGCTATTACAGCCACTGGTCGAGCAGAAAATATTGCAGAGACCGGCGGATATCCATTTCGGCCGAACAAAAGGCTCTCATAAATTTGTGAACTTTGAGATTTGGCTTTTGTTTAGTCCGGAACAATGGCAAATCAATTAAAGCTAGCCGCCTGGCCAGTCAACTCTTGTCTGCCTTCCGCCTGTACATTTATCACTTATGGATCGAGCACTGTGCGCAGGCGCAGGCGCAGGTAACTAGTTTTCACCTCAGCCACCTAAAACACACATTTCAAGGCAATAAAATATGTTTGGCCATGTAATTCTCCGCCGTCTGCGTTTGCACTTGCGTTTGGAAGTGCACTCTTGCGCGTGTCTCTGCGCAAAATGCATTTCCATTTCGTTTTGTTTGACTCGGGCTCTGTTTATTTTGAGTCTCCGTGGGGAATGTTGACCGTGCATGTCATTCGCGTTTAGTTTTGAAAGTTGTTTGCTTCCTGCTGCTGCACGTCGCGGCGATTTTGCCATTTTAATTAAAAACACATCACCTCCGGAGACTCCTAGCAAGCTCTATGCAAAACTTGATTTGACAGTCCAACGCTCAATAATTTGCAGAATATTTATTTAACACTCTTTTTGGCTCAGCGCAGAAATTATACTGAAAGAAATGTACAAGAAATGTAAAGGCTGCCATCATAAGGAAATCAATCAATAGTAACCCACTAAAGAAGGCACTTCAGTCGCTCTTGGCCCAGTTTGTGCGCTTAAACGAGCGCACTAAGTGGCCATTTGCACTTGAAAAGGCATTGAAAAGGTTATCAAGTAAGAATAGATAGAAAATCGCCAAAATTAGAACACCATTGATTGACTGCCAAAAATAAAACCTTTAAATAGGTAAAGCATAATGTTATTATTTCGATGCTTAACTGTCGATTTCTTTTATTTTGATTTTTGCGCCTAAGTCTGGCAACGCCAAGATTGTAAGATACTTTTGTAATACTTTATCGATAGTTTTATTAATGCTGCAGGGTTGCCTAAATCCTTAAAAATAACGAATCGATGTATGTCGCTATCATTTATTACTACTCAATTGATTAAACAAATGATTTCATGGTATACAAATATTAGGGTAACATAACAATATATTTTAAGATGTGGTCTTAAAGTTTTGCAAGTGTACTTACACCCTCCATTAAAAAAATATCGCAGCAAACAAATTTTGTACTCGAAAAAGTATCGATATACTAATACTATTTTCAACGCAAAAGTGCGAAACATTTAATTTTTAGAAACATAAGATTTCAAGATCTACTATAAGTTTAAGATGGCGAGCACTTCCCGCGCAGCTAGAAGCCAGAACGCAAATCTTTCGCAGGCGACTCAACCCATTTGCGAAGTGGACGACAGGGTGCGCGCTATTTTAAACTACATCCTGGATCACATTGCGCAAAAAATTCCCATCAAGGACAAGGACTTGGTTCCGCCAGCTGGCGACAAGAACGAGCTGAAGAAACGACTGCCGCTGGTCACTGAACTGCTGGCCAAGCGTTTCGGCATACTGCTTACTCCATTGGATGCGACGTCCAAAACGTTCATTTGCATTGCTGAGGAGCCGGTGGCCTCCATCCATGAACTGACCCCGGCACAGCGACCCCAGTTTACGCTGTTGTACATAATTCTCATGTACATCTTCCTGCGTGGCAACCGCATCGAGGACTCGAAACTGTACGCCATGCTGGAGATGATGAATATCCATGCGGACGAGGAGCACGGCTACTTCGGTGCCAATGTGCGCAAGCAGATAGAGGAGACGTTTGTAAAACAGCAGTACCTGAAACGCGAACGCTCCCAGTTAAACGCCTATGACGACCCCAAGACCTTCTTCCTTTGGGGACCTCGCGCCAAGGCAGAGATTTCGTTCGAGCAGGTCGTTCAATTTGCGTCCAAGCTACTCAATCAGCATCCAAACATATTTGACCACCACCTGAAAATGGCCCAAGAGGGAACAAATGCGGAGCTGTAGGAATTTAAATATGTTGTTAAACTGATGTTGCTTTTCATCTTTCAGTTTTAGACTTTCTTATTAAAACAAGAAGACAACTTCTGCTTATTTGTAAACAAAATATTTTAGGTAAAGTACAGAGGACTTTAAGGGTCCATTATAAAAAAGTAAACACGTGAATACTAATATTAAAAACAATGTAAACTTGGTTTGTTTAATATTGAAGCACTACCCCGCAGAAAAATGTACTTTCTATTTTGTAGTGTCGACTTTTTCTATTTATTAAAAAACTATACTTTACAAGGAAAAGCCCCTAATACTTTGCATAGTCTGTGTCCATGATGAGCTTGCCATCTTTGTCCTTTAAGCGAACACGACCGTTGGAGTAGCGGGTCTCTTGGCTGCCGTCCGGATAGACCAATTTAACCGTACCATCCGGATATTCCCTCCGCTTGTTAAGTTTGGTGTGAATCTCCTTTTGACCATTGGGAAGATTCAGAATCTTGTCCCCATTCCGGAGATGCACTAGGTGAGTTCCATCCGCATAACGCCACTCCTCAAGCTTTTCTGCATCGTTTGGATCCACCAATTTAATGCTGTTGTTGGGAAAGTGAACCTCGATGGTGCCATCTTTGCGACGATGTTCGGTCTGGCCATTGGGAAACTCGAGTATTTCCAACCCATCCAGGTAGGAAGTGTGCCAGGTGTTGGTCTCAGCGTAATAATACTTCACTGTGCCTTCCCTTATATCCGTTTCCTTAATGTCCTTATTGAAGTACAACATTCGAACGTGCATGCCATCTGCGCTGATCTTCTTTAGGTTGCCATTAGGATACCAAATGTCCTTGCTGCCATCCGCATTTGTAATTTCCCGCTTGAAGTCACTGCTGGAGTTGGCTGTCGCTGGGGGATCGACCGTGGGTGCAGTCGCTGGTGGCAGGGCTTCTTCCGCGTCCACAGAACTGCTGGAAGCATAGCTTTCCTCCAAAGCATCTGGCTTTTTCTTGTTCCGGCCCAGGGAGCGGCTGCGACTTCTCACTTGTGCACTACCGCTGCTCTGTCGTCGGTGGGGAGCTTCTCGCTGCTTGACAGGCTTACCAGCAGTGCCATCCAGGGACTGAGTGCGACGCCCGTTCTCATCCAGGACCTGCGATATGGAAGTGGACGGCAACTGAAAAAAAATATCAGTTGATTTTAACAAACACTTTTTGAGTTTGTATAGTAACTACTCACCACCTTCGGTGCTAGCCGGGCAATGTTTCGGTTGATCTCCTGCAGCATCTTGCTGTTGTTCTCGCGACCAATCCTTATCAACTCCTGCTCCAGTCGCTTGTTTTCTTTGCCTAGCACCTCGATCTCGTCACGGTAGTTGCGCTGCTCCTTCTCACTGGCCCGCAGTTGAGCACGAAGTCGTGCCTGTGCCGAAACGTGGGTCTGCTCCTTCTGCTTAAGCTGCAGCTGCAGGGTCTCCAATTCCTGTTTCAAGGAGGCAATCTCCTTCTTTTCCTTGGTGTTTGCATTGCTCTTCTGGAGACGCATCTGCTGCTCGAACTTCCGACGCTCTTCCTCGATTTTCATTCGCTCATCGTGCAGGTAGATCTCCGCCTGGATCTTTTCGTCGTGTACACGTTCCATTGCCTCCATGTGATCCTGGGTGAACTTGGCCCGCTCCAGTTCATGCTGCTGCTTAAGGCGAAGAAGTTCGGCATTCTGGGCCTTGAAAGTGGCAATCTCGGCCTCAAGTTCCTCGAGGCGAGTGCGCACGAGATTGGCCTTCTCCTGAAGTTCTTGTGTAAGTGGTTCCTCTGACTGTTTGCTGGGACTCGACTTCTTTTTCTGCTCCAAGGCCTGGAAGAGAGCCGACTTAAACTGTTCGAACAGCTGAACATTGGATCCGTCATTGAGGCTGGTGGCATCGGAGTATTCGTGGGTGTCATTGGAATCGGAGAAGCGCACTCTCACTTGGGCTCTGCCCACCTGGATGGGTGTCATTGTCAGAGTCTGGTCGCTGGACTGCTGGTCGTCCTCCTCCTCTTCGTCATCCAATTCGGAAACCAGCACCTGGTCTACCTGCGGTTGCAGTCGCATTTGCCGCACCTGCTGTGTGACCACAATGTGGTCTGAGTCGTCAGCTGTTACACGGCGCTGGTCCTTGCGCGCCATAAAGGTGCGAATGCAGCTGGAGTTCATGTCAATGTTGCCCTCAGTGGCTTTCTGTTCAAGTAGCTCAAAGATGCTTACATTACTGTCATCTTCAACTCGGATTTGAGCAGAGCGTCTTTGGATGTGAGCTGGCTTAATGCTCTGTGTGTCCAGTACCTTGGCCCAGCACACTCCAGTCAAGGGGCTGGCCTCCGAAGAGGTTTCATCATTGACATGCGCTGTCTGCCCGGCTCTGTTGTTCTGCTCTACAAAACGAACTCTGGGAGAAATGCTGGAGGCAGTGGTGGAAGAGGCATAGGAAGACTTGAGATCAGGAGTCGAATTGCAGACGTTCTTCGAGTTGATAAGCACCTGCTGGAAGCGTTGCTCGTTAAGATCGAGTTTTTCCGGAGGTTGGGGAGCAGGAGCAGCTGGAGGAGGAGCTATTCCCGCCTGACGCTTTTTGAGGATCCCTTTCTTCAGTTGGGGCTGGCGAAACTGAGGGTGTGCGTTGGCGTACTTGTAGCGCGGCAGGTTCTCCAGCTTTAGCTGGTCGGGATTGATCTTAAAGCGCTGCTTCAGTCCCTCACCGCGGCGCAAGAACGGACGCTTGGGCTTGGCCGGCTGAGGAGTGCTCAATAAAATCTCCACTTCCTGATCGTCCTGCTCCGCCGCTAGTCGTGGCATTTGTATAGATGGTTCCTCGTCCCACTGCGACTCCTCCAGCACACTGTTCTCCCGGCTTTCAGCCTCCGGGTGCAGTAAGCCCAACATTTTGTACATATTGCGCTGTTCCAAGCCGAGCAAAACTCGCTGGTTGTCTTGACGCTCCTGCAACAGTCTCTTCTGCTCGTCTTGCCAGCGATTAAGGGCCGCCAGACGCTTGTTTATAGCTTCCTGGCTTAAGGACATTCCAATAGGACTTTCGTCAGGTTTCTGCATTTCGGTTTAACATTGGTTTGTCCTTAAAATTGTTCTCTGGTTTGGACGCTGTACGCCTATGGGAATTTAAAATTAAGAAAACAGTGCTGCAAAACTTGACAGAGGTGGCAACTCTGCAACCAGGGATGGTGACATACTTCATCTTATAAACAAAATGTATTTTAATTAATTTTAATTTTTTTTTAAATTTACAATAACATAAATCGGCTTAACGATAAATAATTATCAATCATTATGCATCCCTTTCATCTTCCTCCGGTTCGTCGAAGTCCTTTACGTTCACGTCTGCATCTTCACCATATTGCAAAATGTTGTCAATTTGCAGTAAAAGATCACCCACACTCTCCTCGTCCTGAGAGTCCAACGGGAAAAATCGCACCAAACTGTAAAAACATCAACAACAAAAACTTTAATTTGTAAACATTACAAATGAATTTAACAAGTGGCAACCCTCACGCCATCGCTTCGCTCGCAGCCCTCGTATCTCACACAAAAGCATTTTTCGACGCGTCGTAAAAGTGAAATGTGCTTGTGCAATTAAAATCAATCGGAAAAACTAAAAATAATCCATATAAAGTGCTTTTAAAAGTAAGAAATCCGTGAAAGTTCGATATAAGTGCGGCATTTGCAAAAACGCGCGCAAATAGTGAGCTCACGAAATACCACCAAAAATCCCAACCAACAAATCCCAAGCAGCCATCAGAAACAAAAATCGCCTAATTTACGATACAAAACACTTTTGGTGGGCAAAGGGAAAAACACTGAATTCCGGCAAAGGCGAGCCACCACAGGAATTCAAAAATGGAGACGTCGGTTGAGGAGCACGGCATGGACCTAACCAAGGTGACCGTGGTGCGGTCCGCCAAGGGCGTGGATATGCTTTGCGTGGATGACTACCTGTACCACTTCGATCGGATCGGTCGCAACAACACCTACCGCTGGCTATGCAACCGGCGCAAGGACAAGGCCACTCCCTGCAAGTCCCGCATCTGCACTCTGCTGCCCGATCCGCTGGACAAGACGCGCCACGTCGTCGTGGACGTAGTCATGCCCCACATTCATCCGCGCTGCAGTGACCACGAGGTCAACAAAGTGGCCCAGCGCAAGCGGCTCTCCGTAATGATGATGAACGACGCCTACAGCTCCACGCAGCCAAAGCGAGCTCGTCAGTACGAGCGCGCCAACGCTGGCCTGAATCCGCCGGAGTTCATCTACGGCGGTATCGACACTTCCGCTGTGGAGGCCTCCTTCCAGCTGGACTTTGAGGTACGGCCGCGGGTCAACTGTACCTCGCTTATGCCCCTGAGAAATCTAACTAGTGGGATACTTCTTTAGTTTAAATTCACGTTTTTGGGGGACTAAATCCCCTGCAAACCTTTATGACCATTGCCATTATAAGATTGATAGTCGTGATTTTTTATTCCTTCTGATCAGTTGACTTACTCCGAATTTAATATCTTGTGAGCTGAGCCTCGACAGATGTTTGCATAACAAGCGAAATACTCCCTCTTTTCGCATCTAAATTTAAAAAAAATCTACCAACAATAGCTAAGAATTATAACGCGTAGCGTAAAACAACAGTTTGAATTATAATAGTAAGCCGTCAGTTAAAGCTAAGATCTTTTTGGAATTTCATAAAAAGGACTACATAAATACCAAAATATAGACGTATGTAGACTTATTAAAATACTATAAAATTACCATTTCAAATATTAGGGATTTTTAAAAGTTTGTCAAGTGCTTTCAAAAACATGCATTTATGGAAGTCACAATATTTGGGAAATGGAAATCTTTTTGAATATAGTAAATGTAGATATAGGAGTACTATGGAATTAAAAGAAATATCTTTAATTGCATTATTTATTGTTTTTGGTTGTACTTGATCCAAAGCTTCACTTGCAAATTATTATCACATATGGATTTGAATAAAAACTTTTGAAATAGAATAAGCTAACGTATATTTCTTTGCGCAGGACAAGGACCGTGTGTATATGCTGCGTCGACGCGACGGCCGTGTAATGGTTTGCATCGACGGACATCTGTACTACCTAGCCGGAAAGTCGTACAAAGGTGACATATTCCGGTGGACATGTGTGCGCAAGCGGGACATCGAGTGCACGGCTAGGATCTGCACGGAGGCAACTTTAGCGGGAGCACATCGACTGCACGCCGTCGACTCAGATGCTCATATCCATCCGCATTACTCGGCCGCCAAGCTGATGCACATGTTTTCCAAGCACCAAATCGTTTTAGTGGAGGACGATCAGACTTCGGATGTCCTAGCAGAATGCCCCAATCTGGAATACTTTGACCCAGAAAACACTTTCGATGCTACCCAGCGCTGCGATGATATGGAATCAATTATAATCGAGGAGTGCGAGGACAACTACGACGTTTACTTGAGGAACGATGACGAACAGGCCGGAGAGATTCAAGGCGACGAAGAGGTGGAGGTTCATGAAGGGGAGGACTCCATGACGGACCCTAAGTTGGAGCACAATTCAAAGTGGCCAGCGGCTTTTGATGTAATTGCCAACTATCTCGCACCGCCGGGCTATAATCCTCTTACGGAAACCGACTTGTCCAAGTTCACATTCCTTCCCTCGGCGAAGGGTCGCAAGGTTCTGTGCTTGAGTCGGTATCTATATCACTTTGACTCGCAAAGCAGGTCCAACGGCCACATGTTCTTCACTTGCATCAACCGGCGTGACAAGGTTAACACTTGTCACGTTCGCATCACCATGGATCCGGTTGAGAACGGACCAGTAGTACTCAGAATCAATGGAGAGCACACACACAATCCAGATTTAAAGGAGATCACTCGCCGGCTGAAGCAACAGGCCAAGCTGGACCAGGAGAACCCGCACAAGCTGACCAAAAGCGAGCACGGTGAAGATCTTGAATTCGAGAGTGACGAGGGTTCCGCCAGTCAGGGAGGAGATACTTTTGAACAGGATAATAGTGTTGATAGCAGCTATGAGCACATCGACACAAGCAATGTAGTTATGAAGAAGGTGATCAGCATCGATGGAGCCATTAAAATGGAACCCGAATCTAAGGCGAACATGATTGTGCAGTACCTCAAGGACGGCGCGGACAATATAAGCGCTAAGATTGAGATTCTGCCAGATGCACTAGAGGAGCTCAACGATCAGTCTCATGCTGGATACGCATCCACTCCTCTGCCGAAAGTTCGACAGCCCGAGATCACGAACATCCGCCGGCGGCGCGACGTGGTTGAGCCAGTCAAGGGTGCCCAGCCGGACATGGATCTCACAAAGATCTGTACCCTAAGGTCTGCCAAGGGGCACGAGCTTCTTTGCGTTGATGGCTATATTTACCATGCCAAGAATCGGGGTGTTATTTCTCGCAACTATTGGGTGTGTATTAAGAGCCGAGATCCGGACATCAACTGCAAGAGCCGCATCTCAACAGCCACACAAAAGGATGGCTCCATTCGCGTCCTCAGAGTGTACAACAGTCACAGTCATCCTTTCAGCGAGGACGATATCAAGCGGCGATTGTTCAACGAGATCAACAAGAAGCATAACAAAAAGCTCAAATTCAGGCCACTGCACTTCATCGGCAAATCTCTGGATCAGATTCAGCAGGAGTACGGTGATTTAGCCATCGAGCGACTCAATGTCTCAAACATCAGCAGCGACATTGTGGTGCACAAGAAACCACGAGTATCAAGCACCCATAATAGCAGCTCACAATCTCACAAAGTGCAACACCATGAGGAGGAAGAGGATGTAGTTATTGAGGAGGAGGAAGAAGAACACGAGCACGAGGAGGGTGAAGAGCTCACCCATCAGTATATGGAGGTGGACAACACAGATGCCATCATCGAGGTCGTGGAGGAAGTGCCGGATGAGTTGGAGAGCTACGGATCTATTGTGTAAGTATAAATAAATGGTCGAGGCCCTCGTCTTACAAATTTAAAATTTAACAAAAAGATAGCTAATGGATTTTCCAAACTGATTCTGTTCAAAAAAGTTAACGTTAAAACGTTGTTTACAATAGAGTTGGCTTGGCGCGCTGAGTTGGGACCGAACCTAGCCACCCAATCTTTTATTCCACAAACTTGTTTGAATCGTCATTGAAACGAACACCTGTGTTACTTGGCAGCTTGCAAAGCCACATCAGTAGCATTTGTGAGCTGCGCCAGCGCACTACACTTTTGTGGATTTATTTGGTACTTGAAAAACATTATTGAAAAATCGAGACTTTACTGATACACACATAAATATATGCAAAATAAAAATAGCTGGAGCAAAAAAATCCCAAAAATAGATACATATATACCATTGAAGAGGCATTAGAGGCAAATTGCTTTCACTTTTTAGCTAGTGGCGACAAGCAAACCGGTCGAGAGACTAATATAGAAACAATTTTTAATTTTTACCCACAGACCGATTTACACTATGAAACTGTACGCCGTATCCGATGGCCCACCTTCCCTGGCCGTTCGCATGACCCTGAAGGCCTTGGATATACAATATCAACTAATAAATGTAGACTTCTGCGCCTTGGAACATCGCTCTGAAGAATATTCCAAGGTGAGTGCAAAATTAAAGAGAGTTAAAGATGAAACATTAAGACGCTTTTAATCTTACAGATGAATCCCCAAAAGGAGATCCCCGTTTTGGATGACGACGGGTTCTATTTATCAGAGAGCATTGCTATTATGCAATATCTGTGTGACAAATACGCTCCGGACTCAAGTCTATATCCGCAGGACGTGAACCTAAGGGCGATAATCAACCAGCGCCTGTGCTTTAACATGGGCTTTTACTACGCCCCTATTTCCGCTCACAGCATGGCTCCTATTTTCTTCGACTACGAGCGTACCCCCATGTCGCTAAAGAAAGTGGAAAACGCACTTGAGGTTTTCGAAACCTATTTGGAACGATTGGGCACCAAATACGCGGCTGGCGATAACATAACCATCGCAGATTTCGCCCTGATTTCGGCCACGCTTTGTTTGGAGGCAATTAATTTCGATTTGGCGCAGTATCCCTTGGTGCACAAGTGGTACGTCACCTTTAAGGAGGAATACCCCCAGCTGTGGGAGATTGCTAACAGCGGAATGCAGGAGATCAGTGCGTTCGAGCAAAATCCTCCAGATTTGTCAGAAATGGAACACCCATTCCATCCGACGCGCAAGACTAAAGCTTAAAGTAGTATATTTAAGGTGAAAATTGTTTAATATAAATAATTTTGTGAATTATTCAATATATACATACATGATATATGATTATATACATATAACATATAGTACATATAAATTGTTTTCAGAACCACTTTTATAACCGTTTTTGTGCTCCGAAATTTGTCGTATAACATTAGGAAAAACCTATAAATTCATATAGAAGTATTGCTAAATTTACAAGTTTACGTAAAAAATTATATATAAGGAAATGTCTTAATATGGATGACTTATGTCTTTAAAACATAATTCATTTACTCATACCAAAAGTTTGAGTACTGATAGAAGCAAACGGAAACATTTTTTGAATTGTGAGATCTGAATATTCAAAGAAAAATTGTTTTTAAAAGTTATGAAAATATCTATAAAATTTTAAATATCAGTTTGAATTGTTTTTTAGGCCAACCTATAATCCTTAGTCGTTTTTGGTAACCTTAACCAATTATATGTTAACAAGTAAATTTCAAATTATTAGACACAAACTTATATTTGTACGGCTCCAGCGATTATACACCATCTTTTTTCTAATACATTAGTATTACTTTAAGAATGGTGTTTTGTTTGTTTAAGAATTGTAAAAACTTTGGCAAATTAAAAACTAACTTGTAAAAAAATTAAAATACCTTACGTTTGTACTGGCTTTCTTAAGAAGTTTAAAAGAACTCACCTGAAATCCTCGATCAGCGATCCAATTGCTTCAGTGAGCTTGCCGTACTTCTCACCAAAGGCACTTCCAATCGTCAGCTCCCCCATCAAACTGTGGGCATCCGGTTCCAAGTATATCTCCAGCTGCTTTCGCGCCTCACTGCTCAGCAGATCTACTTTGGTAAGCACATTGACGTGCGGCTGCTCCATGTTGGCCATAACACTGAGGGCGGCCATGGTGCCGGATATGAACTTGGCCCCGTCCACCATGAACTGCGAGTCCAAACAGAAGACCACGCAGGTTCGGAAGTTCCACGACTCTAGTAGCTGCACCAGTTGTTTGCCCATCTTTAGGTGGGTGAACAGTTCGATCTGGCCGGGCATGTCGAACAGGATGTAGTCGTCGTCGGGCTCGCCCACCATCAGCTCGTCCTCGCCGCCGCAGAGCTGATCCTTCAGCCAATCCTGGTTCTCAATCAAAAACTCCAAGCAGAAGATGAGGCCGCCATTTGGCCCGTAGTGCAGCTCCTCATCCTCCATTGCATCGTCCAAGTGAATCAGCTCGCGAATATCAGTCAGCGCGGTGTAGGTAAAATGCTCGGCCGCCGGATCGAGGTTCACCACTTGTATATTTCGCTTGCTGTCCATGGCAAACTGTTGCATTAAGCTGCAATAGGTGGACTGGTGGAGATTGGTTCAAATTCCTGCGGTATCAGGTGCTAATTCACTTGACATACCTTGCCACTCCCTGCAGGACCCACAATTATCTGAGCGTACCGCATGATTCCCACTAAATTATACCAGTTCAGAAACAAAACAAACTCTTCAAGCGTGCGCCAGCTGCAGTGTTGCACAACACAAAAACTCTTACCGAATTACCGTTTCTGTTGGTGGTTGGCAGTACCGGACCTGCCAACTTAACAATTACCCGCCAAAGCTCTAAAACTTTAAAAACCCTTTTGTTTAGCAACTTAAGATCGCTTGAAAAACTGAGACAGTCGTTCAATTTGTAATTAAACAACATAGTTTTTCTTTCTATTAGAAAAAAGAGTATATTATCCACACAAAGCTTTCCGCAAAGATAATTCGAAATAATTTGTTTGAACGAAACAATGATCGTTTTGAAGTTTTGGGAGTTTGGAAAACCCAAAAATTTGAATCGGTTTTTTTTTTAATTTGGTGCTTTCACACATAACACAATATTTGTCGTACTTATCGCTTTATAACTATCATAACATTTGTAAATTTTTCTTGATTTTGAAGAACCCACCGCATAGTACATGACCTGACTTCTGTTCGAATTTAAAGTTGTTTAACGAATTTTACTGCTAACTACAACCTATGCACGTACTTTTAAAGCTTAAATTAACAGTATAATCAATTTTGTTTTAGAAACTCACCCCCAGATCGCCACTTATTAGATTTTGATAACCCCCTGCAGCTGTTGTTGCCGGCAGTTAATTAAATCTTTGACCACAGCCACCTAAACAAGAGGCACACATTTACATACGATCGAATTGATATATTAAGTAGGATCGGCGCAATCGCAGCGTTCAATCACGTCATCGCCGGAATCACCCCTGCCACGAGCTAATCCTAATTGCAGATAAACATCTCAATTGCTCAGCCAAACGGACAACATCTGCTCGTCCAGCGATTGACAAGTCATAATGATGTTTTAAATGGCACACTCGCACCGCCAAATGAAATCGCTTAAAAATAATAATTTCTCCTTTTTAAGGAAATTCCATTCTGCCTGTGGACATGCATGTCGGAAGACCGGAAATAATTTTCTAGTTGCAGGCCCTCACATACCGTTGCGTACACTTAACCAAATAGTGTCTAGCTATTGGCGTATAAAATGAAATTATTTAAAAAAAATACAATTTTGATAATGGAGGACATTAAATAAGAAAAGCATCATGTGTTAAGTTTTTAAGTTAACACTACAATATTGGAGCAATAAGTATTATTGCCATATTTTCAAATGAATTTTAAATAATCGATATAACAAAATTTCTTTTGATACTTTTATGTTTATGTGATTTTTGTTAATAAATAAAAAAAATATATATTAAATTGTATAACCGTGATAAGGTAAAGGGGGAATAATAATTATTATGGTATTAAAGTAAAAACTAAAAAAAAATGGTTCGTTTAGTGACCCGAAGAACGCAGTTACAATAAAGACGGCCAGTTTTATTCCAGTGTCAAATGGTGCTATTTAATCCCACCCGATTTTTATAATAACTGAACTACGTTTTCCACAGTGCACAATTTACACCCACCCCCAAGATCGAAAAAATGAACTGCACTTGTGCCTTGTGATATCTGTTTGTTCGCCCGCTGTCGCTCCTTTTTAATGATATCGACAATAGCAGGGTGTAGAGGCCACGAGGACAACCAGGGCCAGGTGTTCAGTTCAATACACGCTCGTGCTGATAACTATATAATTTGTCCGGGAATTGTTCCTTTTGCCCCCGCTTGAACGCTTGAACTGCAATTAGATACTGTTGGGTAGATTTGTGTGAAATGTTTATTCGATTTAAACTAAACCACTATGTATAACATTTAGATATTAGCGAACTTAGAGCAATTAAATACCACAGAACATGTTTTCCTCATATAATTATTAAATTGGTTAATACGTGTTAGATGCCGTGACTAGCGAGGCCTGACTAGTAGGATTTCCTTGAATCTCATTCTCTCTGCCCATCCCGATTTCAATCTGGGGATCGTGGATCGTGGCGCTCACATTCCACTGCCGCTGCTGAAGATGCTGGCCGTTGCCCCCGGATCGGACATGTCGGCACTTCCGCTGAAGTCCTCGCTGCTCTGGTTGCTGTTTTGGTTCTGGTTCGAGTTGCTGTTCGTGTACAGCGGCTGGGGCTGCGAGTGGGGTCCCCGGGGGTCCTCGGGTGTCCAGGTGCGGGCGTAGAGCTTGCTGCCCGGGTATCGGTCGCCCTTGCGGTACCAGGATAACGAATGCGCCACGCCGCCAGCTGCAAGTGGTCGATAAGGATGGAAAACGGTTAGCAAACACAGAAAGGTACATTAAGTTAATATAAAAACATGTAATAGGTTCTCTTTTACTATATTGCATATATCCCACGGATGTGGCTGCGAACACACCAATAGCTCCCAAATAATAGAAAGTTTTTCAATATCTGTTTTCTGTACTATTTATTTAGTAGTAGTAGTAGTATTTATTTTACTAGTAGTATTTATTTTTATTGGCCTTGTTTTTGGTCTAGTTGGGGTTTCCCCTCTATTAACTCAAACTCTTTTACGAAAATTCAATTACAGATTTGAGTTTTTGTTTACTTTATTTAAAATAAATAATAGACTGACAGTGGCCTTTTCTCTCATGATTTAATGCTAGTCATAGCTTGTTTCTGTCTAATATGAATTCGACATATTTATTAAAACCAAAATATTTATGGCATTTTTATTGTAATTTACTGTTGAAATCGAAAAGGTGAAGGGGTTTTAAAATGCAACAATTCCGCTGACAGAGTCAAGCGCCGCCCAAACAATTAAGGCTGTTGCCAAAAACTGAGCAAATGCCATTAGCGACCACATCAGGGGCCCATCATCGAGGCAGGGCAAACAAATATGGCAAAGGGTTGCTTGTTGTTCATCTCTGGGTTCCCCGGTTTGTTGTTGCAGCTGCCACCCCGCTGCGCCCGGCCATTTGCCTTGGACAAATAAAGCGAAAGCCGAAAGCAAAGCAAGGACCGGAATCCGCATCCTCCACCCTCCTCGATTCCCGACTATATCCAATCAGAACCAACTTGCCACCCAAGTCGGGCAATTTGTAGCTCTCGCAGTTTTCGAGTGCCTCATGCGGGTGTTGCTCAAACATGCGACCCCGACCACTGCCATCGCAGCTTCCCCATCTTTGCAAGTTGGTGTGAACATATGCCAGCCGCGTGCCAAAAGTCCCCGAAACCTCCGACCATCTACCATCTTTGCACCCATTTAAATGGGCGTTCCGTGGAGCTGCCCCCCGGAAAACTGTCTCGCAATACTTTTTTCTCGGTTGTAGTCCCGGTTTTTGCTGCAACGTTTTTAATGCCCGTTAAGCATGAAAACGCTTTCGCCATCAACACGGCCATCTCCCCGCCGTTTTGACCTGGTCGCTCGCCTTCCATTTGGCCTTTAAGCGGCAACGGCGACGGCGACAGCAGCCATCTGCTGGAGTGTAACGAATTTCCCACGCTATGATTATGTCGATTGGGCTTTGTTGTTCCTGTTATTGTTACTGTTCGGTTCGGGTCTGCTCAGTTGCCCCGCCTCCTTTCCCTCCCCCGCTTTACCTCCCCCCTGTGTCAGTCGCTCGGAGATGGAATCGGGCAAGGTGAACTGTGTGCATGTGCCACTGTTATCAGGTAGACACAAATTACACATCAGAGCTTGCATGTTCACTTTGTCGGCGGTAAATCGAAAGGACTAACAAACAGGCCTAAAAGGAGGCCAACTATAAATAAAAATCTTTACGATTTTCAATCTACAGAAAAGTCATTCACTGAATTAAACTAATAAAGAGATACCATTATTTTTCAAATTAGCAAAATCAATAAGACGTGTTGTCCGGGTAAATGTTTTTATAAACTGATTTAAGGTACTAAATAAAAACAAAGCTTCTGTAAATAAAAAATAAATAATTTTGCAGTCTAGCTAAATAAATGTATGAGCTTTTTAAAATATGTCAGTATGCAGAGTGTATCTTTTATAAAATTGTTAGGTGGCGAATTAGTTAAGAAGTCATTGCATTTACTAAACATTAAACATCTAAATCCTATTCGCAGTAATTTTAGTCTTGTTAGACTTACACTCCCCCCACATTTTGCTTTAATTATAGGAACATAGCAAAAAAAAAAATATATATAAAATTATTCATTTAACCACAAATAATGATTTCTAAATTAATTTTTTCTAAAAAAATTCCCAGAGCAGTAAATTGTAACTTAAATGACTCCACTGTTGATCATTTTACATCCTAAAACCAGTTCTAGCTCAACTTTTACCAGTTCAAATTTGTGTTGTGACACAGATGAATAAAAAGTATAAAAAAAAGTTTGAAATTTTTTAAGGGCAATACATAACACTCAATGAGAAACGTCACCCTTTCCTATAGTATTCACAAAACACCATATCGACACCCTTTTGGGTTTCCAAGTGGCGACTATTAGCTATGCAGATGCGTTCCAAGGATCCCTTTGCCCAGGAACTCCGTGCAGGCTGCAGTGTCATACACTTTGAATAGGAAAATTATTAACCAAAAAACCGTGACGAATGCAACTTTTATGAGCTGGCTCACGGAAACCCCTAATCCACGGCCATTGTGTATTCCGCCTGGAAACTTGTGAAAACCCTGCCATGCCACATCCATATCTACATCCGCATCCGAATCCACATCTACAGACTCGATGATCGATGCGACGGCAATGAGCAAAACAATTTGCTTGACTGGCAGTCACGCAAAGCCCGCAATGCGAACCCAAAACCGCTCGCGGAAAGTGTGAAAATTCTAATTAGTTACACTTAGGCAGACACGGCAGACCCAGAACCCAAAACCGATGCCAGGATGCATCCCCTCAGCATCCCCCGTTGAGGTCCTGCTCTAAACAAAACCATACCGTCCATAGATAACCTTTGAATAAGGCCAGTGCCCCGGGTGAATTATGTTATTAAATGTGTACCACCTCCACCGACTGTCCGCCCACCTTTAGAACAATTGATTGATTGACAACTCACTGCGATCCTTGAGGATGATTTTCTTGGGCGGCTCCTTCTGGTAGTTGCGCTGCAAGCTCAGGCCGGGTTCGTTGCCGTTCTTGTCCTTTTTGACCATCTCGCTGAGGAAGGTTATGTAGCTGATGGCCAGCTTGAGTGTGTCGACCTGGGGAGGAAATTAATTCTTGTTAGGCATTATTTTAAACAAACAAACAGTGATTTGGTGTTAATATCATAAACATGTATTTTATATTTACATAAAAGCAATGTAAATAAATTTAAATAGAATTTTCAACCTTTTCTTTGGGCAAACAAAACATAAAAATTTCAGAAAGCAATTTAAAACTTCCACATATAAAATTATGGCCTTCGGCATTTGTCATGAATCATACAAGCTAAAAATTATTTTTTTTTATTTACTCAACAAATTAAAGCAAAATGCAACATTATAAAAACGTAATCATTGTGTTAAGTCGCTGTCTGCAAAAACCATTTCCGCGGCTTTAAAAAAGTTTAAAGCACAAACTTAAAAATTATTTTTGACACTAGTGAAGAAAGAGATAAGTAGTTTTAAAAATCTAATAATGAAACGATAATTTTTTTAAATTTGTTAATAGCTGCCCAGAAATAAATTCCAAAACTTTTAATTAACAGATTCAAACCAACAAGCTGTTCTTAATTTTAAAAACTTTCGTTTTATAATATAATAATATTAACAGAATTTTTCCTTCAAAACCCCATTTTGATTAGTTAATAGGACACTTGCTTCTTCGAGCTTATCTCACAGAAATGTTTGGTTGTTCTTTAATTTACCTTGCTCAGTCGCTTCTCGTAGGGCAGCGTGGGGATATGGGTGCGCAGACCCTCGAAGGCCTCGTTGATGCTCTGCATCCGCCGGCGCTCGCGGAGATTGGCGGCCTGTCGCTGCTGGGCCATTTGGGAGGCGCACTTCAAGCGGCGCGGCTTGTGGCTCCGCCGGCTGAATGTGGAGAAGCTGGAGTCGATTAATTGGGGTCCGGGCTGCAAACAAATGCGATCTTACGTTTTCTCGGTGTTCTCCTGGTCGCTGTTGAATCCACTGCTGTAGGCGTCGTCCTCGTCATCGCTTTCCGAGCTATGCTCGTCCCCGAAAAAGTAATCGGAGCTGGAGGTGGAGGCGTTGGTGGCCTGCGATCCCTCGAAGAAGTGGCGCGCCATCGTGGCCTCCAGGTCGAAGTTGTCCATGGAAAACATTGTCGGGCAATCAGGGAACTCGGAGCTGGTAAATCTGTTGCGCTTCTGTTTGCCTGCTTAATTGCCCGCTAAGTGCATAACGGTTTAGCTAACACTTCCGATCCGCTGATTGGCGACGCGTGACCAGCACGTGCCACAGGATTTGAAATTCTGGAGGGGGCAGCAAGTCGGACAAGTGGAACGCGTGTTGTCGTTGACTTTTGCGTCTCTCTAAAAGTGGATTTAACGTTTAAGGGGGTTACGTCCTTTTGTACTTGTAATTGTTCAGTTGATATTGATAATAAACATGTCCGACATTGTTTCGATTAGATAAGATACGGTTAAACAGTTAATAGATATGAAATATGTCATTAACATGAATATGAGAGTAGTTTATAAAACAGTTGGCAAATAATAAAAAGATAGGCATTTTGTAAGCGTGTTGTTAAATAAAAGCTTTTAATATAACTCCAAATATTTTTCAGAAGTAGAACATTCTATAAAACTGGTAAACTTTATAAAATGTATTAATTCCGAAATCATTAAATATTTATTAAAACAAAAACAATGTACTAGTTGGCATAATTATTTTGACGAATACAACATTTTACACTTAAATGGAACATAAAGAGCCTTATAAAATTTTAGTCAAGTATTATTAACCTTTTGTGTAAAACTACTATAAAAGTCCAATATTCAAGTTTTTCAAGTGAAACTGAACTAGTTTTAGATATAGTTATATAAAGGCCTCATTGAAATAATAACATATGTCAACTAGTGTATGTAAATAAATATTTTTGTGTTATACAATTCGACTTCAAAATGTTTGTTTGTTTCAGTAAATATGGATTGTAGAATATATAGATATATCATATGTATATCATATGCATAGATTATTATTTCTTTTAAACAGATTCAATCTCCAAAGTTATTTATTAACTTACCTGAATTTTGTTTACCAATAAGTATCCAATAATTCCTTGACTAGATGTAATTCCAACAAATAGGGTAAGCTATCAATTTCTGGGAAAGCGTTCACCACATTTTCAAATTGCACATCACCTAAGCACCAAATTTTGCCACACACACGAATCGATAACCGACTATCCTACCAACTAACACCCCAATAATCCTTGTAGGTGGAACGGAACCGTGTTCTCTGACATCGAAGCGCGATGTGCTGCGAACTCTCAGACTGCCGGGAAGCGAATGGCTGAGCCTGGGCCTCGGTCCTGGAACTTCCACAGGACCTGTCTGATTAGAAGAGTGCGGCGAGGGGTGGATAGTGCGCCGTGGATTGTATCTTTCAATGGCGGTGCCACATCAAAAGATACATCCAAAGGGGCGGCACCCAAGTTTCCACCAATCGGAGAGCGGCAAGCCGAAAGTTTTAGCCAAACAGGGTTGCATTTTCGGGGTGTCATAAGCTTATTAAGTTTTCCCAGAGGTCGGGGTGGGTGAAAAATTGATGTTTCAGAAAATGCTCTACTGCGAGCGCATTCAATTGTTTTTTGATTCGAGCGCTCGTTTATCTGTTTAAGCGGAATTATTGCCCAAGTGCTTGACAATGGAAGGTGTTGATGTTGGATGTAGACAAGTGTTTTTGCCCCGGGGGGTGGGGGCTTTTAAGGGGTTGCGGTGGCAGCTGCACAAGTTCCGCGATGCAATGATGTGCGGGAACAGCGATCTCGCTTGTGTCGACTCCACCATGTGGATTATTCCGTTCACTCCTAAGTCTAATTAATGATTTGTTTCAACCAAGACGAGCTCAGCAAACATGGTTAAAAGAGTTCAGAATAGTTCGTTTGCCAAGGAATCCGCAGCATAATTTGTCAACCAGCATAATTTTTAAGCATTAGCAGAGTACAAATTCAAATATTTGCACAGTCTAGGATTTCCTCGTTCCCTTTTTTACGAACAACTCCATTAAAAGGCGATTGCAGTACTGCATATTTATCGGAGCTCGCAAGACAGACAGGGGTGTCAAAATAAGCTACACTTGAAGAAATACATATTGACATTATGTTAAAATAAAAAGTTGTTGACGTTCTTTAAAACGTTCTAGCGGTTTCTGCTCAAGTTAATATTACAACAAGTTAAATGGTACAACAATCAATACACGTATGTTAAAACTAGAAATGCATATTTTACGGACATATTTTGAAAACGTTCTCTAAAATTATCTCATTGAAACTTGTTTTAGTAGCTCTCTTTTTTTTTATTTATTTATCATTTTTCTATATTTCCCTTATAAAACAAAAATTTTAATATTCCCTTGGCTTTTAAGAACAAAATGTGATAGGACCTTCTGAATGTTTTCCTTGTAGTGTATCCTCGCGTATCCTTCTCCCCCTGATGCGTTGTTGGGTTCATCCTCGGTCTACTCCTCAACTGAGCTCTGTTTGTTTGTTGTCCTTTTTCCCGTGCCTGTCCTGTGTGTGTTGCCTCATCATCAGACAACCTCACTAAGGCTACCATGATAAACAAATTGTTTTGCCTTCGCCAGGAGCCTTCCGCCTACCCCGAGTCCTTCTCCTTTGTTTCTGCTTTGTTATCGTTGCCGGCGCTGCTCGTTTTGTGCAGCTGTATAAACAAATTAGTTTCCAATTTTATCAAGTTGTCTTGCAGTGGCGATTGGTAGGCTGCAAGCTTTGGGGTTTTTTTTGGGCAATCATAGGCCAATATAGGTAAATTATGACCATTATTTTCTACCTCAGGGAGTTAAATGAAAAGCGCTTTTAAATGAAAAGGTACTTACTAATTAGCCACAATTAAAGTTTCGAATTATTTCCGTATGTCTTGATACAAATATATGTAGCCCATAATTCCCACATAAATGTCAAATACTTGCCCCTATAATTAAATCCTAAAAACTAATAATATCATAGAACTGCAACTATAATGCACTTAAAAAAACAATCTTAACAAGAAGAAAAAACATTTAAAAAAATGTTTTTGGTCTTAGAAGGTCAAAAAAGAAAGTCAAAGAAATTGTGTATTTCGCTTTAACCGCAAAGTCAGGTTTTTGATTACTGTGAAATATTTTCTCTGCATTTTCAGAGAACTGCAACTAGCCAAACTGGCCTTAAATTGACCGGCACTCGGCGAATTATGCACACGTCATATAGCACAATCAAGCGTAACCGCCTCTTCGGCAGACAACCCTATATAGGAGTCCTTCGAGTCCTTACGATCGGCTATATCATTACACGCAATTGCCCCTGCCGCAAGGGTTTTCATATTTGGTCTCACCCCTGTTCTTTTCGCAAAGTACGTTCGGTTTTTGTTATTCGAATTCTAATTAAAAAACCCCAGTGCATTGTTGAGGTAGAGGCAAAGTAGGATCGAAATGCTTATCACACTGCTCACCCTACGTACATATATAGACCTTCCTTTCTCAATGTTGACACCGGGCATTAGGGAAACCCCGAGGAAATCCCATCAAAAACATGCCTCACCGAACCCTGGATTGTGTAAATTTTAATCTCATTTGAAAAGTTTTTTCGAAAGTGCAAAAATTGAAATCAACAATGAAGATAGAGATTTACAAAGGGGTGAGCTCAGCGCTGAGTGGATTCAACTAGGATTAAAACTTTTCAAATATAGCAACTTTTCAGTTCAATTATACATTTCATAAGCTGTATGGGTTGAAACTATTTTTAAATTAACGAATGATTAAGTACGCAGACCTTTATTTATTTAACAACTTTACAAATGAACTATAACAAATTAACTATTTTTTTTAACGAGTTCGAATGTGTATCAAAAAATTTAATGAGTTTAAGCTTAATACGGAAATACTTAAATTGATTTTAATGTCTTTTACATTTTTCTTATTAGTTTTGATGTTTATATAGCTATATTTATTTTAGTTTTAGGATGGGCTTGATATGATTTTTGCAAAAATTTCTTTATATTGATATTCGTTCTGTAGGTTTTTTAATTTTACGCAAGATGTGCAATTTTTCGTCACCAGACCAGCATAAATACAAAATATGAATATACATATTAGTATTTGGCTTTATAAGTTAAAACTTAACAATATGAAGCTCTGTATACTCAAAAGCCTTGTGGTCGATTTGTGGCATGGGAACATCGCCAGGATTTTAGCTTTGAAACCTTCCACATTTGGGCCACCTCTAGGCCCAATTTCTGGGTTTTTTATAAAGGTAGCTGAAGTTAAAATCGTTTAAATCGGATACATTTTGGAAGTTGGGCAAATAATTCCGATTAAAGTTTCGCCTGGGCCATAAGTCGTCCAAAATTTAATATATACTTGCCTGAACCCCAGCCACTTTCCCATGCAACCTCCAAACCACTGCCCACCTGCCACTCCTTGTACATATCGCAGCTGTCCTCAATGGCATCCCTCAACTAACTGTATTTTACCATATCAGGACTTCTAATATATATTTATATGTAGTTCTGTGGAACAGAAAATCACGAAAATTAAAAACTTACAAACGATTAAAAACTTACAAACAAGCCAGCTACAATTCTTCCACTTGCCACTTCGCTTGTGGCGAATCCATCAAATTCGTGCTTAGGCACAAGAATTCCACGTTTAATGACAAATAAATCAAAAGCTGGAAACAAAATTGTATGTGAGTAAGGGTTTTAAACATGATATAACCCCACCTCATCAGCTGCATTTTATAAGTTAAATGCAAATGCAGCCGTTCATTACTGAACATCAGGTGCTGTAACACAATAGTGCAATGCAAATATAAATAACCAATATCTTCAAATGATTTTAAGTGTGAAATTTTAAAATTTCACATTGTTTTTTTACAATTTTGCATATTAATTCAAATTTTCAAGCTAACAGTAAAGCTTCAATTGTTACGAATCATTTGCTTATTTTAAAAACAAGAAACTAAAACTATTTATATTTTTATCCGGTCGAAATTTATTTTATGAATTTATTTATGAATTTCATCAAATTCTAAATTCCTTTACCTAACTATGAGTTAGTCAACGAATGTTAAATTAATTTAAAATTGTATTCCCCGAAATAAACCCAAAGTGAATAGCATTAAGCAAATTTTGGAAATAATTAATCTTTTTAAGTTTTCTCTTATTAATTTGTTTAGTCCTTAATAAATTTATATTTTACCAAAAATTCTTTAACTCCATTAAATCCGTTCAATCAATCAGATTCAAATTTTAAATATTTGCAGCTCTGCATATTCGAAAGACTCTTTGAAACTGGGTTCCATTTTCATTCCACCTAGGGATCCTAGCTCGGAAAAAGACCATTTGTGGACTGTTTGGAATCCCAATTTGTGTCCAATGTTTTTGGAAGTAGGCGCTGTGGCCACCGCAACAACGGCCTCAGGTTTTTCAATCTGCATCTCTTTCGGCAGTTGGGCGAATATCTCAGGTGAAATCTTTCCTTGTGACATGAGACTCGCGGAATCGATGGCATTCTGGCACAAAATGTTTGCCAGGCCGCGTTGCCTAAATTCCGGAAGAGTTCCCATGTATTCCACCTCTACAGTACTATCCACATGGCAATGTTTATTGATATCAAAGCTGGAATCGACATTATCCCACAGCTCGACATATTTAATCATACTTGGACTTTTAATCTGGGCGACAACATCATAATATGAGCTTTTCCTTTTCACGTTCTATTTGAGTGTATTGTTCTTAAGTGATTAAATTAAAAAACTTTAAGTACCTACAAATATTATGTTGGCTATTGCGGCCGCGATTCTCCCGCTTTCCACATGACGAATGGCAAAGGAAATTCCCAATGACAGGATGTGCCTTATCACTTTTCGCAGCTCAGCTATAGCCAATGGTGATTCCTTCAGATTGGTGACAAGACATCCGAATTCATATTTCAGTGAAACGTTGGCCAAAAGCTGAAGGGAGTGTAATTAGCCTTGACCAAAGTTAAAGCCATTATCAAAAACCTACATCTTCCACTTCGTCATACAAGTTTGGAGTTACGCGAAGCATCTGAAACTCGCCATTCAAAATATTGATGCAGTCCTTCATTTTCAAATAAAATCATTAACTCGCCTGGCCTGTAATATAGAGAATCTTAGTATAGGTGTAAATTTAAAGCCCGGTAAACATACAAACTCCAAAAAAAAGTTATGTTTTTGCTTGAACAACCTATTTTTTAACGTTTAACTTTGTCGTTCAACTAAACACAACAACCAGTTCAACATTAATGCGAGCTAAACGGTCATAATTCGTAAAATTATAATTACACAGTTTTCTGGCCTTGCTTACGAATATTTTGCGCCGACAATTAAATTAAATTATAAAAGTAAACTAAAGTAAACAAAAGGTAGTGTGTTTTTTTAATTTATTTTAGACAAAAACGCTCTTGAGAATTCTTTACCCTAACCAAATTAAATATTTTAAATTCCAGTATAAGTAGGTATGCAAAAATCTGCACTTAAATACAAAAAAATAAAAAACAAATTAAATAAGGGGAGCTTTTTATTTAATTTTTGTGATATTTAGTAAAATTGCAAAGTTTTTTGTTTTTAATAGCTAGTTTCGCCGCACCAAAAATATTTTAAAGCAGGTTCTCACCTTGTGGCAAAAAAAAAATTGATTTTTTTTTCTTGGCTTATCGTATAGATATATGTTCCGAAAATGTTCTCAAAAAATTTCAGATCCAAATTTAAAATATTACAAAAGTTACAGGCTCTTACATGGAGCACATGTCGAGCACCGGCCATTGGAAGCAAAAACTTTAAACGCGTTTATCTCGGAACCACGTTTTCGGACCTTACGGAAGTAATTGAAGGCGTTGGGGTTAACCAATCGTCATCAAATTTTTTTTCAAATGTTCCTAATTGTTTCCTTTAACTAATGAACTAGGATTATCCAAAAATATTGAAAACTGTTTAATTGAGAAAATAATTAGTGAGAAAAAAAGCGCGAAAATCGAAATTTTTTTTTAAAAGCTAATAACTTTTGAAATTTTAATTTTTTTTTTCTGATTCTAGTTCATTTTATGCACAGAACTATACACTTTAAGATATTTTTGGTTTTTGTGTGTTCCGATTACTCGTTGTGGCTGAATCACTTTCGTAAGCGGGACACCTTTTTGCCGAAATGTTGCAACTGAGGTACGCCCCCTCCCGCCCCTTTTTTGATTTTTCAATTTTGAAAATTTTTTTCGCAAAATAAATATGTTTTCAAATAAAGTTACAAATTTCAGATTTTTATCTTAAATCGTTTTCTCAAAACAATTTTTTTTTAAAATTTCCATTTTTCGGCCCTACAAGGTGAGAACCTGCCTTAAATAGTATAAGTTGTTACTTCATTCAGATGATTCAGATTCACTAATTTTTGATTACTATTATTAGTTTATTATTTATTATTACTAAAATAAGCTCTTGTTCTAAATACAATACTAAAAGATGAAAAGTCACGACAGACTTATTTTAGAAATTGCCCAAACCAACCATTTTATTTAAACATGAAATCGCATTGTCGACAATTTCATTCGCCTATTGTCTTTTCTGATTTAAATTTAACTGAACCTGTTAATGTGACCGCAGACCGATAGCATCTACTATCGATAGGCTGAAAAAAATCATCAGAATGCTGCGATTTGACTGCCCACAGCCCAATAAAGTAAACGGCATCCTCAAAATGCATGGCGTCGGTGGTGTAATGGTTAGCATAGTTGCCTTCCAAGCAGTTGACCCGGGTTCGATTCCCGGCCGACGCACATATAAATTTTTTGCTCAACTAAATTTATTTTTTTTTTGAATTTTACAATTTGTATATAACATGCTCGCAAAATTTGTGTAGGGGACTTATGCGCTCCTCGAAACGCTTGCCATTAAAATGGAATTCCGAATAGGAGACTGTGTTGAGCACTTTAAAATTTATTGCTTTGCCCACCTTCTGCGAGAAGCTTGAGGTCCAAAGCGCAGTGACAGCATCTGGTTTTTTAGATCGCAGTTCTTGATGAATATCCTCCAGCCCTTTTCCCTCAGCCAGTTCTCTAGTCAGGTCTATGGTGAACTGGGCCAAGGAGCGTCCCAGTCCCAATCGCTCGTGACTCGGTAAAGTGGCCAGAAACATCAGTTCACAGAAGCAGTCCATATTGTACATGGCACACACATCGATCCTTGCGTCCACTTCGATCATAAAGTCCATTAGACGCCTGGCCTGAGGACTTTTGACACTCTCATTGCGGAATTTCAGAAAAAAGTGATCTTCGCCAGGAGGTGGTGAGAACTGTGATTTTAATCGACTTAAGATTTATATAAAATATTATAACAAATGACTGATTTACCTGGATTTTATTAAAGGACACCGACACCACTCGACCAGTTTCCACTTCTTTTACCAACAACGAAACACCGTCCAAAGCCGTTATCCTGCACAACTCACGCAGTTCTAGTCGAGCTTGCTTATTTTCAGGCAAGTTTATTTCGCAAGCAATGCATACCGATTCATTAAGAAAAAAAGATCTGTCGAGAACCTAAAAACAAACAATAATAAAAGAAATTGGCAAAAAAGCGAACTGCGTCGGCCGGGAATCGAACCCGGGTCAACTGCTTGGAAGGCAACTATGCTAACCATTACACCACCGACGCCACGTCTGATGCAATGAGAAAAAACGTTTTTATGTTACATGGAAGCAACCACTTTGAAAATTCCCCTAACAAATTACCAGTGAACTTTAAGCTCTGCTCTTGATCGTCAACTCAAGTCACGTTGGCCCCTAGTTAATTTTTTTTACCTACTAAGCTTAGATCTTGAGAAGGTATCTTCAATTAAACTTACATCAAGCGCCTCTTCCAAATCGGATTCGGTGACACTGCGCACTTCAAATTGTCCTAAAATACAACAATTTTAATTAACAAACAAATTTTGTTGTGTTTTTTGCATCCAAAATACCTACCATCGTGAAGTGTTCCCCAGAGCCTTCCATTCTCTACCCGCATTTCGGATGTCTTATCGGTCAGCTAGCAAACAAATATAGAAACAACCGTGCCTAATGCCGAACTGTTACTGAGCGATACAGGTTTACGACTAGGCAACATATGTAGTAGAATGAAGCTTAAGAATCCGAATACATACTATACACTAAGTGGACCTTATCTAATCTCGTCGGCACGCGAGTTTTATATGGATTAAAAAAACCAACATATGTAACTAAATGTAGTACTGGCTGCGCATGTTTTAGTCCTTGATGGACATTGTATCGGCCGTGCCAAGGAAGAAGTAGTCATCAATTCACTTCTGTATTGGAGAATCCTTTCCTAAAAGCCACTTTATGGCCTTCTCGTTGGCCCTGTTCTTATCGGACACAGCTTTGTCGAAGACAAACAACAAATTACAAATTATAAACTACATTATATTCTCCACCTTTTACAAAATCAAAATTAAATTATTTAAATACAACCTTCTTAACAGCTTATTTGTAAGTTAACTAGTGTAAAAGCAATACTTTTGATTTTGCAAGTTCCGCTAATTTGATTGTGGACACATTATCTCTTCGAATTTAACTTCTGGCTCAATGTTGGCCATCGCTTCCTTGATTTTCCTCCGAGCATCGGATACGTTTTTGTTTCTACGGTTCTTGTAAGTGCGAAATGCCACTCTGATTTCAGCGATATAGTCATCTCTAAAATACCCGTCTCGCTTCAAGGATTCTGCAATGTAAATATGTACATAAGGCGAGGAAAGAGTAAGTCTATAGGAATGATGGTACCATACAAGGCGTTGTTAAAGTTATCAAACTTCTTCAGGGGTATCTTATTGTGAATGCCATCAAAATTGAACTCAACCAAAAACTCGATTGCAAATATCAAATGGAAATGTTTTTTTAGACCACCGGGTCGGAACGTCCCATCGGGTTTTAAAATATCCTTCATTGTTTGGATCTGTACAGTAAAGAATATTATTATTATGGATATTTAAATATAAAGTAATTAGCTACAAACATATAACGATGATTTAATGGGATCATTCATTTCCTCCTCTATAGTTTCTATTTGTTGCAGTTCCACCAAGGGAAATGATTGGGGAAACCAGTCCTCTGACTCAGGGCTCATCATTTGTCGTATGCTGTTTATTGAAATTATTTTTGGTCCGAAAGAATCGCTTGGCTGAGTTATCATCTGGCTAAAAATTAAAAAGAGCAGGTTAATTAAAACCCAGCAGGTTAAATAAACTTTTTAAAAGTTACCGTAAAACCCCCAGCATTTTCCTCTGATTGCGTAAAACCATATCCATTTTTTCATTCAAGATCCTTATTTTTTCTTCAGTAGAGGGCTTAACAAACTCCTTTTTTATCACCTTATAAGGAAACGGACTCGGTTCATTATTTGCAGATCTTTTCTTCATTGTCTCTGAAGCTATTCTGTTATGGCAAGGTAACTGGTTACTTCATCAGTGAGATCTGTGCACCGTATGTTATTGAACCCGGCATCAAAGTTTAGGATTTTGACGTTGTGTAAGTTGGTAACGAATCTTTTAAGTCCCCGGATGTTATCTGGTATAAGTATGTGGGGATTTTACAAGAAGTTTTTATTTATTTTAAAGTTTAGTAACTGTTTAGGATAATAACAGCAGTGTGACCATTAATTGAACGGCTTAATTTACCTGATAGACAGTCCAAATACGAGGGGTATTCCTGTCTGTTGAAATTTTTAAATTAGTGCCGGGTCTTTCTTTCAACTTCGTTTTTCAATTACATTTTTTATTTTTAATAGTATACTTATTTTATTAAATCAAGATTATACACAGAAGCATTAATATTTTACTGTTGAATATTTCAAGAGTTGCCAGACTTACAGACTTTTGTGTTGCTTGCAGCGATGCCTCATCAGCTGATTGCTTATTTCAGAATAAAACATTATACTTTGTTATTGTTCCGAGCGAATCGAAAAACGTTTATCAAGACAGTTTTAAAAAGTGCAATAAAACGATAGATAATTAAAGCTTTAATCGAAATCTCACTTAGCCGCGTTGCTTGGCAACCTAGGCTCAAACAAACGAAATTGGAATCTCTCTCGCAGTTAAAACAGATTCAAGTACTTATTAGCAAAATGTTTATACTAGACAGAATACTGCCGTTTATATTTAGCTATATCAGACCGTTTATCAAGTGGTTCCTGCACGCCTTCACCAGACTCTCGGAACTTCAGAGGATATGCTATGGTGCCAGGGCAGGTGCCAGCCGGACGAGTCAGGTGGAAAGATCCCTGACTTTGTCCAAGAGACCCCAGATAAGGCGGCTTGTACTTGACCTTGATGAGGCGGCTCCATACGTGAACGACTCGGAGCTAATGGAGTTTGGTAAGGCAAAGAATAATTGGCTAAATTATTGATAAAAATATCATTAAATTATAATGAGAGTTTCAAGATTTTAAATGCTAATGCATAACAGGTAATACCCGTGGATATTAATATCTTATTTTTTATACGTTTACAAACAATCGTAAGTTTTCCAAAAAAAATAATATGTATTTTTTAATTGGACAATGCACAGTCAAACATAAAAAGTTGAACAAAATTTGGAGTTCCAATAATGTTTAGATACTCTAACAAAAATAAATTGAAAATTCACAATTATTTTAAATAAGATTAAAATTACCTCACTAACCGTTTCTAACTTAAAATTGATACTTTCAGCTCCTCGTGCTGCCCGTATTGTGATGCAGGCTAAACGCATCAAGAACAATGTACATCCGGACTTTGCCCGACTATTCGGCACCTGTGTAACCAGTATCTGGGGATACCGTCGACTCATGTATCAGCTGGAGCAGCTGCGGGCGGAGCGGTACGACTCGGATAACCTGGTACACGAGCAGAAGTTACTCCGGCTATGGGAACTTTTAATGCCGGAGGCTCCGCTCACTGGACGAGTTAGCAAACAATGGCAGGATATTGGTTTCCAGGGAGACGATCCCAAGACAGACTTTCGAGGAATGGGCATGCTCGGCTTGGAGAACTTGTTATACTTCGCCACCGCCTATAATGACGCCGCCAAGCACGTGCTCCTGCACTCGATGCATCCCACCCTGGGTTACACCTACGCAATCGTGGGCATTAACCTCACCTCGATGGCCTTTAATCTAGTCAAATCGGGAGCCGCCAAAACCCATTTCTACAACCAGGTGGTGCAGCACAGGCAAGACTTTAGCACTGTTGAGGATTTCCATAGGCTATACTGCTACCTGTTCTTCGAGTTTGACCGATTTTGGATGGAGAGCGATCCGCGCAACATTATGGACTTCCGCGAGATTTATCAAGCCTTCGAAATAACAAAACTGGAGGCCTTGCACAACGATAGCACTATTTTTAAGACCAATTTGGTTGTTGAATCCGTCTAAAAATACAGATAAAGATGAATTAGAAAATGTTGTTTAGTTGTTGGATCTGATTAGTTGTCGGCGGTTTTATATCCGGGGAAACCACGTCATTATATTCAATTCGAACGGAATATAACAAATCGAAGTATTATTTATATACAAAAAAAAACAAGAAGTTAACTCTTTGTATAAATGCAGATTTTATGCGTTTATTTGAGAGCAATATATAATGTATATTTGTGTATGTATTTATATATTTTTTAATGCAAGTATGTAAATAGTTAAACTAAGCTTGGAATGTCACATAATAATACTTTAAATTCAAGTCAGAGATTGCCCACTGAGAGAGACTAAATAATAATTTAAATATCACGCAAAAGCATCGAAACTAAACGAAATAAAATCAATAGGAGATTGCACAAGAAAATGTTCTGCCGACTATAGCCTATTTGGTAATGCCATAAGAATGCTCAAGTCAAATCCTGAGGCTCAATAGAGCTTGCAAGCTAGTTTTTGGAGTATCCATATAGATAGTATTCTTTTGCCTAGCGGTAGAACTTGACCTCCGCCTCAACACAGTCCTTGAGCAGTTCGTCCAGCTCGTCGCTGGCGTGGTCCTGCAGTGAGAAGTAGTTGTTCAGCTCGTCCACGCAGGAGCGCTCCAGGCTGCGCAAGTGTTCCAAGGCCGCCGGTTTGCGCTGCGAGTGAAGCTTGTGCAGCAGCGTCAAGTCCGAATCCGCCTGCACTTGAGTCAGCGGAGAGATCCTCGGCTTGGGTGCGAAAACGAACGGCTTGAACACAGACTCGGCGGCGTTGGGCGTTCCAGTAAACCAGTGGCACGAGATGCCCTTGACCGACAGCACCGATACGGTGGCCGCTCGCGAACTGCTCGCATTGCTGGCAGCCCGCAGAGTTTCGAACATATCATGCTGAGTGTAAGTTCCGTCTCCGGCTGGCTTGGGTCCGCACCAATCCTCAGCCGGCGACTGGGCCTCGGCATCGTGGGCAGCGGCAAAACTGGACGCCTCATCTAGTCCCTCGCTTGACTTGTTCACCACTGTGGTCACCGCCAGTCCGCCGGAGGGCAAACGTATGAAGCTGGCCTCCAACTTCTCGGCAGCCCAGACCTTGCCGGCGCAACTCACAAACCAGGCGGCGGCCGCATCACAAGCTACGAAGTTCAGTTTGGAGTTGTCGTGACCGTAGCTGGCCACCAGAGATCCAATGCGGTCTACAGCATCGTCCACGTCTTTGGCCACAGCCAGAGTTACACTACAAAAAAATAAATCGATGAGTTAATACCTGGAAAATCGTAGAACAATTGCTACTACATATTTAAATTTGGGCTTAAACTAAAATAATGGATACAAAAAACGGAAGCATTTGAGAGCGAATTCATCAGTTTATCAGGCATCTGGTAAAGTTGCCCAATGATTTCAATGTTAAATACAAAATGCTTATCTACAAGATTAAAATAATTAACCAATTATGCCATTTGTTATCTAAGAATTATTGAATAAAAAAACTATGTATTTCTAGATTGGAGCAGAACTCGAGCATCACAGTGCTAACTTGTAACGTACCGCACTATATCCGTGCCCAGCAAGCAATCGCTGTCCTTGGCCTCATTTTCACCTGTCGCCCAGGTAAGACCAACTGCCACACCGCGTTCGTTGGCCCCAAAGTCCCCGCCCCAAAGGCCCGGCTGCGGTTTCTGCAATATGACACGCACGGCTTCGCCACTCGTCTCAGCAGAAGCTCCACCGTCAGTCTGCAATGGTAGGCAAAAGGTGAGTCATTGATCAAGCTCCATTTTCAGGAGACTTTACCTTCCCCTCAAGCACTTCGCTGACATCATAAAAGCAAACCTCCGAGGCAACGTTTACACTTTCTTTGTCTTCTGCATTCCGACCAACGATAAGTGTTCCTTCGGCACAGTTTTCGGGCAATACAATGAAGCAATCGGCGTTGGAGGTCATTTTTCCAAGCTTTTCTCGCAGACTTTCTTTAGAAAAACGCGAGGGAGTTGCAAAATTGATTTTTCCCACAGCTGTTTGGAGCACGAGAGTTATTCAACACTGTACGATACTATCCCCACGAACGTAATATCATTTTAGGACGTCTGGCAACGCCGATCCCATATTAAAACTGTAACTAAAAACAGAATTATGTTCAAATATTTTGCCTTTCTTTTTTGAGAAGGCTTACATACACGTAAATTGAAAGCTTCTTTTAACCAATTGCCCAAAAATCCGAAACACTTTTTAAGTCATACCAAATAAACAGTTGGTCCTACCCATCTCTATGAATTTGTTCCGCCTCTAAATAAAAACTCATCGCTAGAAATTTACCCATCGGTCTGGTAACCGAGGATTTTTTTTTGTTTCGGTGTTAAAATGATCCAAAGCCGTTGTTTTTAGAGATCAAATCGTGCACACCTCGGAATTGGATGGTTCTCGCGAAATTTGGCCAATTGGGAAAACATCGCAGCCTTCGAAATCGTTTCACCTAAACTGCATTTGTATACAGAGCAGGTGGTGTTGTCTCCCTCTCGCGCCCGCACTGCTCGCTCCTGATGTGCGAGCGAAACAACAACAAACAAGTTACAAGGTGTGTGGTGTTGTTGTCGTTGTAGTTGTAAATACTCGCGCACACAGCATTGTTGTTGCGCTGGTGGATGGTGTTGTTCAGCGCCTTTTTCGAGTGTTGATTATTTTACTTGCGTGCGTTTGCTACTCGTGGGCGGCTGTAAAGTCTTTGGGGCGCGGAAAAGTGCTGTGAAAACCCAGAAGAAAAGCCATCAAAACGCTTCGAGCCGAAAAGCGTTCTTTCCAACTGCCAAATCGGGTAAAAAAAAATTGAGAAAATCAATATTCTGTGAGGGTGTTGCGGCCAATAAGAAACCGCTGCGTGAAAATAACAAGAAAGTCTAAAGAATTTCAAGTTTTTGGTGGACCGCTCCCTGAAAAAAAGAGATATTTTATGTTTTTGTTGTGCGTCGCTTGACCACTTGGACCGCGCGCCTTTTTCCCCGCCGTGAAACTAGTTTTTTATTTGGTAGCGCACCGCTGATGACGTTTTAAAGCCCTGCTGGCCTGTGAAATTAAAGCAATTGCCCATAAAAATCAATAAATTCAAGCCACGGGTGTATACACACAATTTGGTGGAAATTTAACCAGTGCTTTAAGAGGCGAGTTGCGGAAACTGGGAGAAACCACCCTCCAGTCCCCAAAAACTCCCCCGAAGGATGTTTTAAATGGGGTATATTTATATGTACACCCGCCCACATTTCACCCCCCAAAAACGCGCCCCCTTTTCCGGCATTTCGTGTACATACACGTAGCATCTCCCCGCGTGCGTGTGTATGTATCTGTTCTGTCTGAGTATATGTGTTTTGTGTCGAAAGTGCATTGCTCTTCATTACAAAAGCAACGTGCAGAGCGGCCCCGTTTCATGTGGCTAAGTGTGTGTGCTTTTACACCGTTAAGTTAAGAGAACTCCAGCCATCGCGCAGTTGGCAACACGCTGGCTGCGTTTTTCGGCAGTTGGCAACACGCTGACCCAATAACGGTATATCAGACCCGCACTCACCCCTCCCGCTTCCGTACACAGAAGCTTATGCATGAATGGAACAGAAACAACACCCGCATGCCGTTATTATTATTATTATTGTTGTGTGTGAAATCTCCGCAAATGCCGCGACCCACATATTTGCTCTCACTCGCACAGTGGGACCAAATTTCCCCCTCAATTGGAGTCAGAGTACGGCTGCATTTTCCTGTTTTATTTTTGGTAGCCCATTTTATTCAAGTTCAATGAACCAGCCCACGGAATGCCGCGTGTAAAAGTATGTGTTGTGCGTCGCCTGTTTTGTGAACGTAACATGAATTTTGGTTTGGCCTTTATGACCGTTATTTATCACATTTGGCATTTCAATATTCGGTAGCATCGCCGTTTATGTTTACAACCAGCTTTGTTTAAATTATTCGAAATAAACATTCGCTTTATTTATTTAACATCGGCGAAATTACCTTGACATTGAGACATTGTGTTTGTGCGAGTGTGCGTGTAAATGTTTTGCGAATGGAGCCCAATTGCCATCTCACTCGCTCTCGCAGAGCAGGCTAAATTGTAAATACCAGTGCACAATTAAGTAATTCTTCAAAAGGCAGGTGCATGTTTTTGCTGTTATGAATAGCGAGTGCGAATGACCTTGTCAATTGACACCTGCATTGATAGCTGAATATCATCGATAACGAGAAAGGCCGGAACCTTTATCTCAAGATCGTTGCTTATTCGTGTGCTAAATACTTCTTGGTATTGGGAAGTCCTTCCTGATGTTAAAATACCAAAGTACCCTTTAAGAAAATTATTTAACACTAATAAAGCCGTTTATATTAATGTCAGTTCCGTAAGAAGTGAATAACCAAATGAATTAGTAATTTTTACCAGATTCTTATGAGTGTACATCCAGGTATTTGCCAACCTAATAATTACTTAATGACTATACATATGTCCCATCGTCTGTACGTACGTTATCCCCTTACAAGTTTAAAAATAGGTGAATATACATACATACATACATACATACATTCACAAATTACACTGTGCGACAAAAAAATGGCATAGATATTTTTGTGCATAATTTATGCATTTTAACCGAAAACAATCAAAAAAGTAACTTAAACAAACATTTCGTTAAATTTTGTCGCACAGTGTTATCACACCTAAGATATGTATGTACTCAGATTTATTTTAATTGACTGATGATTGTATAAAAGAAATCATAATTATTGTCATATTTACTATACATGTGTATTTATAGTAGTTAAGTTTTTCTGCATCGAGTACAACGCTCGCCAATAAAAAAATAACATAATTGGGCAGTTCTATACTTTTGATAGATTAAACCAAAAAAATGCTTATGTATTTTTATATTATTGTATAATAATATGTATTTTTATTTGTTTAATTCCCTATGTCCGATTTACTGAACATCTTGTTTAAATGGTCTCCAGTTCTTGAGTATCATGATGTATTGAATCTATTATAAAATGACTCATAATTAAAAATCTCAAATTCATCGATGGTAAAGAACTTATTTAATATATTTCTATATTTACAGTTCCAACAAAATTCCGTCTTCATTTAATCCAAAACTGGAGCTAGACTCCAGCAAAGACGACACCATTCACTCCACAAGCTTAAACAAGAAACTGGTCAAGATTAAAAAGTTTAAGTTGGACGATATGAAGGAGATGGTGGGCGGCTGTTGCGTTTGTTCGGACGAGCGGGGGTGGCCGGAGAACCCGCTCGTCTACTGCGACGGCCAAAACTGTTCGGTGGCAGTGCACCAGGCGTGCTACGGCATTGTCACGGTGCCCACGGGCAACTGGTACTGCAGAAAGTGCGAGTCCCAGGAGCGGACTTCCCGAGTCCGGTGCGAACTGTGTCCATCGCGGGACGGAGCCCTCAAGAAGACCGATAATAGCAGCTGGGCCCATGTTGTGTGTGCCCTGTATATCCCAGAGGTGCGGTTCGGGAACGTGACCACCATGGAGCCCATCATATTGTCGTTAATACCTCCGGAGCGGTACTCAAAAAGTAGGTACCCCTTTACATAATCCTAAAAAGCTACTGAATTTTACTAATTGATGTTAAAATAACTTAAAAGTGTTTTACTGGTTTAAGTGAGTTCATTACGTTCATGAAACTCTTAATTTAAATATGAAAACCTCAAAGAAGTAATTGGCTCTGAGGTTTTAGAAAATCTATTACTATGACAATAAATTGAATTGTTCATTAGTGCAAATTACGTAAGTCATTTAATTTAGTCAGTTAGTAGCAATTCAGAAACTAAGGGCATTTTTCAAACCATTCTAACCAGATCTATTACTTTTTCAGCTTGCTATATTTGCCAGGAGATTGGCAAACCGAATCGTGCTAATGTCGGCGCCTGTATGCAGTGCAACAAATCGAACTGCAAGCAGCAATTCCATGTCACCTGCGCCCAGAGCCTTGGGTTGCTCTGCGAGGAGGCAGGGAACTATCTGGATAATGTGAAATACTGCGGCTATTGCCAGCACCATTACAGCAAACTGGTGCGTATGTGTGGGATAGCATTCATGATTTTTCCGTTCAATTTATTGATACTTTGCAGAAAAAGGGCGGCAACGTCAAAACTATACCGCCATATAAACCCATTCAACATGACACCTCTTCCGATTCGTGTTCGTCGCCCGAGAAGGAGATTGATTCTACCATGAACTCCGCGTCGACGTCGGCCACAAGCATTAAGATCACAAGTAGCAGTGCAAGTGGCGGAGGCAGCAGCAGTGGCTTGAACGCCAGCTCTAGTGTGGGCATCTCCGGGGGAAGCGGCAGTGGAAGTGGCGTCTCATCGTCCTCCAAGCAACGCAAGAGCAATGCGTCCGGGAAATCGTCGAGCAGCAGTAGCAGTAGCTCATCATCCTCGACGGGAGTGTCGGCCAACCCGTCCTCTAGTTCTGCACACTCAGGCGGTGCCAGCAGTGTTGGAGCCGGGAGTAGTTTACTACCAGGCGGTAGTAATACCATCGGCAATATTAGCAGTAATTTAGGCAATAACCTGTCAAGCGGCAGTGGATCCGCCAGCAGTGCTGGCAATGCGGCGAGTGGGAGCTCCAGTGGAGGAAATCTACCAGCTTCGGGCAGTGGTGCCACACATACGGCGGCCAGTCAATCGTCGGCAGCAGCCACAACAAAATCATCGGCGAGTAGTTCAAGCAGTAGTAGCAGCAGCTACAAGGATAAACATAGCAAGAGCCTAAGCAAATCCACCTCTAGCAAAGATAAGGATGGAAAAGATAACGGTAGCAATTCGGCAAACAATAGTTTCTCGAATTCATCAGCGTCATCAACATCTTCCAACTCCTCGTCGTCACGAGAGAAGTCCTCCTCGAAGCTTTCGAAGAGCAAAGATTCCATTCAAGTACCGAGTGCCACCAGCAGCACAAGCACAACCAGCAGTATCAGCACGCAGCCCAGTTCGTCCACTTTAACAGCTAGCAGTGGATTGAGCGGAACCGGAACCCATGTCAGCAGTTCAGCTTCCAGCGGAAATAACACTAACGCCTCAACAACCAATGAGCACTCGAACCACGCTCATAATTTGAGCACAAATGGAGCAGGAGGCGGAAACGCAGCCGGAAAACAGCAATCCTCTAGTAATCTGGCTAATCAGCATCTCAGTACCAGCAGTTCCGGCTTGGGATCAGAGCTAAGACCGGGAAGCACCACCTCAAGCTCGGTATTGAGCGATTCCTCCGGCTTCGGAAGTAATTCAAATTCAGAAAGAGATAGTTTGACCGGCGCTGGATCGTCGGCAAGCAACCTGTCTGGAACAATGGGTCCTGGCATGGGTGGCGTATCCTCCAGTGCTGCCACGAATCTGAGCACAAACAAGGGAGGCTCTTCGTCATCGGCGACAAGCAATCTCACCTCAACGAACCTTTCTTCGGGAAGCTCCTCAACCTCGACATCGAAAAAGCGAAAGGCAGACTCTGCCAAGTCCAGCGGCAGTATTTCCAATGCAGCCTCCTCTCTGGACGAGAACAATAGGTGGGGATCGAGAATCGCAAAGAAAAGGTCTTTTACAAATTACATTTTTCAAAATTTTGTAGTTAAATAGATTGTTGTCAGTAAGGCCTGGTTTTTAAATATTACAAGAAAAAACTAAAAACTTGTAACCAATTTATAGTTAATGGTTCCCCGGAACTGGTTAAAAGTAGTGTATAATGAATAAAATTCCTAGGGATTTAAAGGGTATTAGTGAATACCTGTTATTATTATTATTTCTAATAAAAATATAAAATGGTATATTTCCTTAAATATGCCAACGAATTCGTAAGCTATAGGAGTTTTTACAAATATGTTAACATACATTTAAATTTTTAAAATAGTTTTTTATATTTTATTTTGTGTTGTCAAAACCAGGCCTTACAAGTATAATTTCGTATTTGTACTAAATACTATCTCAGCTCATTTGATAAATTGTAGACATTACTAATAACTTAACCCGTATGAGACCTTTTGTCCTTATATAATACACAGAAAAGATTATACAAATTTATCGTTTGTATCTGCAGCCTTATATCCCGATATGATATCAAAGATGTTCATGTGGCACTGACACCGCTTACGGACTTTGAAAAGGAAATCGAGAAGAGCTCCAAGAGGGTAAGTTTCACCAAACATTTTTTATCTGTATGAATATTAACTATAAATAGACTAGTAAACAATTAAATTACCGTACCGAAAGAGTGAAAAAATGTGGGAAGAGCTTTTTAACTCTTAAGCAACATATTCCGGGATCTCTTGAGATATTTTGAGGTATTTGTGACACACTCTCTTTTTTGGATACAATGTTGCCGTGTGAATGATGGTCCCCATTATTCCCCACACTTGTGTACGTCATGTTATATAGTTTGGATTCTCTGATCTAACCTGCAGAATCAGACAGAGAGAGCATTCAGTAGTTTTAGTACAGCTAAATTCGTTTCGCTTGCCAAAAGCTTTGAACGGAGGCGCCTTGCCAATTTTTGTATCATATTCATAAGTGGAAATTGCAATTACAGATGCATGTTAAAAATGTTTAAAGAAATTCTGTCGAAAGCGCAAGGTGTGCGTTAATTATACAAAAGGTGTTACACACTTTATTGGATTTGAAATGAATTTCTTGTTTTTCAATGCTACGTTTTGAACACCAAGGTTTCAAGACGGATAAATCAATAGTTAACCTATAATATTAATAAAATTATTTAATTGGGAAATTAGCTTTAAATCTTGTATTAAGCTTCTCTGCAATAAAAATGCGAATTAATAAGGATTTGAAATTACAAATTTCTACATAGGAAAGCCATAAAAATGTTATCTTCCTTATTTTGGGAACTTTGCAAGGGTAACCTTTAGTCGAATGTGGCCTTCGCCCTGTCTGTATCTATTTAGCCTTTTTGATTGATGCCCAATGATGTACCCATGCCCCATTAATTTCCTTTTGAACCAAAAGTGCATGGTAAAATATTATCGAAATTTAATTAAATGCAAATGCGCATGTTAATTTATTGATGTTGTTGAAATGCCGATGGACCGAAAGACAGACTGACACACAGTGACTTTGAACAAGACAGTTGAACCATGTTGGCGATCCAATAAAACAGCAACATCATTTTTTTCGCCTTGTCATGAGCACCTCCACCTGGAATATTCTGCTAGAATATATTTGCCTATGAAAATTATAAAGCACATTTCAGATAAACATGCATATAAGTGAGAGCAGATATTTTGTGATTTGTTGGTTTTTTGTTCGAGTCGCTAATGTATTTATTGTTGGCTGACTATATAGTCATCCCTATCGTTTGTCTCTGGCGACATCGTCGCCTTCGTGCCGTGTGCAGACAAAGACTCAAAGCGCTTGACAAATTTTGCAGCGCGATCAGTCGAAAATCGTTGTTAATCGAAGCTAAACTAAAATTAAGGATATTTCTCTTGCGAACCTTATTATTACGAACGAAAAGTAAATATCTGTTCTTCAAGCACCAAAAACTCAACTCATCATCCTCGAACTCGCATAATCCAAGAACTAAATAACTAAGTGTTGTGCTCGGCTGTAAAATATCGTTTAAAGCTGTTTTGAACTGAAGCGAAGAACCTGCTGTTTTGTCAAGCGTTCGTTTAATTTTAGAACTCATGTGTGTAATTTGGACCATAATTTGACCCACAAATGAGAGGAATGTATGGCTCCACAGAGGAAGCATTTTCCCACACACTGTTATTTATAGATTCTGTTTTTTGTGTGGAAAAACTTTTCCGCATCTACTCGTATTTGACTCAATGAAACGAGAATTGTCTGTGAGGAGTATCTTTTGACGCGGTACAGTGGACTGGATATACTAAATTCTTATCCAAACCTTCAGAAGAATGCAGAATAATCAAACTAAATAAGTTCATAACCTAGTTGTTTGTTGAATTTAAAAAAGAACAAATCTAAGTTTCATAAATTATTACCTTCTATAACAACCAAATACCGAGACTGACAGTAAATCTTTTGTAAACACAAAACAAAGTTTCACTAGCGGAGTAAAGCCAATAGTTCATTTTATTTTCGAGTTAGTGCCATATAAACGGTTGAATGACTAATTTTAAATGTTTTTCCTGTAGTCTTAAGTAAAGACGTCAATGTAAACAAGATCGAGGTCCCTAGTTCTTTGATAAGGTGCCCAAAACAATGCACCCCAAACTCTTCTTTTTTTTTTCCTCGATGATCTCCCCTTGGGAACAAAATGTTCACACAACATTTTCCCCAAAGTTAGCGATCATAAAAAACACAAGTGAAACGGGCAAGTAACGGGAAAAAAAGTTGAAAAACCGCAGACTCAACCAATACCATTAAATTTTCATCCCACTCTCTGGCGTTATTAGATGAAAACTGAAATGAAACGAAGGAAAATTGCTTTTGCTCCGTGTTGCCGCATCTAAAGTTTCTCAACTCAGAGCTGAGCAGGAAAACTCATCGGCAGCGGCGAAAAGTCGTCTGCCGTGCCGTGTGCACTCAGAATTATATAGACTAGTTTGCTTTGAGCAATCTTCCAGTTCAGTACTCGGCGCTTCCGTGTGTGGTTTTAGTGCGTTGTAGGTTCCGTTCTAGCCCGTCATATTGGAGCAGATATAAGCCCCTATCGGGTAGATATTGCCAGCTCTTAACCGATATTGCACCCAGCCGCGATTGCATCGCACCTGACTAACCCGCTGCAACCGCTAGATAACCGGATTACCGGCCAGGGACGATTCCCGAGCGGTGTTGCCCTAGCTGTGACTCAAATATAGTACACCCAGATATATATCTGTCATAGTGGCGGTCATTTTTTCTGTGTGCTTTCCCATATATTTCTACCTGTCTGCGTTATTTTCGTACAAAATATTCTGTGTAGATACACATTTATTGCTCATGTTTTCCTCTGTTTTCTGTGACTCAAAAAATTCGTTCCTAATTTTTTATGTGAGAAAGATGTTATTTTCTGATCATTAGCACAAGAATTCTCTATATGTATTACGTATACGTCCGGTTGGGTAATTTTCTGGCACGGGCGATGACGTCTTGACTGACAGATAAGAACTTTGATAGATGATCTACATAATGAAAATCGAGCAGAAAATTGTTGAACATCAAATTGAATTTTGAAGGGGTACTAAAAACATGAGCTGCAACCATCCCGAATCGTAATCACCTATAAGTGGACAGGTCTCGTGTACTAAAAGTTACGATCTTAGTTTTCTCTTGGAATAAATTTTAATTAAAAGTGACTTAAAAATGTTTTTTCGCCCTTAAAACTGTGACTATTAAAACTGTCACTATTAAAACCGCCATTATTAAAGATGAAAATTCTTGAGCATAATATAAAAGCGCAGTCAGCCAATAAACTCTTTCATATATATATATATATATAAACTACAAATTTTTTTTCATGGATAGTTAAAATTTTGATATTATAGAACGCAAGAAGAACAGAAAGTCAGATGCTGACTTATCAGCCAGTCACTCAACCACTAGGAATGCAAACACACAGAAAAGTAGGCAAACGTCCAACACGGCAGGTGCTTACCTCATCCATCGCTTTCATCGCTTCCGAAGCTCCACCCCTGCTGCTCCGCGGAGAAGCACCCCTCGATCCCATCGACTCTATGTGTTCTCTTTCTGCACTTTCAGATAATAAACTTAATAAGTATAGTAATTGTACTCGAGTAGATCATTTCGATAGCGAGAGCGTAGTCAAAACCGAAACACATACAAAATGCCTTCCTTCCAACCGATCGAGGCCCCCAAGTGTCCGCGTTGCGGCAAGAGCGTCTATGCCGCGGAGGAGCGCCTGGCCGGCGGCTATGTATTCCACAAGAACTGCTTCAAGTGCGGCATGTGCAACAAATCGCTGGACTCCACCAACTGCACAGAGCACGAGCGCGAGCTGTACTGCAAGACCTGCCACGGCCGCAAGTACGGACCCAAGGGCTACGGCTTCGGCACCGGAGCGGGAACCCTCTCCATGGACAACGGGTCACAGTTCCTGCGCGAGAACGGCGACGGGCCGGCGGTGAGGAACGGCGCTCGTCTGGAGCCGCGGGCCATTGCCCGTGCCCCGGAGGGCGAGGGTTGTCCCCGGTGCGGCGGCTACGTGTACGCCGCCGAACAGATGCTGGCCCGCGGACGCAGCTGGCACAAGGAGTGCTTCAAGTGCGGCACCTGCAAGAAGGGTCTCGACTCGATCCTGTGCTGCGAGGCGCCGGACAAGAACATCTACTGCAAGGGCTGCTACGCCAAGAAGTTCGGCCCCAAGGGCTACGGCTACGGCCAGGGTGGCGGCGCCCTGCAGTCCGACTGCTATGCCCACGACGACGGAGCTCCCCAGATCCGTGCGGCCATCGATGTGGACAAGATCCAGGCCCGCCCGGGTGAGGGATGCCCTCGTTGCGGCGGCGTGGTCTACGACGCCGAGAAGAAGCTCTCCAAGGGACGGGAGTGGCACAAGAAGTGCTTCAACTGCAAGGACTGCCACAAGACGCTGGACTCGATCAACGCCAGCGACGGTCCGGACCGGGATGTCTACTGCCGCACCTGCTACGGCAAGAAGTGGGGACCCCACGGCTACGGATTCGCCTGCGGCTCCGGCTTCCTGCAGACGGACGGCCTGACCGAGGACCAGATCAGCGCCAACCGGCCGTTCTACAACCCGGACACCACGTCGATCAAGGCGCGCGACGGCGAGGGATGCCCCCGTTGCGGAGGCGCCGTCTTCGCCGCCGAGCAGCAGCTGTCCAAGGGCAAGGTGTGGCACAAGAAGTGCTACAACTGCGCCGACTGCCACCGCCCGCTGGACTCGGTGCTGGCCTGCGACGGACCCGACGGCGACATCCACTGCCGCGCCTGCTACGGCAAGCTGTTCGGACCCAAGGGCTTCGGCTACGGCCATGCCCCCACCCTGGTGTCCACCAGTGGCGAGAGCACCATCCAGTTCCCCGACGGCCGCCCGCTGGCCGGACCCAAGACCTCCGGCGGATGCCCGCGCTGCGGCTTCGCCGTGTTCGCCGCGGAGCAGATGATCAGCAAGACCAGGATCTGGCACAAGCGCTGCTTCTACTGCTCGGACTGCCGCAAGTCGCTGGACTCGACGAACCTGAACGACGGCCCCGACGGCGACATCTACTGCCGGGCCTGCTACGGCCGCAACTTTGGGCCCAAGGGCGTGGGCTACGGTCTGGGCGCGGGCGCTTTGACAACGTTCTAAACGACGAGTTGATGTACTCTAATGTAAAACCCAATAGAAGTCCACATCCACATCCCACATCCATGTCTGTGAACCGTTCCGATACTTCTGTCTAACGACCTGTCTGTTTTAATCATTAACTATCCCAGAAATTAGCTAACTTAGTCTTCGTTTTGCTTCCAACGATTTTTGATCAACGATGCAGCAAATGCAAATCATACATATTTCTTTAGGTTATGTGAGAATAAGTTTAATATGGAAACAAGAGAAAAAGAATAAATGAAAAAAACACTTAAAACTTGAAACTGAAACTGAAACCAAAAAGAAGAACTTACGACTCAAAGCGAAACTAACCATCGAACACAGACACTAACGAACTAAACGACATATTAACCAAAGTGGAAAGTGGAAACTTTCTGCAGGTACAGTCACCGCGCAGGCGAAGAAGCACTACCGCGAGCCAAAGTCGTTTTTACTTTTTGTATCTTAACTTATATTCGATGACCAGCCAAGTATGTCTTATGCTCCAAACCGAAATACCCAGAAGCATACTCTGTGCAAACGTACCGATTTTATATCTATACTTTTACGACGAACTATGATGAATGATATGATGTTGTATATTTAGCTGACTTAGTTCTTACGATATACTTATGAAATCTGATTATTTATAATGATATTTGAATGATTTCTCACCCATCTAATCTCTTGCACTCCGATTCGGATGCGAGCCATGGCAGATATAAACTACTTATATATATATATCAGCATACATATTCTGCATACACACACATAACATCCAATAATATATGCCCCAGTGGGTTCCATGAAAACAAAACTATTTCGAAATGGTTTTTCGTAGTTTTAATTGATATAATTGGGTGCGCATACCTGAGATCGCTGCATTTACGTGGATGGATTGCTACCTGGTTGGAATGATGACCGGTGGGTGGGTGGTGTTTCGGTTGAGTTCGATTCGGTTTGTTTCGGGGGACTTGGTTCGGATTGAGCCACCTCATCTGGTCTATATATAGCATGTTCGGCCGACAAACATCGTGAAAAATAATTGCCCAACATACGCACAGAAGTTCTCTGCGTATACGTACAGGGATAAATCCTCGGCTGTGTGAGTTGGCCTCTTGAGAAAAACATTCGAAATGTTCCATAACCGTATCCAAATTATATTCTAAATATAAATATGATGCCAATATGGCTCACACAGCTGACTCGAAAGCTTTCCGCACCACTCAAAACGCTCACTCAAGAGAGAAAACGAAGAGCACCTTACTTCTTGTTCAGAAAATAATGTTGACACATCCTCGATTATAAAATAATGTTTTAACACGTGCCTGCCTGATAATGTTGTATAATAAGTGAGTCATTTAAAAGTGTTTTTCAGGCTGATGAGTGTGTTACCCACCCAAAACAAGTACTTTGGCTAATGCACTTTGGGCTGCCTACCCTCGAAGGCCCTCGAAATCGAAATAAAATATTTTCTGACACTTCCCACACCCACTTGCTGCAGGCATTATTCACATTTCTATTAATTCCCCGGTATCCAAGCCGCAGATCTCGAGGCATCTCTTGTGCTCCGTGACGTTGACCACGAAAATACGTTGCCATGGGGTTCGCCAAACTAAATAAATTATTTTTTGTTTTTATACTATTTTTTTAAGTCATAAATATTAAATAAAGCGCCTTCAGCCTCAGCCAGGTGTGTTTATGTTAGTTTTGGTTTCGCATCGGCGAGAGTATTTATAGACCTTCAGAGTCAGCGTCTATTTTCGAGAGATTCGTTTTTGAAATTGTTTTGCATATGACACACGGCACTTCAAAAACGCCCGAGCTGACGAGCTCAGGACTACGAATTTTTTGCTGACTACGCCGATGATCTCTAAATATACTCGGAGATATATTTTATTCGATATGGCTTTTCTAGTGTGTTATTAATGTTCAATTTCTGGATTTCAATGGTGCGAGAAGATTTATGCCTTGTTGGAGCCTGCGACTATTTGTATACCGAGTAGAACATGATTATGATTGTGACTGCGATAGAGAACATGTGGTTGTGTTGATTTTCGGTTCGCGGAAGATAAGTGCAAGGTTTTCCAGGGGGTTTGTGTTTACCCAGTCGACCGGTTTGAGATGTTACAGAAAAGGCGATTGATTGATTAAATCAGGAAATGACACATTCGATTGATCTGGTAATGACACAATAGGCAATCAAATGCTCATGATATCCATTGCATTACGTGACTAGCATGCATTTAATGGCCAACTTATTGATTTCGCATTACAAAATAAAATGTCCCACAAGTCGACGGGGGTAAGAATGGAATGGAATAGAAGCATCAGAACGGAACCATTTGGCCACAGACTGACAGTTTGATCGGCTCACTGCTGTGTTTCATTTTAGCCAGCAGTTGTGAAGTCCAAATTGCGATTGCCATATAGAACCATGGGGGGTTGTCTGGGAACCAAAGGAAAATCAGGAAGCGGAAGGACCTCAAGCTGGCTTTTTGATACTGTTTGGACACCCTGCTCATCGACAGTGGTGAAGAGTTTAAAAATCTACCCGCCGATGGGTGGGTGATAATTTATCATTTTTGTTCCTCTTGACTGTGTCAATTATGAGCGGTTGCCAAAAGTCGGGGGAAGGACTGGGAATTACACGTGCTGACTACACTTCGTACACACAATAAAACTACTTTTTTACGACACCCTCGCCGGCTGAGGGTTTGTTTTATGACCTTGCCTCCGTAAGTTAGCCGCTCTGTGTGCATTTCACTTAGCCAGTTCCTCTTAAATAGCCGTAAAACTCGTTTCGACAAATACGCTCTTCCTGGTGCAATTAATTTAGCTCGCCTGCCTTCTGGCGAGGTCCTTTCGGTGGAAATGTCGGGTCGCCCGAGCAACAGCACCTTATTTGGGCGCGGGTGGGTCGTTGAGTTTTTATCGAATCTCCGGGTCGCGTGTTGCCTGAATTTGACAAATTCATGGGTGCGACACGTGTCGCCTTATTGTTTTTTCTTGCAACTCTTGGTGAATGTTTTTACATGAATATTTGGGTACAGTTTCAGGAGCTGTTTATGCATTTAATGTCTGTACATCGCAAATATTTATCAATTATTTTTTATTTTATGGGTCGGGTTAGAAACTTTTGTAATTCAGGAGTTTTAGATCACAAGGAACGCAGGTTTACGCTACTTGCATTATGAAAGTGACAGTTTTTTTAGTGTTTTAAAAGGGTTTGTTACTAGGTTTTTAGAAACTAAGGAAACGGTCAAGTATACTCAAAAAAGTTATTGAAATACAATCGTTGAGCTGAAGTAATCCATTTGTTTTTTTTAAATTAAAATTGCCAAATTACCTTTTCTATTTCTTTTTTAATACCTTTTATTATTTTTGCTATTCGCCACCCCTAAATATTATTCTTCCAACGCCTAGCAGCACTGCCTGATCCAAACTGCTCAAGTGGAACTTGTGTAAATATCATGCTGTTGACACTTTTGTTTTAATTTGCTTTTTGAAATGTTTGAACTTACCCTTCTGTCGTTCTGTTGATTATCAATAGTGCGTACTAAGTGGGTTTGCTTAGTGGCGTGTGCAAAGTCAAAAACGTTGCCTGGATCAATATTTGCAAAATTCATTTGATTCCGTGAGTGTTGCACACAAACACACACACACACAGTTGTTTGTTGGGAAACCCTCTTCTCTTCTTTTTTAATAAGTTTAATGGGTTGAATGACCCGCCACAGGCAAGACTTAAAAGCATCAACTGTCTGAGCCCAGGGATTGCTCTAATTAATGCATGTTTAGGTGCTTTTGAGGGTCTGTTAATTATGGATGCCATATTTCATGCCACGAAAACAAAGAAATTTTGCTAACAGACAACTAACGACCGCAATGGGAACAACACGGTTGCAAGGTGCATATTAAACCTACAGTGAAACTGCTAGATTTATAAGATTTCGATTGCTATTAAGTAAAAACTTTTTTTCAATATTTAAATATTATAAAATTTCTGCCATTTTAGTCCCACTCAAAAATTTTGTATGGTAAAAGAAGATATCGACTCCTAAATTGTTTTTCATATTTAAAACACTCAGATTACAAATGTTCGCGTTCAAGGACTTACGCCTGTAGTAAAATTAATTTTCTTGCCGGCAACAAAGACGGCGCCATTGTTCCTTTGCCACCTTTCAGGTGATTCGATTACGGTCGCGATGTTGCAACGGCAACATTTGTGCCAGCTGCCCAACCTGAAAACTCAAAGGCTCCCCCCTTGCTTTAGTTGGATTTGTTTGTTTTGTAAAACAGGCACGTTCACCTGCCCCCTGGTCCTCCCCGCAGCCCAGTCGCCAGGTAAATGCCACTTAACGTTCATTTCTGCTTTTCTGCGCCATGATTTTTTGGGCTTTTATTTGCATCGCAAATTATGCTCGCTATTCTTCTTCTTCCCCACTCCAGCTGCAAACAATCTGCTGCTTCTTCTTCTTGCACTTTTATTTATTGCCAATTGCAAATGTCTGCGGTGGTTATTCCCCTCTTTTCCATCTCTTCGTCTCCTCTGCTACAAACGTTGCCTTACAATTCAATTATTTTTCATTTTCCTGTTTTGTCTTCTTGAATCGCTGTCTGGCAAATACAACAACAATAGCAGTGAGAGTAGAATTAACCTGCATGCAGCAATCGGGCACCCGCCCCCGACCACAGTACCACCTCTCTCCCGTTGACAGGCATTGCATAAAGCACACAACCACATACATATCTATGTTGTGAGTGCTAGCAGCGGAGAGCTGATTTTATACCCCGTGCACCTAGAGTTAAAGGGTATACTGTATTATTAAAAAATTTGTTACCTGAAGAAACTCACAAAGTAAAAAATTTTATGAGTTAGTTCATCAAACGGGTTGCTATTTTATTTTGTCGGCCTATCCGCTACTAAAATTTTGAGATTTAGCTTTTACATATAAAAAGTATGTGTTTTTCTAGTTTTGCGCCGAATTCTGGGGCATTAACTGTGTTTATGGTACAGCAATTTGCATTGCAGACTTAGATTCTAGGGTTAAATACGCAGCGGAAGGAGTTTTACCGCGTTCTGTGAAATTGTTTATCTAAGTAACAGGAATCTGATAGTCGAAACACTGGACTATCGCATTCGTTTTTGTTTTTATGTTGCAACGCTCTCTCGCTCTCAGAAAGTTGCTCTCTGAGCGCGGAAACTGTTCTTAGACCACACTCACTGGGAACAGTTTTATTATAGCAATAAATCAGTCATAAATTTATGGTTATTAAATTAAATTAAATTATTTTTAGGTAAATAAATAGTTATCAATCACGATTCAGTTATTAATTTTAATCATTTACATTAACATGTTTTTTAGAAGGTTACAAGCAGCTTCTCTTAATAAATACCGTTGACTTAAAAGCTGCCGTGACTATTGAAAGTTCAACTTCAAAGATGTTTGAACGGACCTATGTATTAACTTCGTAAGCCATAAAAAAACGAAGAACTTAGAAACAAAATTATTTTGCTGTTATTTTATGTCCAGTTTATTCCTTTTTAATTGGTCTCATAAAATTAAAGCACTATTACTGCATCATATAACAGGTATATACATACTTGGGCCACGAATTCCAGTTAGATTTCAGCTTCTATTAACTTGGTCAGTCTCCTTTTTATTTATCGTTCTTTGTCACAATTTTGTTTTGCTAAGCTTTTCTTTCGCCATCGCTCTTCCTGGTCATTACTTTGTTGTTGCTGCTCTCTTGTTTATTACATCAACAGCATTACGACATGCAGTTGTTGTTCGCCTGCATTTGAATCCGAGTCTGTATTTGTTGCTTGAGAGAGAAAGAGAGAGTGCGTTGCGTATCTGAAAGATTCACTTTTACACAGTGAAAAAATCTGTAATGTTATAATTAAAAATTTTAATGGAAAGTTGCAAGCTAAAATAAGCTTTACAAGTTTGAACTTATGTGTGTATTAAACGTTAATGTTGGACTTCAGTTATAAAAAATTCATAGTCTGGTTATATGTTTTGGTCTTCCTGTGTATTCATACATACTTAAATGGACTAAGCCGTTGCACAGTCGACCTTTTCTTTGGTGGGAGAGTATTGAATATCAAGTGACAGCTTTTAACAGTTATTGGTGAATTTCAAAATCTGAATAAATTCACACCTTGCTAATTGTCCCCTCCAGTATTTTAGTTCCACTCCTAAGTGCTCATTGGGTAACGTTTTTCCAGTTAACTTCTTTGCCTCCGTTTGCTACCAAACTCCTTCTTGTATGTTTGTACAGCATATGTTTATTTTTATGCTGTCGCCGTGTGTTCTTGTGTTTTTTACCGTCTGCACACCGGTGTGCGTGTAAGTGTGCGTCTGGCCTACGTGCAGACATGCACTCACACTAGCGCAGAAATAGCAACAAATACATACAGACGTCTCAATAATCCCTCACGAAAACCGGCTGCCAGCCAACAACAATGCAGCGCTGCTCTCCGAGAGCGTTGCCACCCTCTCTCTTTCTCTGTCGTGCAATATCGCTTCTAAGCGCACGTCTGAAATCGGGCGAGTTTATTCGAATTTCGAGCTCCGTACGGCATGCAGCAAACTATAGCCCTGTAGACTTCTCTATGGCCATGCAGCTCCGCCGACGCTGCAGCCTCCGTGCATGTGAACCAGAAACAGAGTGGATAATTTGTTGATATTCGGTTTGGCGTTTTGCTTTCTGTGTGTGTGCGAGTGTGACACCTCCACCGAAATTAAGTTCTGTGATTGTGGAAAATATTCACGTGGCCGCGGTGCTCTCACATGTTTTTCCAACTAAAAAACGCAAAGTTTCCATTTAAAAGAAATTAAATTCTGTCGGGGAAAAAAGTTTAAACGTCGACTGTGTGCGCGCGTGAGAGCGAGAGGAAGTGCCGAAGTGGTAGAGGGAGCGAGAGAGTGAGACAGCCCAGCCGCCGCCACGCAAGTTATTCACCCCAACAACAACAACAAGAGCAACAAAAGTGGGAGAGAACGACGGAGGTGGTTCTCACGTATGCGCCGAGATTTTGTGATTGTGTGTGCGAGTGAATACAGGCAGCATACAAAATAATAATATTGAAAACGATACAACAACAAAGGCCGTCTCGTGGAAGAAGAAACGGCCAAAAGACTGAAGAACTGGAGAGCCTGTCCAGTTAATTACAGAGCTCAAAGCAGAATCGAGGAGAGCGAGAGGTAGTGGAGCAACCTGGCTCTCCCGCAAAGGAAACGGGGGCGAGGAGCGGCCAAAATGATGATGATGGACACCATGGACACCTCGCAATCGCAGCCGATGGACGTGGCGCCCGCCGTCGCGGTGGCGGCTACATCGGGTACCGCTTTGGTGGACTTTACCGCTGCAATGGTTAGCATGGCGGCCACCGCCGAGGCGGAGTCCGCCGAGAGCAACAACAACCACATCGGCATGGCCGAGTACAAGGAGCACCGCAAGAACAAGAAGAAGAAGCGCGAGAAGCGGGAGCGGGAGGGCAAGGAGCACCGGCACCACAAGCACCGGGATCGGGAGCACCGCGAGCACCGCCGTCACAGGGATCGGGACAGGGAGCGAGAGCGAGAGTCGGGTGGGTCACATCACCACCACCCCAACAACAGCCAACATTCGACCTCCGCCTCATCGTCGCCCTCGTCCGCCTCCACCACGCCCTCGGCCACCATCGAGTATGTGGGCGGCTCGGCCTCAGCCTCGCCCTCCTATCTGGGCGGTGGGACGGCAGGGACTGGGGGAGCGGTAGGAGCCACCACCACGTATCCGCACAATTTAAAAATACGCTTCCTGCTTTCCGGGGTAAGACTTCAACTTTTCTACGCTCCGCAAGACACTTTTCCCCTCGTATTGGAAAACACGGCGCCATCCACATCCGTGCATCCAACCATCTGTCCCTGCCAATCCCTCAAATCTATTTTCAGACTCCCTGGAAGCTGTCTGGTTTGTCAACTAGGAAATGGTAGCAAACTAAGCAGACCGAAGGAAATATTCTCAGATATTTCGTTACTTAAAAAAGAAGATGTTGAGCTTTACAAAAGATTTTATTTAAATCACATGTTTTTGACCAAATGTATATCAAGGATCTATCCATTAACAAAATTGAGTGCCAAGTTTTGGTTTAGAGGTTTAATTAAGTCATGATATTTGATATCTTCCTTTTTAATTTCGATCTCAGAAGGAAACTGATCTGTGTTGTATTTGCCTTACCCAACTTATTCACATTTTCTTGTACCTGATTGATCGGCCTTTGTTTTCCTCAATGCCGAGATATTGATCCATTCATTAGGGTTTCATATTTAGATTTTCCCCATTGCGTCCTTTTTATGTGTTTCCCTATGAATCCTTTATTTTAAAGCACCCCATTGCGTTGCTGTTCGATTGCCAATGTCTTTGGCAGTCTATCAATAATTTAAACGCATTTTCAACGTGCAGCGAACGGCGTGCAACATGCACCTGCAACTGTGCGACCAAGCCACCTGCCGCGAATGCTGGAAAACAAAAGAAATGCTGAGAGGGAAGAAAGACACCTTCAATTACGCCGGATCCGCCCCTCGCCCGCATCTTCGCTCCCAGCCTTCCCCTCTTCCACTCCAATTGGCCTAAAACGCATATATCAGAGTTGTGACACATGGTGCTCGATTATTGATTAGTGTAAGTGCCATTAAGGGCGGACTCTGCTCCAGCTCCCGCTTTTTCCAGGACTACGTGACCAGCCAGCAGAGGGGATTCCGTTCACACAGCTGTTCGCCTTATCCTTTCCGTTTCCCCTTTAGAGGGCAAAAACCTTATCCCGATATCAGGCCGGTTTCGCTGGCTGCCTGGGTATATCCCTGGGATATCGCCGCATTGTGTCCTGCGCCGGGCCAGGCCGCTTCCTTCTTCTGGCCTTGTGCACAACCAACAGGGCACATTTGCGCCTAGTTTACGACAGCTGCCAAGCATCTTCCTCGTTCCCTTGTGGCTTCATCTTGAGTGAGTTCCTCGGAGCTACCCTTACTTTTTTGTGCTTGTGCTGGCTGTTGCTTTCTGGCGGTTGATTGATCCTCGCTTCGATCTTGTTACAGCTGCTGCCTGCCTCACTTCCCAGGTATGCGGGCCGTTGTCCTGTCTTGGGATCTCTGTTTACTCACCTTTCCTTTTTACTGTTGTCTTGTTTTTTTTTTGCCATCTTGGGTCTTGCTCTAGTTGTTATTTTAATTGGCAAGTACTGTATTGTTATTTTTCCCCTCAAAGGTGGATTAAAGCCTTAAGAATATATGTTTTCAGATGTGCAATAGATAAGATCAGCAGTTTTGTTTATAAACAAAGTACGACTCCAGGAACTCAAACTTTTCTATAGAAATACTTTTTCCAACACATGATGGGGCTATTACATTTCGTTCAGTTTAAAAATCCAATCTATAACAAATATGTTTGTTTGCAAGGTTTCATATAACTCAGACCGTAATGATTGTAAGATCAAATTATCAATAATAGTTCGTTTTAAAACGAACTGCAAAAGTCTAGTTATGAAAAATTGCAGCGGAAATACTTCTATGTTCTGTAATGCTTCAATATTGCAAATAGAGTGAGCCATTAATAAATAATTTTTCGGATTTTCTGGATTACTTTTCAATTAACTAGAAGCCACTTTCGCAAAACCCATCCTTTATTCTCTGTGAATGCCCGATTATCCCCTAAACAAGTAGATATTTCTAGTTTCCCTTTTGCCAGACATTTCTATCTCAAGTTTAAGCCTTAATTCAATAAAGGATAGCACAGACGCATTGTTTGTTCTTCGGAATCTGAGCAATTCCTTTTGATTTTGCTTTCTACCAGCGACATAAACATTCCCTTCCTGGCATTTGCCAAAAAATAACGCTCAATTCAATTTAAATAATTCTATCGTTTATTTGACGACTTTGTTGTTGTTCGCTTGGATGTTTTCTTCACTTATGCGAAATTCTGTCTGCAAAGGGGACAAGGACAACCCTTTTATACGACCATTAACCCATAGCATTGTTTGCCAGAAAGAGAGGGAGAACTCGCGGAAGGGTAGGAGTGAACATACACACATTCAAACAGACACGCTAATATAATATTTATAGTTGGTGTTTTACTTCCGGCTGTCTCGGCTTGGCTCCTTTTATTGAATTGAATTTGTCGCACAATGGGAATAAAATTGAAATGTGTCCAGGAAGCGATTCCCGAATGCAAAGCACGCTCAAGTTGTCAAAAAAAAACTTATATAGCATAGGGGATGATTTGTTATCCTGATTTCGCTCCTGCTTCAGGCCATTAGCTGCAGCAACAGGATAATCACAATTGCGGCAGCTGGCTAGCTGAAGGTCCACAAAAAGGGGGTTAGAAAACGAAGCCAGAAGCATTGAAAAACAAACAGAACTTGACCATGAAAAAGGCTTAACTTATTTTCCAATTACAAAACATATCACAAACCAACCAAATATTATCTTGGTTACAGTAGAGCTTATAAAAGCACGTACATAAAGGGGATACCATTTAATTTAGAGGAAAAAATGTAATTTAATGTTTAGTAATCCTATTTGATATCTTATCTTATATAATAACTAATATACATAAAGATTACATGTCTGTTTTAAACTATTGCCTAAAAATTACAAATAAATTTTTAATTTTTAAATACACGAATTTTGGTATTCAGAGAAGAAAATAACAATATGCTTAAATTGAACCTGGGTTTTTATAACGGACTTGGATTTTATGTGGCAGATGGTGTTAGTTCCTGCTTTCCTTGACCTGCATTTAATGAGGCATGAAGGTGTTTTTGTCGGTCTCGGAAATTTGAAACCGAAGTTTTTGAAGCAACAGGCCCGATCTGCCACCTGGTTGTTCCAATCAAATGGGATTTCCTATTGGGAAAACGTTCCATCAGGTGGCAACGCCATTCATGGTTTTTCTTTTTGTCTGTTTTTTTTTTGTCTACGTGACCAAACTACAATGTATGTGTGGTGTGCCTATGTTTGTATGTACGAGGTATGTTGCACCCCCAACCCCAATATCAAGCAACAACAAAAGCTAGGAAGTCTGATGGGAAAGAGAGAGAGAGAGAGAGAGAGAGAGAGAGAGAGAGGGGGAAAAGAAGCAGCTAGAGAGAGAGAGCGAACGGGTGGGTGAAATGAGCGGAGTTGGAGTATCTCTCCCAATCGGTAGGCCTTGCTCTTTATTGTTTTTTGTGCATTCGCTGCATGTAACTTTTGTTGCCACATACAAGCCTATATATAAATAAATATCTGTATATATATATGTATAATTGAGCTTCATATGGCAGCATATGTCGAGGCAAAACCACAAAAATACAATTTTAACAACAACAAAACCAACCAGCAGACTCGCCCAACATTGCAGCAACATTTGTTGCAGCTGCAGTCTGGGTGTCTTGCATTCTTGAAAAACTCTGACTCACGTACTTGTTCCGTTCTTTTTGTGTTCATTTTTTTTTTGTGCAGCAACATCAGCGATAAGAGCTTTTAAGTTGCATTAATGTGTTTCTTTTTTTTTATCTATATGGAACACATACGTTGGGGATTTATCCCTCTCTTTCTGTCATCCGCCCGCTGCATTTGTTTCAGCAGCAACAACCATAACAACAGCAATGGGTTGCTGTGATTGCTGGCTCAGTTTAACAGCCTGTTGTCGGCCTGTTAATCGAGCTGCGCTCTCTGCTATTTTTCTGTGTTTGTTATTCTTCTGCCTTGATGGTGATGGTGTTGTAAACATGTGTTTACATGGCTCACCACCAACCGGATGTTGCTAATGACCGCAAAGCTAAAAAGCAAATCAGACGAGGAACAAACACCATTATTCACACCGATATGGATAACACTCTCGAGACATGTTGAAAGACTTTCAAGAAAGCAAATTAAAGTATTGTTCACAAATTGAAAAGTGTCCCATTTATTGTCATATAATACTATGAATTATAAACATAGAAATTACTTAACAAATAAACAGAACAAAAAGTTTGAAATTAGGTTGGTAAATTGAATATTTAGGATTGACTCCGAAAAATGCGGGTTTCTTATTAAATAAAAGAGAATTTAAATTAGAAATGCAAATCGAATAGTACAATTTGATTGTACATTACACGGAACTTTAATAAAATATCAAAGTCATGATGAAGCAAGCTCTTCTCTAAAGCCTTCAATAAAACGTATTAGTTGCTTGCTCTTTATGAGATAACTCGATACCGAACCTTTTACAATCGGACCCAACTGTTTGATAGTCGTTTCCTCCCATTGTGTAATGCAAAAACAAAAAAGGCTAACCACTTGATAGTTGTTACTTTGGCAAAGCTTATCATATAGTTAGCTGTTTATCAGCTAGCTGTATTTACTTGTGAATCACAAACCAAATATTCGCATAATAATTTACCACTTCCTACGTTCTTGTCGCCTGCAGCAACGTACCGAACTCAGCCCGCCGACCCACCAGACCTCCGCAACCGCAGAAGTAAACGCACCGCTGGCCAGCTCGTCGAGTGCATCCATTGCGGTAACGGCGAGTGCCACAGCAGCGTCAGCCCCTCCGGCGACGGGCAGCTCTACCTCAGGCGGCAGCAGTAGCGGCAATGCAGGCTCCACTTCGAGTGGCAACAGTTCCGGCGGAGCAGCAGCCGGAGGAGCACCATCGGTTGTGGGATCCGCCGCTTATCCAAAGACAGAGTCCAGCAAGTCGAGTGGCACAGGAAGCGCTGGCGGTGGCAGCAGCAGCAGTAGCAGCAGCAGCAAGCACGGCAGCAGCAGCAAGGATATCAGCAGCAACAGCAGCAGCCAGCAGCCGTCGACTGGAAGCAGCAGCAACGCACCCAGCCTGTATGTCTCCGTGCCGCTCTCCACGGCCAATGTACCTGGAATCAATCTGCCCACCAGCAGCAGTAGCAGTAATACCACCAGCGGTGAGTTGCAGCCAGACAACAGGCTGGTTTTGAGGCCCAAGAGGTCACAACTCTGTCATGTTGACAACGAGTTGAGTTGACTAGAATTATTCACTTTCCTGAATATCTTAGATATGTTTAATTTTGGAATTTCCAAACACTTCAGTAAATTATTAGCCATGATTAATTGAAGTCCTACCTTTTTCAAAAACACTTAGCTTCAATTCATAATAATAACATTTTAAAGTATTATTGTTTTTAAATTTTAAATTTAGAAAAAACGACTATTTCTATTATTGTTGACGCTTCTGTTTGCAAAAGCTGATTGAAGAACCTTTATGTCTTTATTTTCGAAATCAATACTCATGCGCATTGTTTTGATTTTTATTCCAGAATCCCATTCAGCGTCATCGCGGAGCAGCAGCGCACAGTCGCAGCATCAACAGCCCAGTAATCTGACGACCATGGGTGGTGCATCCGGAGCGTTTCATGGTGGCGCGAGCAGCGGCGGCTCCTCGTCGGTCATACAGCATCAGAGCGGGAAGTCGTCGCCTGCCCTGGGCAACCTAGTCAGCGGCAACAGCGGCGGCAGCATACTCTCCGCCAGCGGAGTCCCGCATCCCAGCGGCAACCTCACCGCCACCACGACGGAGAGCGGCATCTTGAAGATCAGCTACGAGAAGCAGACGACCCGGGTGCAGCAGTTGCAGGAGCAGGAGGCGCCGCCGGCACGACGGAGCAGGTATGCGGATGATGGTCACCTCGTAGTCAGCCTAAGGACTGATTTCAGTCCCTTAGTACATGTTGCTAGTGCCTGCTCGTGCTTTTAGTTTATACTCGATCGTAGATTTATATTTTGACACCCTTTGTTAATGTGTTTTTGTTGTTCTGTTGCTGTGCGTGTGTAGATAGTCAATTGTCCCCATTTCACCACAATGAGATTAGGGGTTCCCTTTGGTTCTGTTTCGTTACAAAGATTTCAAAAAATGTAAATGAATATTATCCCCCGTTCAGTTTTTAGGCTTCCAAAAGATCCGTTTAAGATCTCAATGAGCTTGTGCCGTTCTTTAAATTAAATATCTTTTCTTTCTTTTGAAATTTTATCAATATGAATTTCATAAGGTTTGATGTGACTTGAATTTTGAAACAGAACTGATTATTTTCTTTTTGTTTGCGCCTCGTTTTCTGAAAGCTTATGGTTGCAATAACCAACATTTCGTTCTTTGTGTCGCTGCAAAGTTGAAGAACTTAAATCCAAAAATGCGCGATCTATAAAAACCACTATTTTTCTCTTTGTCTCTCTCTCTCTCTCGTTTGCTTAATGTCTTCCCACACCACACACACGCCACGATCACCCAACCACCCACCCACCCTGTACACGTAGATCGCGCTCCGGTGAGAGTGGCAGTAGTCACCACCATGCCCATCACCACCACCACCACCCCACCCACCACAATAGCCACCACCAACAAAATCCACAGCAGCAGCAGCAATTACACCAACAGCAGCAGCAGAGCGCGTCGTCGCAGCAGCCACATGCGCTGCACTCCTCCGCCAACTCCTCCTCATCCTCCTCCACTTCCACTTCCACCTCCTCGTCCTCCATGTCGGGTGGCACTGTCCCGGCCACGTCCTCCTCCACCTCCACTTCCAAGGGCCCGTCGAGATCGGGCAAAAAGCGGGGGGCTGCGCAGAGCAAGAACGAAGCGGCATCGGTGTCGACGGCGGCAACATCATCGGCAGTTGCCACAACGCCAGCCGAGAAGCAGAGTCGCCACAGTTCGCCCCACTACAACGCCACTCCCACCCCGCCGCCGTTGAGTGTGGCACCACCAGCGGTGTCCTCGCCGGTGGTGATGCTGCAATCCCTGTCCTCGTCCTCGGTCGACTCGCCGCCAGCAACAGCGGCTGCCGCGAGTACAACGAGTCGCAGCACGCGCAACAATAGCAGCAGCAATGCGAACCACAATGGCGACCAGACCTCGTCGTCCTGCTCGTCCACGTCGTCCTCCTCCTCGAGTGGCGGCTCCAGTGGGGCGGCCAGTGTGGTCAATCTGCTAGACTCGCCGGTTAACATGTCAGCTTCCTCAGGAAGCTATCGCGGCAGCAGCAACTCCACCAGCAATGCCTTGCCTGCCGGCAGTCAAGCCAAGCCCCTAAATAAGAAAATGTTGCGTGCACAGCAGACGCAACTGTATCAGCAGCAGCAGCAGCAACAACAACAACAACAACAGCAACAGCAACAGCAGCAACAACAACAGCAGCAGCAGCAACAACAATATGCACCCCCCGCTAGATCCAACTCCCCCACAAATCTTAGCTCAGCCTCAGCTTCCAACTCCGCTAGCTTTACGCACTTGCAACAGCAGCAACAACCACAGCAGCAGCACGAAGATCTAGAGATATTGCAATTCACTAATACGAATACCACTCCCTCTTCCAATGCGCCCACGTCGAAACCCAACAACAGAACGCCCGATCTCAGCCAGGCGAGCAACTCCTCATCATCGGCAGCTGCAGTGCCCGCGACAACGGCTCCCTTGATGACGCTGAGCAGCCAGTTGCCACTCAACTCGATGGCGGGTGGCGGCGGCTCGACCGGCGGCCTCAAGTTCACCTACGAGAGTCAGACGCAACTGGATGTGCCCATGCTGCCCGTGAGTGCCATCAAGGACTCCCCTCCCAGTTCGCCCGGCTCAGAAGTAGGATCGGCCATGCACACGGCGACGCTGGCAGCCAGCTCCCTGACCGCCGCGGCGCCAACTTCGGCGCCTGCTCAGCCAGGAAACGTGCGGAAGCGTGGTCGCAAGGCCAAGGACTCGACCACAGCAGCAGCAACAGCGGCTGCGGCAGCTGCGGCATCTGCTGCTGTTTCGAATGCTCAACAGGATCTCAAGGATGTGCGCCTCCTCCAGAACGGGACGGCCAGTGGCTCGAGCAATCCGGCCAGCAGCACTCCCACTCCGCCGGCCACGCCAGCTGCGTCCGGCACTGCCAGTTCGGCCAGCTCGATCATCACGCACACGGCAGCCCACATGCTGGGCAACCAAATCAATCCGAACAGCAGCGTGGCCCAGAAGCTCTCCGAGCAGCTGCACATGGAGGTGCAGGACCACTCGATCTACACGGCCGACGCCTTGAACTCGCAGTACGCGGGAGTGCCCTTCCCCGGCAAGCAGGTGAGCAAACACTTTGAAAACAAAAGATAAGATATGTGTGATTGCCTCTAAAAGTTTTCTCAAAGGACTGTATTTCAGAAGAAATCACTTGTATAATTTCTTTAACGTTTTTAAAACTCACCTAAAATATAAGTTAACTTGACTTTACATATAGTGCTCACGACACCGAACCTTCTTTCTCGTTTGCAGCGAAATTCGAGTGCCGCCATCAGCAATGCCGCCCCAGCTCCCAATCCACTGCAGTCGATGTTCAGCGGTGGCGGCATCAACGGCAACATGCCCATTCCGCAGAGCCTGGAGCAACTGCTCGAGCGCCAGTGGGAGCAGGGCTCGCAGTTCCTCATGGAGCAGGCGCAGCACTTTGACAGTGAGTATGAGTCGCATATCGGGAGCCACAAACGACACTTCAGAGACTAACACCTGAAATTTGTATTGCAGTTGCCTCGCTGCTTAACTGCCTGCACCAGCTGCAGAGCGAGAACCTCCGGCTGGAGGAGCACGTGACCAGCCTGATAGCGCGGCGCGACCACCTGCTGGCGGTCAACGCGCGCCTGCAGATCCCGCTGAGCACCATCGCAAGCAGTGCCAAGGCCGAGGCGCATGGTAAGTAGAGAAGGCGCCCACTCTCTCTTGTTCTTGGTGTCGGCACTTGCTCGCTCCCACCACGTGGCACTGGAGGAGCCACACATCCCACTCACACAGCCACTGCTCACAGACCAAATTTTGCGTTTAGTTTCTGTACTTACACTTTTCTGTTCGGAATTCGTTGTACATACAAGTGGAATTCGAGTCTAGTTCGTGTCGTAGTCTTAAGTAACTTAAGTTAAGCCAACAACTAAACTGGTTACCAATGGTCATGTTGATACAAAAAATATGTACATACTATTCACACCCATATTCCTGTCAGCGAGGTTAATGTTTGACAAACAAAAGCAGAGATGGCAAAATATTAATTACTGCATTTATCGACCGCATTGACAATTCGTCACCCTTTTAATACGGAATGCTTAACTGCATATTTCTACCGTCAGTCGACCCCCTGATTAGATTAATTTACTTTAATTTAAACTTTTAAGTTAGTTATATGTATGTATTTACTGCAAAATACAGAACCTATTTATACTTACTCTTGTAACGACTAATTATTTTCTTGGCCAAGTTTATAGTTAAGTTCTTTCAATATCTAAGGGCTAACTTTTTCGCTTTTATTTGTTTTTAAAATGAATAAAACGTTTAATATATTAAACACGAAAACGAACACAAATTCTAAATTTATTTGCCTAAGTTCCATTTTGCCCCTTTGCCCATTTTTCCCACGGCAGCTTGCTAAACCAAAATCAAACGTTGGGGTGAAGGCTAACTACAGATTAAGCGTTGAACCTTTAGTTACACTTAAGTTCGTTGTGTTGCTGTCTGTTGCATGCAGTGAAGAGAAACCCACACACCCGCACATACTTTAAAACACACTCCACACACACCACACCCACTCACCAATTGCAAACTAATACCGCACAAAACACACACACAAATTTCGTGGAGATGGAACAGCAACCAAGGGGTACTCACAATCTAACCAAATGCTTACAGCCGCCATGTCAACAACGGCAGCTCCAACAACCACAACAACAACCTCAACATCAACAGCAACATCCACTTGTACAACTTCTGTCATTTCCACACTAGCTTCCAGCAGCAATAGCGGCAGCAGCAGCATCGGACTCGGCAGCAACATCAACGCCCTCACCGCGGCCACAACAATCGCGGCGGCCGTCTCGCTGGCCACCACTGCCATTAACACCACCATCCCCACCATGGCCAACAGCCGGCCCACCGTGGCCCCAGCCAGCTCCAGTGGAGTGGTGCTTGACTACCGCGGCACCGGCAGCAGCAGCAACAACACCAACAGCGGCAACAGTGGCAGCAGTAGCAACAGCGGCGGCAACAGTGGCAACAACACAAGCAGCAACAGTGTCAACAGCAGCAACAGCAATCCTGCAACAGCTTCGAGCGCCAGTGGACCCTCCGCACCGCCAATGTCAATCTCTGGCCTGAACATGACCAATGCAGCCAACTTGGGAATGAGGTGAGTTCGGATAAAAAATAAGAGAAAAAACCCCAACCATCTTGCAAATCCCTGAGATGCCACCCCACCAATAATGATATTAATAGAAGCGTATCTTTTCGACCAAAAGACCACCTCACATATTCTTTAAATTACATTCATTTAAGATTTTAATGATAAAATAATATGTTCTTTATCTGAATATATTTCTTTTGTTTAATCATCATTGTTTAATAATCATTCGATGATTAAAAACGAATAAGCAGTTATTTGTTACTAGTATTTTCTTAAAAAAAAATTACCGTTGAAAATTTTACTTTATTTCTATCCCGACGGAAAATTTTGTGATACCATCGTTTTAGCTTATATCTTAATGATACTGCTAATACGCACCTTTAAATAATTATTACCATAAATGTTTAATTATTTGTGTTTAAGAAACTATTATTTTATTGATCAATGAATCAGTGCAAGCGCTTTTTTGTAAAGAAGAGGTTCCCTGTATAATGAGCAAAATAAGGAATTTGTATATTTTCTTAAAATCTAAACGCGCGCTTTCATATATTTCTAGGCACGTTCCTGCGGCCCATGCGTACAACAATGCCGGGAACAGCAACAGCAGCGTGGGGATCCTGAACGCCAGTGGCGCGGTGAACAGCAACAGCCTGCACCACCAGCACTCGTCGCAGCAGCAGACGCAGCACCAGTCGCAACACCAGTCGCATCCCTCGCAGCAGCAGCAGCACGCGCAACAAGTGCAGCAGCACCTGCACCAGTCGCACCACACCAGCGCCGCCGTGGCCGCCGCCCACATGCTGGGCGTGGGAATGAGCCTGGGCGCTGGAGGTGGTGCTGCCGCGGGCATCGGACGAGGTGGGTCAGCGACAGCCATGGCTGCAACAGCAGCAACAACCACAACTACTTTTACGACCACAGCGGGCACGGGCACGGGCATGGGTCAGCAGCACCACCACCCACACCCACACCAACATCCTAGCATTCAGATTCAAGTGGGTGGCGGCGGCGTTGGCGTTGACGGTTTAAGTAGCACCTCCTCCTCCTATGCGGCGCACCACGCGGCGCTCTACAGCACGCATCACCAGGTAGTAGAGTGCGTGCCAGCGAGTTCCTGTGTGTGTGTCAGTGTGATTGTGGGTGCATGTCCTTGCCACATGGGAATCCATAATCCATAAGCCAGTGCCTGTAATTCGTGCATTCACCACCTTTTCATTTTGCGCCATGCTCATCACGTGTCATCCACGCACTCACCCACCACCACCCACCAGTCATTCGATCAGCCAATCAATCGGAAAGCCAAAGAAATTTCAATACACACTCGCCACGAATTCGATTTCATCTGCTTAGCGCCCATCTAGCTCATTGTTGATATCCCATTGCTGTCGGCAGTGAAAACCAAAATTGTTTTTTGTCTTTGTGTGCCAGGCTGAAAGAGAAGATCAAGCATTGTTACCTTACTCCCCGAAACCAGTGTGGAATCGTTGCTGCTCTGACTTGCTTACTTATCTATTGGTTTTTACTTGCAGTCCCAACTAAGGCGCGACGATAACCTCGCCAAAACCAGCTGAAAGTCATACCGTGAGCAAGTGCTTCAGCAGCCGCAGCACCAGCTGAAGAAGAAGCAATCCCTGGCCAAACGTGGAGGCCGTCACAACAGCAGCAGCAGCAGTAGCAGCAACCACGGCAGCAACAAGCTGTCCCAGCCATCTTATCACAGCCAGCTGAAACCAGCCGAGCTGGGCTTTCAGCAGCTGATCGACAAAATCGACGATGATGTAGGTGCTAGTTGTTAATTCGCAGTGTTTGTACAGATAGCTAAACAAGCTTGGTATTTGCAGCTCAGCAGCAACAGCAGTTCTTCCACCTTTTCGTCCTCGTCTCAGCAGCAGTCTTCGGTGGACTACGAGGCGGAGGACGAAAACGAGGACAAACAGCGCAGGCCGTTGCATAAAAACGAGAATGACAGTTTGCTGCACGTACAGAATTTTCTAAAGTGCTTTGGACCCAACGCGTATTCATCGGCGAAAGCGCCGATTCCAGCAACCGCAACAAAGCCTTTGTCCATTGTCAAACCGCCGGGTGGAGCAGAGCTGCGTGCCTGGCGCCACAATTATCGGCCCGCCAACAACACAACAGTTCAAGCATCAACCACAATAGCAACATCACTGACCCCATCGACCACTTTAGCGGAAAACGCAGCCACAAATGCAGCAATGTTTCCGGTTCAGTCCATTGCAAACCACAAACCAACCAAGTTTCAAATAAACACGAAGTTTTTGCGCAAGCCACGCAACAAGCTACTGAAAATGCTGCCGACAGCAACGGCAACAGCTGGCCAGCAAGAGGAGCAACTGCAGCACCAACAGCAGCAGGAGCAGCAGCAGCTGTTTAACGATGATTCCAACGCCAAATTCAAAGACTTTTCAATCGACTCGTTAATGAATAAGTAAATATTTAAAATTAACGGATACCTACAGTTAAGCCTTATTATTTGTAGCATAATTCAACAAATACAAGCAGAGCCCAAGCCGCGTTCCTAATTTCCTAACAACAAAACCACCACAAATTTTGTTTAGCCAATCGAGTACCCATAACATGAACATAGCAACAACGTATTCTAACTATAATTAGGTTGTTTATTTATTACATGCATATTGTACAACTAAAGGCGCAATTCATAACTAGCATAAGTATGTAAATATCTACTTAAATACGAGATAATAAACCACAACAACACATGTGCTAGAATTTAAGATATGCGGAGTGCCTATTGATTGGGTTCGGTGGATTCTGGATGGGCAGTCAGTTCTTTTCCGGGGGCAGTGAGGTTTCCAAGGCAGCGCGCACGCGCACCAGCATCTCCTTTCGAATGACTTCGGGAACCAAAGCGCGAGCCTGCCTCGATTGATATGGGTTAAACAAATCAAAACCAACAGGAGGTGCCTGTAACCTACATGTGGGACTATTTCAGCAGCCAGTTCGTCGTGGGTTAAGTTGGCCACGCCGCGCTCCTTGATCGTCTGGCGTATCAGCTCCTCGATATCCTTCCGCCAACCGCACTCAGAAAGTCGCTTCTGCAGCAGGTCCTTTAAACTTTTTGGGGTAACCAATCATTCAGGTTATATTTAGGTTAAAAAATCAAAAGAAGTACTTACGCCACGCTATCGCTGCTGTTCAACTTGACATCATCCAAGGGATCGGAATCCGTTCCCGTTTCCTTGCTATTCGACATGGTAAAATTTTTGCTTGTTTTCTGTTTGCTAACAAAATTTTAAGCGCCAGACGTTGGAATTTGTTTACAAACTCAGTGTTTGGATGATGAACCGAATCTAGGGAACCTTAACAAGTGGAACTGGTTTCGAAATGAACGAGCGGACGTGGTCTCAATTTCAACGATCACGACATACAATGGTGCTGTTAATTAATTAATTAAGACGATATCAGTAACACATTTCTTTATCCATTTTAATATATCTGCTTAGTCCAATAAATCCTTAATAATTTTAAGAGAATCTAATCATTGGTATTTAAAAAATCTCGTGACCAAAGTTATAGTGACTGCGAACTATTCGTGCCAAGCACCGTAACTAAAGTTTAGTCCATCGCTAGATATTTATATTTTTGTTTTGATTCGAAAATAATTCAGCAATGGATTTGCTGAGAGATTTCGAAATAAAGCATGAACTTAACTTCAATGACATGGAACTAGAGCAGGTGGGTGGATATTAAGGCCAACCGAGGGATTAGAGCTAATCGTGTCTTCGTGGAAATAACTTTTAACTTTCTTGTCGTGTTATTGATTTTAAATACGCATCCTTGCAGTACACCGCTATTTCCCGTTCGCGGTGCGCCACTCCGGACCTGACGACCCAAGCCACATATGCCCACATCGCGGATCTCAAGCGAAGACTTTCCAGCGGACAGTACACTCTACGGGATAAGCGCGGTCGAAGCAAGGTGTGGCAGCTGTTTGCCGTGATTGTGGACGAGAACGGGGAGGACATCGAGAATTTTGTGGCCTGCCGCAACTGCTACAATGTCCACAAGTTCCAGATGAGCACCTCCAACCTAATGAAACACAAGTGCGCCCTGAAACTAGACGCCCAGTCCCGCAACTCTGAGGCAAAGATCGCCCCAGATGTTCCCCTGGATGAGGAGACCCAAAAGAAGGTACTGGGTGCTGTCACCGCCTGGTGCGTGTGCAACTGCCGACCGCCGAACATAGTTGAGGACTCCGAGTTCATGAATCTGGTGCGCATCCTGCTGAACATAGGAGCTACTTACGGCGAAAATGTGAAGGTCGGGGAACTCCTTCCACAATCAGCAGCTGTGGCCCGCAACATATCCGAACTTTACGAAAGACATCAAAGGAGCTTGTTGGAGGAGCTCACGGGCACTCGAACCGCCGGCTACAGTCTGGCCATGTTCGTATATACCGATAAATTTCTGGAACGCCACGGTGTGCTCACCATGCACTATATTCAAGAATCCACTGTGATCAACCGCTTGCTGAGCGTTTCCGCCATCGGCAGAGATACCCCTGATGGAGGTAAGACTTAATAGGGTTTATAAGTTCTATAGGCTTATTAGCGCTTCAGCAGGAAATTCCTTTTAAGCTGATCGTTATTTTGTCCTTCTAAAAATCCTAAAAATGTAATTTAAAGTAATGCGGTTTAAGGAATTTAACCAATTATAATATGTATTTCTTAATGAAACTTCGGTGATATTAAAAGTTCAATAATTTATTTAAGACATGTAAAACTTATAAAATCATTGTTCGTTTTATAAAGATTTTTTTCAACTAAATTTATTTTTCATTTGTAGATCAAAAAATGCGTGAAAAAATAAGAGAAACTCTTCAAAAGTTTAATTGCAACCTTAACGAGGATTCTCCAGTGATGGTTACAGAACACGATGGAAATATCCAAAGTAATTTTGGGGATCAACCACACATCCTGTGCATCAACACACAGCTTAACCAAGCAATTGACAAGGTCTTTCGTGAGGCTCCACAACTACAGTTCCTATACCAAAAATGCGACGAGTATTTGGAAGGTTGCCTTAAATCAGGGTCGACATGTTACACGCCTTTAGACAAAATAATCGGCGCTTTTCGAAATGTACAGCAACATTGGGGATCGGTATCCATAGCCCTTTCAAATCAGGACAGTGAAGTTATAACATTAACTAATATAATGGCCCTGATTCGTACTCTGACCCACTTTGAGAACTCGTTGAAGGAGCTGAAAGCAACAAGAGAGCCGACACTACACATGGTGATCCCACACTTACATAGACTTCGAAAAATATGTGCCGATGTAGGTACAGAAGACGTAGCGATCGAGTCGTGCCTGAAGGTAGCTATGAAGCCCCACTTGGAGTCTATTGCCGAGTCTTCTATTACTAAGTACCACAAAATATCTCTGCTGCTCTTTCCGCCTACCAACCGGCTTCTTCTCTTCGAAGACTCTGAAAAGCAGGATATTTTAGATGAGTGCAAGGCAATGATGGAGTCGTTTTATGTGGAGTCCGAAAGCCTGACAAAAAGAATCAAGCCGGACAGTGAGTACAGCGGGATATTCAGCGATTTTATCACTCCCCGTTCGAATGACACCAAAACCGACATGATATCCCACGAAATCAACGGCTATCTTAGTATGCAGGTGGTGCTGAAGCCCGATTTCAATGTACTCCATTGGTGGAAGGAAAATGAGTGTCTCTTCCCACTACTTTACAAAGTCAGCTGCAAAATATTTTCAACTCCAGCCAGTATTGCATTCGCACAAAATATGATGATTCAAGCCAGGAGACTGTTCTGCGATCCATCAAGCTCGAATGGCCTAGTCGTAGACGAAATAATGTTTTTGAACAATAATCTTTAAGCTGTTTGATATGTTTTAAGTTTAGTGTTATTATGATTATCTCTTATTATTATTTTGTTTTAACTTAAGTTTTAATATAATTACTAAATTTAGTACTTGGCTGTACAGTATAAAAGACAAATACTACTGTGGTCAAAAAGTAAGGTGAATTTGTTTGTAAAGTGAAAATTCTTTATTTATTCTCCTGAATCAATTTCATCACCTTCAAAGTAATCCCCTCCCGATAAAATACACGTCGAATTAATCTTACTTTTTGCCCACAGTAGTACATATTGATACTACCCTGTAAAAATTAAAATTTTACCAAAGGCGAAATTATTAAAAAAAAAAAAAATTACTTACAATGTAACTTTCAAGTTCATTTAGCTGATTAAAGGATTTTATGCTTCTTTTCTAAAAAATTTCGAAAAAGGTCACTTAATTCCCCTTTTAACGGAAATATACATATTTGCTAATAACCGGTTGGCAGCCCTTACATTTCTGTAAAATAGAATGTGTTATATACATCTACATCTAACTCACAAATCTACATTTGTGTAGAATAAAATACTCCATATGTACATACGTGTAATTTTTAACACCTTTATTTTCTTTTATTTGCTCGCAAAACTAAACGAAAAAACAAAGTCGTATGACTTTTATGTATGATTTTTAGTGATTGTCTCTCTAAAATATCAATTCTGGAAAAGCAATTAAAAATAAATCAAACTATAGAAATATATGCAAGATCTAATGATGACTAAACTAATGGATAATAGATATTAAAGTCTCTATTTTATATGAAATCAATACTAAGCTTTCCTATAAGTAAATATAAATAAATATACATATATACATACATACATATTTTCATATAATTTGCGGCAATTTTTCTGACAGTATTTCAGCTATTTTCGGAGTTTTCTTTATTGATCAAACATTTCTATAACAAAAACAATGAAATCATGTTGTTCACTCATGAATCAGAGCTTCGTTGTTGGATTGAAGGCTTGATGGCCATTAGACCACCCACTCAATCCTCCCACATCGCCTGAAAATAGTCTCATTGAGCCGGTTTCGAAGTGTCGTCATTATTCAATCGCGTAGGCTTCATGCCTCCATGCACAAATATAGTCACATCGCCACACCAATCTGTTTGTAGCTGGCTCTGATTTTGTGAAGCCAACTGTTTTTATTTGTTTCCTATTAAGCTGAATTTCTTTTAGAAACAGTTTAAAATTTGGGTTAGTTGTGGGAAAAATAGTGAACTTTGCATTTAGCCTAGTTCGAGGGCAAAATACGCTTCGTTTTTCTGACAATTGCTTATAATGACATCAGACATAACCTCAATAAAGGGCGCCGGTCTCTGCACGCATTGCTCTATACATTATTGTGTATGTATGTATGTATTTTTGTGCTGTTTTAGCCATTGCAGTAAATATTTTTAGGCCTCCTGCGCTGCATTTCCTGCCCGTTCGTTTGGGTATTTCTGGAAACTCGATAGCAGCTGCGGCAGCTGACTTTTCGGTCTGTTTCTCGAAAATACTGCATTGGGCGCAGGCAAAGAAGGCGGCTTACTTATAAAACACAACAACAAGCCGGTTTACCTAGGCTTAAATTTCGTTTTGGCAAAACAACCCCCATAAAAGGCCGGAACAATGTATATATGTACATACGCATGTCAATCTACATATGAACATACATCTACAAAAATGGCCATTTCATTAGAGCTGTAAAAAGATTTTCAAGCCCCTGGGACACTTCCTAGGCTAGGAATCCTAGCACAATAAATAATATCTCCTAATCTCATTGTACAAAAACTTACATTGCATACCAAGATTTCAGCATCATAAAACATCATTAATTTGGATTAATTAATTATTTAATATTTTTGACACAAATTTAACTTTTCGTGAAAATAAAATATTATCAAGGCATAAAGCCATTTAAATGTTTTTTAGAATACATATGTATGTATTAAGACTGTCACTTAAAATTTACCAACTATTATATTACCCATCGCTGTAAACAAGTATATACCCACATACATACGCAATGGCGTGTTTGTCGGCAGTTAAGAAATGAAGTCATCATTTTGCCGAGTTGGCGGGGTTGTATGTACATACATATATAGCAGTGATTATGCTGCGGCCCCAAATGGAATGACTCATCGCCCCAGAGAATCGATACCAGAGAAGTGGAAAGCCAAGTGCATCATACCACACAGGATGGTACAGTCTGCACTTGCCGCAAAGAGCGGAAAAGCGCAGCAGTGGCCCGAATCGGGGGAAAATAGAAAGCGCTAATTATAGACAAGAGAGCGGCTGCTCTGCTTTCCCGCAGTCGAAACTTCGTTCAATGACCCCCTTCTTTTTTCACGCTGGAATGGCCGATCGCTGTGAAAGGAAAAATGAAAAACAAGTTGCGGTTTTCTATTTGCTGTCAACACTGTTTTGCCGATTTTATTCTTGTACACAACTTATCGCCGAGTTAGCTGGGCTTTTCTGCTATACGTGTCTTTATGGATAAAATACTATCTGGTTTGTAAATCTTTCCTGTTTCGTTTTTTGCTTTACAGTGCTGCAGTGAATTTTTTTGTTGCGTTTGGAAGCGTAGACACTGATTTCGACGGTTGCCCGCCCACCAATGACGCTCCCCGCGAGCGTTGGAGTGGCGCTACGCTTAGTACTCCTCAGCACCCTCTCCCTCACCGTCGCCAGAGTCCATGCCGACCTCCTCGTAGTCCTTCTCCAGGGCGGCCAAATCCTCACGGGCCTCGGAGAACTCGCCTTCCTCCATACCCTCACCGACGTACCAGTGGACGAAGGCACGCTTGGCGTACATCAGATCGAACTTGTGATCCAGACGGGCCCAGGCCTCGGCGATGGCCGTGGTGTTGGACAACATGCACACGGCACGCTGCACCTTGGCCAAATCTCCGCCAGGCACCACGGTGGGTGGCTGGTAGTTGATGCCGACCTTGAAGCCAGTAGGGCACCAGTCCACGAACTGGATGGTGCGCTTGGTCTTGATGGTTGCGATGGCGGCGTTCACGTCCTTGGGCACCACATCACCACGGTACAACATGCAGCAGGCCATGTACTTGCCGTGACGGGGGTCGCACTTCACCATCTGGTTGGCCGGCTCGAAGCAGGCGTTGGTGATCTCGGCCACCGACAGCTGCTCGTGGTAGGCCTTCTCGGCGGAGATGACCGGGGCGTAGGTAACCAGCGGGAAGTGGATACGTGGGTAGGGCACCAAGTTGGTCTGGAACTCAGTCAGATCCACGTTCAGGGCACCATCGAACCGCAGGGAGGCGGTGATCGAAGACACGATCTGGCCGATCAGACGGTTCAGGTTGGTGTACGTGGGGCGCTCAATGTCCAAGTTGCGGCGGCAGATGTCGTAGATAGCCTCGTTGTCGACCATGAAGGCGCAGTCCGAGTGCTCCAGGGTGGTGTGCGTGGTCAGGATCGAGTTGTAGGGCTCAACCACGGCAGTGGACACCTGGGGAGCGGGGTAGATGGCGAACTCCAGCTTGGACTTCTTGCCGTAGTCCACGGAAAGACGCTCCATCAGCAGCGAGGTGAAGCCGGATCCGGTGCCTCCGCCGAAGGAGTGGAAGATCAGGAAGCCCTGCAGACCGGTGCACTGGTCAGCCAGCTTGCGGATCCTGTCCAGAACCAGGTCGACGATTTCCTTGCCGATGGTGTAGTGGCCACGGGCGTAGTTGTTGGCGGCGTCCTCCTTGCCGGTGATCAGCTGCTCTGGGTGGAACAGCTGGCGGTAGGTTCCGGTACGGACCTCATCCACCACAGTGGGCTCCAGATCGACGAACACGGCACGGGGCACGTGCTTGCCGGCTCCGGTCTCGCTGAAGAAGGTGTTGAACGAGTCATCACCTCCGCCCACGGTCTTGTCGGAGGGCATCTGGCCATCGGGCTGGATGCCGTGCTCCAGGCAGTACAGCTCCCAGCAGGCGTTTCCAATCTGGACACCAGCCTGGCCGACATGGATAGAGATACATTCACGCTGTGGATGGATGGGTAAAGGACATGGTCAGTTATTTTTATTACACGCCCTAAGAAAATCGATTGCCGCAGTGCCGCGCCCAACTTGAGCTGGCCCTGTCTGCGTGCGAGCGAGATGGCTATATGGTATACAGATTTTTTTTCTGCTGTACATTTGCCGACGCCGGAATTTTTCTGTCGCCATTTTCTCTTATATTGATAGTGCGTCAGAAACTAAAAACCGGTAATGAAAAAAGTAATTACTATTTCAGACTTTTTTAATTAAATTAACCTATGCAATTCTGTGGGAATGCTTTCTCGCTTGATAATTTATCCGGCCTAATACAAATTTTCTCCACGCCGTTTTCTCTTCGCAAAAACATGACGTCATCAATTTTAGAGAATTAAAACCGGCCGCCATTGCTCAAGAAACAAATGCACGCTTTTGCTTATTATCTGGCCTGCACCACTTTCAACGCGAATTTTCACTGGGTTTTGTGTTCTACTCACCATATTGAGTGTTTAGTGGGGTTTTTCACACGCGACAAGAAAATTCACAGAAATGTGTAGATATTTCGAGGTCTGACTCGGAGAGCGTATACGTTCGAACTGCCGGCTATGAGGCTTGACAAACGTAAAACGAATAATGAAAACTCGAGTCGGGCTGCTTTATATAGGGTTTGGCTTGACGGAACCATGGTGGAATAAGTGTAAGGTGGTCTCGCCAGATCCGTCAGTCCCATAAGTGCGAGTGAAACCGGAATAGAGTGTGTTGTTAACCCTTATGCGGTACATGGGGGTTCAAAATGGCCTAAGTCAATCACCCCACCACTGATTGTTGTTTTTGAATGTTCGTCAAACTTATCCGCTAGAGGCGCTTTTTTTTTAATCTGGTTAACATAATCTTGAAACAACGTTTTCCCAAACGGGTAAGCAGAGGACAGCTTCATTCTAAACGGTTAAACCGCAAATTTCAGAAAACCACTAAAATGATAAAAGGTTCAGCTGGTCGGAACTAGAGGGAAATAACCTTCGATTGTAATACATTTGACTCGATCGATGTCTGGTCGACGATGTAAACTATCCGACGCACCTTCGCAATCTAGCAATTTATCCTCATCAACACCCGCCGTCATGCGACTTTAGCGAGTACACAAACCAATGTTAGCTGCGACAGGCTATAGCGTTTTAAGAGCCGGAATTTTTAAGTTTGAAAGTTATATTGAGTTTGTAGCATAAATATTACTTGTTTGTGTGTGTATATGGTCAAATACCTATATAATAATTAATAACAAAGTATATAACAACCTCGCTTAAATGTAGTGAGCTTAGCTGACCAAGTTATAAACTCTGGACAAATAATAAAGCGATACGTAGTAAATTAACCTACACAGTTTTGTATATTTTTCCAAGAAGGAACGCCCTTTATAGAAAAGGGTAATGGGTAAAGTTGCGCTAAAGCACAACATTTAAATTATTTATGTGTTAAAATAACAATTATCACTGCCGCGAGACTACCCGTTTTAGAACATTGCCATGTTTTTCTAGCGAAAAACTTTACCGTTGAGAATGTGTTGTGGATGAAGAGTGCTGCAATTGTGTGAAAATTTAAAAACAAAAGAAATTAAACATTTTTACCATGTCAGGCACTGCCAATTTTAGTACTGAACGCTGTAAAGGTTGCGAAATGACTCAGAGTGATTTTATAGTACTGAGTGAATACCCAGAAAAGCTATGGCTAGTTGCTTTTTTGCTATTTTTACAAATAAATAATTAGAAATCAAGCTTTCCGCCACTTTTTTATTAATGTTTAGGCCCCAAGGTATCCTTTAAAAAAAAAATTAAATTCCTAGACCATATTTAGCAAAAGCCGCTAAAGCGCAACTTACCTAGAAAAGTTCATATTATCGTTCAGTTCATGCGAATAGTGCCGTTTTTTTGGTTTATAAGAATTTTTTGTATCGTAATTCTTTGAATAAATTTTAGAAAATTTTTTTTTAAGAACTATGTATGTACCTTAGGGCCCAAAAATTAATATAAGTGCCGAAAAGCGTGATTTCTAATTATTTATTTGTAAAAAATAGTAATTAACATCTCCGCGAGACCAAGGGTGTTATGCGAAACACTTTACCGGGAAGAAAGTATTGTGGACGAAGAGTGATGCAAATGTGTAAAGGTAAAAAGCTAAAAAAGTAAATAAACTATTTCAGACACTAAAAATTTAACTACTGAATAGTGTACAGGTTGCGAAATGACTAAGTGATTTTAAAGTATTGAGTGAAGATCCAGAAAAGATACGGCCATTTGCTTTTTGCTTTTTTACAAATAAATACATAAGTAGAAATCACGCTTTTTGACACTTTTTTTATTAATGTGTAAAAAAGAAAATTTTTCCTAGCCCGTGTTTAGAAAAAACCCCTAGAGCGCATTTTTACCTAAATTTTAAATATGTACGTCTGTTGGCAACTGTTTGATCTGAATTGATTTCATAAAAAACTGTTAAATATTTTAAGAAAAACCTGAAGGCGGGCTTGGATTTTATGTATTATTTTATAATTGTTTTCCGATTTTGCTTGAAACATTGTGGGCTGTTTTTTATTTTATGGATAATTTTTTTCATTAGGAAAATGATTAAAATCAATACAATGAAAAAAAAAAAAAAAAATTTAAAATTAAGGCATGAAAAATTAAATAATTTTAGAATGGTAAAAGTTATTTAAGCGTACATATGTATATGTATATGTATTCGGTGACAAGATATTTTGTGCCAACCCTTCAATGGTCACACGAATCGCCGGTCGTAATACGTGTTTTCACGCTGTTTTTAACGCTAGCGAACAACTTTCCGTTAGTCATAGAAAGCGTGAGAATCAACAACAGTTGACATTATGCGGATTGAACCAGAGGACTCTTTTTGGCCGGAAAAGGCGGCGTTTAGCGATGCAGAAAGGCAGTACTACGAAACGCTACATCGGAGTAGGAGAAGTGTAAGTGAAAGCTTTCCACAGAAGGCCGCAGACGGATTACCAGAAACCGTCAATATGGCGGGAACCTTTTTCTTGGAGTTTTAAGGCCTTGGACTTTAGTTACGTTAAGCGGAGATCCGGTTACAGACATGCATATCGTATATAAATCGCTGCGTGCTTGTGCCGACTTTAGGCACCAAACCACACAAACAGCCGGCAAGCTTTGATTTAGGTGGCTACCCTACAACAATCAGCTGTTCTGATAATTCGCCCACATTCGTTTGTAACAACATTTGTGTATTAGCATCCAAACAAAGGCAGTCGATCAGTAAAGAATCCACGTTATCATTTTAGTTGTCTGACCCGGCACCCGCACATATCGTTACCGCCCCCACACCCATCACTGCCGTCCCCATCACTGCCGCCCCCTTCACTACCGCCCCCGCAAAAAAAGCCAAGAAGATCAAGGCAATGGCAGAGAAGGAGACGCCAAACAAAGTGCTCTACGTGAGTATAGTGCAGATTGCAGATTGCAACTTCCGGTCTAAGGCCAGTCGATCTTGCAGATGAATCCCCTGACCATGGAGGCCAACTTCTTTCTCGAGACCCTGAACTCGGTTAACCAGAAAAACAGTCAGCCGCAGCTGGATCCGTATCTGGCCAAGATGTTGGAGCGCATTATGATAGGCATCGAAAAGTATATGGACAGGAACCCCGCCTACATATTGCCCCAGGAAGCGGGTGCCGAGGGAGAGGGCGTGGCCTTTGTGCCGCCCAAGGAGTTGCAGACAATCAAGCGCACATTCAACTGCACATCCTGCAGCAACAGAATCGTGGGCAACACCATCGTCAAGGCAGTTGCCCACCTGTCGGAGCAGCATCCCAACCCCAATCCCAACAACCAGCCAGTGCCGACGCAGACCTTTGCGTCCAAGCAGGAGAAGAAGCGCGCCCAGGTGAAGGCGCGTGAGAAGATGGTTGTGCAGTTGCCCAAGAGTAGGTCGCCTCTTTGTATGCACTTCAACTAAGTATTTCAAATACTTATTAGCCATTTGTTATTTGGCTCCCACTTCCCAATTGTACAAATTTCAGAGGCTAAAGCCATGATTGTTGGCGAGATCACGAATGTGTTTAAGGATAAATATCCTATCGCGGACAAGTGAAACCGGAATAGAGTGTGTTGTTAACCCTTATGCGGTACATGGGGGTTCAAAATGGCCTAAGTCAATCACCCCACCACTGATTGTTGTTTTTGAATGTTCGTCAAACTTATCCGCTAGAGGCGCTTTTTTTTAATCTGGTTAACATAATCTTGAAACAACGTTTTCCCAAACGGGTAAGCAGAGGACAGCTTCATTCTAAACGGTTAAACCGCAAATTTCAGAAAACCACTAAAATGATAAAAGGTTCAGCTGGTCGGAACTAGAGGGAAATAACCTTCGATTGTAATACATTTGACTCGATCGATGTCTGGTCGACGATGTAAACTATCCGACGCACCTTCGCAATCTAGCAATTTATCCTCATCAACACCCGCCGTCATGCGACTTTAGCGAGTACACAAACCAATGTTAGCTGCGACAGGCTATAGCGTTTTAAGAGCCGGAATTTTTAAGTTTGAAAGTTATATTGAGTTTGTAGCATAAATATTACTTGTTTGTGTGTGTATATGGTCAAATACCTATATAATAATTAATAACAAAGTATATAACAACCTCGCTTAAATGTAGTGAGCTTAGCTGACCAAGTTATAAACTCTGGACAAATAATAAAGCGATACGTAGTAAATTAACCTACACAGTTTTGTATATTTTTCCAAGAAGGAACGCCCTTTATAGAAAAGGGTAATGGGTAAAGTTGCGCTAAAGCACAACATTTAAATTATTTATGTGTTAAAATAACAATTATCACTGCCGCGAGACTACCCGTTTTAGAACATTGCCATGTTTTTCTAGCGAAAAACTTTACCGTTGAGAATGTGTTGTGGATGAAGAGTGCTGCAATTGTGTGAAAATTTAAAAACAAAAGAAATTAAACATTTTTACCATGTCAGGCACTGCCAATTTTAGTACTGAACGCTGTAAAGGTTGCGAAATGACTCAGAGTGATTTTATAGTACTGAGTGAATACCCAGAAAAGCTATGGCTAGTTGCTTTTTTGCTATTTTTACAAATAAATAATTAGAAATCAAGCTTTCCGCCACTTTTTTATTAATGTTTAGGCCCCAAGGTATCCTTTAAAAAAAAAATTAAATTCCTAGACCATATTTAGCAAAAGCCGCTAAAGCGCAACTTACCTAGAAAAGTTCATATTATCGTTCAGTTCATGCGAATAGTGCCGTTTTTTTGGTTTATAAGAATTTTTTGTATCGTAATTCTTTGAATAAATTTTAGAAAATTTTTTTTTAAGAACTATGTATGTACCTTAGGGCCCAAAAATTAATATAAGTGCCGAAAAGCGTGATTTCTAATTATTTATTTGTAAAAAATAGTAATTAACATCTCCGCGAGACCAAGGGTGTTATGCGAAACACTTTACCGGGAAGAAAGTATTGTGGACGAAGAGTGATGCAAATGTGTAAAGGTAAAAAGCTAAAAAAGTAAATAAACTATTTCAGACACTAAAAATTTAACTACTGAATAGTGTACAGGTTGCGAAATGACTAAGTGATTTTAAAGTATTGAGTGAAGATCCAGAAAAGATACGGCCATTTGCTTTTTGCTTTTTTACAAATAAATACATAAGTAGAAATCACGCTTTTTGACACTTTTTTTATTAATGTGTAAAAAAGAAAATTTTTCCTAGCCCGTGTTTAGAAAAAACCCCTAGAGCGCATTTTTACCTAAATTTTAAATATGTACGTCTGTTGGCAACTGTTTGATCTGAATTGATTTCATAAAAAACTGTTAAATATTTTAAGAAAAACCTGAAGGCGGGCTTGGATTTTATGTATTATTTTATAATTGTTTTCCGATTTTGCTTGAAACATTGTGGGCTGTTTTTTATTTTATGGATAATTTTTTTCATTAGGAAAATGATTAAAATCAATACAATGAAAAACAAAAAAAAAAAATTTAAAATTAAGGCATGAAAAATTAAATAATTTTAGAATGGTAAAAGTTATTTAAGCGTACATATGTATATGTATTCGGTGACAAGATATTTTGTGCCAACCCTTCAATGGTCACACGAATCGCCGGTCGTAATACGTGTTTTCACGCTGTTTTTAACGCTAGCGAACAACTTTCCGTTAGTCATAGAAAGCGTGAGAATCAACAACAGTTGACATTATGCGGATTGAACCAGAGGACTCTTTTTGGCCGGAAAAGGCGGCGTTTAGCGATGCAGAAAGGCAGTACTACGAAACGCTACATCGGAGTAGGAGAAGTGTAAGTGAAAGCTTTCCACAGAAGGCCGCAGACGGATTACCAGAAACCGTCAATATGGCGGGAACCTTTTTCTTGGAGTTTTAAGGCCTTGGACTTTAGTTACGTTAAGCGGAGATCCGGTTACAGACATGCATATCGTATATAAATCGCTGCGTGCTTGTGCCGACTTTAGGCACCAAACCACACAAACAGCCGGCAAGCTTTGATTTAGGTGGCTACCCTACAACAATCAGCTGTTCTGATAATTCGCCCACATTCGTTTGTAACAACATTTGTGTATTAGCATCCAAACAAAGGCAGTCGATCAGTAAAGAATCCACGTTATCATTTTAGTTGTCTGACCCGGCACCCGCACATATCGTTACCGCCCCCACACCCATCACTGCCGTCCCCATCACTGCCGCCCCCTTCACTACCGCCCCCGCAAAAAAAGCCAAGAAGATCAAGGCAATGGCAGAGAAGGAGACGCCAAACAAAGTGCTCTACGTGAGTATAGTGCAGATTGCAGATTGCAACTTCCGGTCTAAGGCCAGTCGATCTTGCAGATGAATCCCCTGACCATGGAGGCCAACTTCTTTCTCGAGACCCTGAACTCGGTTAACCAGAAAAACAGTCAGCCGCAGCTGGATCCGTATCTGGCCAAGATGTTGGAGCGCATTATGATAGGCATCGAAAAGTATATGGACAGGAACCCCGCCTACATATTGCCCCAGGAAGCGGGTGCCGAGGGAGAGGGCGTGGCCTTTGTGCCGCCCAAGGAGTTGCAGACAATCAAGCGCACATTCAACTGCACATCCTGCAGCAACAGAATCGTGGGCAACACCATCGTCAAGGCAGTTGCCCACCTGTCGGAGCAGCATCCCAACCCCAATCCCAACAACCAGCCAGTGCCGACGCAGACCTTTGCGTCCAAGCAGGAGAAGAAGCGCGCCCAGGTGAAGGCGCGTGAGAAGATGGTTGTGCAGTTGCCCAAGAGTAGGTCGCCTCTTTGTATGCACTTCAACTAAGTATTTCAAATACTTATTAGCCATTTGTTATTTGGCTCCCACTTCCCAATTGTACAAATTTCAGAGGCTAAAGCCATGATTGTTGGCGAGATCACGAATGTGTTTAAGGATAAATATCCTATCGCGGACAAGCTGAAAGTGATTCCCGAGTACGACAAAATAGAACAGGACCTGTGCAAGCTTCTGACACCGGCGTTCCCAAAGCAACAGTTGCGCGTCTACAAGTTTGGCTCCCGCATAACCGGCATCGGGTCGCGGTCTTCCGACCTTGACGTCTTCGTGGACATCGGTAAGTTGAGTCTGCTAACCAAACCAATTCCTTTAATAACTTGGCTTGAATTGAAAGGCAACACCTTTCATACGTTCGAACACCGTGCTTCGAATACAACCATCACCAAGCTGCGGGCAATTCGAAAGTTCTTCTGCGGCAGCGACGATTGGCGTATTATTAATGTACGGAATGCATAAAATACAGGAGGGCATATTAACAATTTCTATTTTGAGTAGGTCATTGAGCAGGCCCGTGTTCCCATCATCAAAACCTGTCATCTGCCCACAGGCATCGAGTGTGATATTTGCTTGAACAGTTTGGGCTTCTGCAACACAAACCTACTGAAGTATATATTCGAATCACAGCCACTGAGTAAGCAGAATCGGATGGTCGTAGTCCACGTTATCTTTTTGTTTTTGCTTTCTTGCAGCTCAGTACATGTGCATTTATGCTAAGAACTGGCTGGAGCGATGCAAGTTGACGGAGCAGATATCGACGTATAGCATCACATTGATGGTCATCTACTTTTTGCAGCTTCAGCGAGTCTTGCCACCCATTATGACGCTGCAGGCGGAGCAGTGCCTCCAAGTGGGGCTTGTCGGACGTATGTGTATCAATGCAAAATAAGGGGAATCCCCAATTTATTTTTTCCATTGCAGCGTGGATCGTCAACTTTGCACAGAAATTGCCTAGCGAGCTGGGACTCGAGCAAGTGAAAGTGACTGTGCCCGTGGTCAAGGGCTATCTTAGGACCTTCTTCTTATACTATGCCAATTTTGACTTCGAGCACTTCTTGGTCTGCCCATATTTTGGTATGCCAGATATGGAGATACAGAATTTTGAGAAGTTGCTGCCTAACAGGTATTTTTGTTAATATAAACTTATAAACTAATAGGATAGACCGAGATGCACTTTTGCGCAGCAATTTTTTATTCAGTATTCGGTTTAATAATTAAGTGGAATTATTTTTGAAAAAAAAAAATCACTAAAGAATATGCAAATTTATTAGTATTTATTATAATTATTTATTATTTAACCGTTTAGATACACATCGTACGTGCTAGAAAACCGTGACTGCTTGCTACAACTGCAAAAGCCGATGGTTGTCCAAGATCCCATTCAGCTGAACCACAACGTGACCAAAGCGGTGACCCGTTACGGATTGCAAACGTTCGTTGACTATTGCCAGCAGACTGCAGCACTGTTAGAGGAGCCGTCGGCCAATTGGCGCCAGCGCAGTACATAATCCACTGATCACTCTTATGAAACGTTCCCCATCCCTCCAATCTCAAGGCAGTTTCGTGGCTGGTCTGTAAGATTTTTACCTTGTGTGCGAGACAACATACTAGTTTATTGTGATCGTAAATTGAAGACGTTCGGCACGTCTCGACAATATAAAACTCAAACGATAAGTGACTTTTTTATATTTCACTAGCAAGCGTTTAAATTGTATAATTGGTTTGGTTTCAATTGCTTTAACACGTAAGAATAATATGGCACCCGTTTGAACGGTCTACATCTGCCACGAGCTGGGTACCCGGTTAAATATCTTTAGCAGCAGATATATTGTAAAGCCGACGATTAAAAAGAGACCCAGGAAGCTTATGCGGTTCAGCCAGTGCTGCTTGGATTCGCGCATCAAGTTGTAAATGCTCATCGCCGAGCTTTCCGCTTCCTCCACGCTGCCATTATTGTCGATGACGAAGTGAGACTTCTCGCACTTCTTGTCCAGGGGCATCTGCGCCTCGACGCGATGCCGCGCCTCGGGTTCGGAGAGTTCATTGCGGGCTATTAATCGCTCCAGCTGTTTGTCAGAGTCACTAAAATTTGGAAGAAAAAAGCTAGTAAAACCAGAAGTCCTGCTCGCATGAGTTAAGCTAGTTTCCATCGAATCGAAAAAGTGAAGCTTTATCTATTTTGAGCTCATTCGATGGACGCTTTAACTCAACTCATCCAAGGAACCCTGAAGGAAGCTAGCCTACCAGGTTACACAGATGATTTTGTGTATGAAGTCCATCAGGATTCCAGTTTCAAATAGAAGTGGCAGGTCTAGAACGATCCAAGCGTGCCCCGTTACCAGCAGTTTGCACACTTGCCAGAAAATCTTGCGGTGAATGGTCGGATGGGTGATCTTGTTCAGCTTTCCGCGCAGCTCCTTGTCCTCGAAGATCATCTTCCCCAGGACGGCGCGGTTAATCTCCTTGCTGGGCAGCAAGACCTCATCTCCGAAAATCTCCCGTATTTGCTGCCAGCACGGCTGACCTGGTTCTACAACTAAACGAATAATTAAAATCAGCGGAAATGGTAGTTAATTACTAAGCACAAAGCGGATGTGCTCCACTTTTTGAACGTACTCTCTCTGGCGATTTTATCGGCGTCGATTACTGGAATGCCCTGTCGCTCGAATACTTTGCTGACGGTGCTCTTTCCAGAGGCAATGCCACCTGTTACCGCCACAATAAACATTTTTCAACGAGAGTTAAAATACCTTAGTTCTTTAAGAGGAATGTTTTAATCGTTTTTTTTTTTCAACTATTAAAGGTGAAGTGTGACCAAACGATTTCCTTTGAAATATACCGTTGTTAAATATACCAAAAAATATCTGCTCAGCTGAAAAACGAAAAATGTTTGCGGTATTCCCTATTGTTAAAAGCTATACGAAATTGTTTCTGCGGAGTTGTCAATATATATTGTCATAAATTTGATCAGCATTTTTAACTTGTATATTTTTTATTAAGGAAAAATCTCAATGAAAGGTATATAAGGTTTATTAAACTGTTTAGTTTTCTTGCGGTTCTTGGAAAACCGTTAGGAGAACACCTTTTTCCACTAAGCCATAAAGTGTTTCATCACCACCATTCCATTTCTTTCAAAAAAGCAAAGCAGCGGGAGCTTCTTAACACTTTTTTCCCAGATCCAATATGGCGACTTTGTAATTTTTCGTGCGTCGTTATTGCAGAGTTTGTGAAATTTCCACGCGCTCCCTCAATCGAAGATTATATTCGACGCGACTTTCGGTAGCCAGCAGAAACCCGACTTTTATACCCTCTTCAAAGGATCTCCGTAGTTATCAGAAAACAACGAATTCTGCAAGATGGTGGACAAAATTGAAATGAGCCTCGACGACATCATCAAGTCCACTCGCTCGCAGAAAAAACCGCAAGGCGCCCGCGGAGGGCCAGGTGGTGCTCGAAAGCCGGGTGGCTTCGACGATACTACCAAGGCCACTCGCTCGCAGAAAAAGCCGCAAGGCGTGCTTAAGAATCGTCGTCCTGGAGTGGCCAGTGGAGCCGTTCAGAAGGCAAAGTTTCCACGGGTAAATCATTGCGTTTCAATGGCCAAACGGAGCAGCCGGAGCAGAATATCCCTGTGTTCACCAGGACAATAATGCCACGCAAGTGTCTTGCGACCCATGACCCACACACACCAGTACATGGAAGAGAATAGCGAATAACAAAATCAAAATCAAAATGGCCACCCTGCGCCTTCCAACGGACGGAACAATTCTTCGAGACCAAGCCAACTCAAGTTTTCCTAACCCCGTTCTTACAGAATACCAAAAAAATAGGCGATACCTGTGTCTTAACTAATTTTTTCTTAACGTCTCACGTTTTTCACGTGAATATTGTCCAGTTAACAAGAATTTCTAGTGTCTCCGCTCGATATGGCAGTCCTCTTGAGGCTAGGATACGATGCAACTGCTACTGCCACGGCTACTCCCGCCAAATACATATTGTTGATACGCCTCGCGTTCGAACCAACAACAGACATACCCATCTACCTTCTACCTAATACTACCCCCACCTCTAGGGCGATGTAAACAGCGCTTGGAAGCACGATATGTACGACGGGCCGAAGCGGGGAGCCGCAGCCGGCGGATCCGGACCTACCCGCCTTATCGTCGGTAACCTGGACTACGGCGTCTCTAACACAGACATAAAGGAGCTGTTCAACGACTTCGGGCCGATGAAGAAGGCGGCAGTGCACTACGATCGTTCCGGTCGCTCACTGGGTAAATTTTTCCATATAATATAACTTAAAATATAATAATAATAATAAATAATTATATATGTATTAACCAAACCATGACAAAAACATGGAAATTTGTTTGTTATTTTAAGTCGTTTACCGATTAATCCAATGTAATAAATATAAAATGTAGAACACATAAATAGCCAAACTCCAGTGATATTATGCTCTTTAGCAATGTTTAATTTCAAATTAAAATAAAATAACTTATCTGTCTTTTAAAAATATTTTACGCTAATCAGAATTTAAATTTAAATAGAACTGATTATTAAATTTTTGTACTAGTCCGCAATTGTTGACATGATCAATCCACCATATAATGATTTCCTTTTTCTTTGCAGGCACCGCTGATGTGATATTTGAGCGTCGTGCCGACGCCATGAAGGCCATTAAGCAGTACCACGGCGTGCCCTTGGATGGTCGACCTATGACCATCCAGTTGGCCGTCTCAGACGTGGCCGCTTTGACCCGTCCCGTAGCCGCCACTGATGTCAAACGGCGTGTGGGTAACGGAGCATCAGCTCCATTCAAGCGTGGTGGTGCGTATCTTAAGCTTTCATCGGGGACCGTGAATAATACCCATATTCGTTCTATTTTTTACCTCGAACATCACTCATTTAAACCATCTTAGATCATTTTTGGATCTATGCACTTCCACAAAGATTTTTAAATGCATATTTATTTCGATAGATAATTTGTAAGATTCCGATTAATTTTGAATTTAATGTGGTTTACTTTTTTTTACGACATAGTTATTTATTTTTAAAACTTTTCTGAACAATAGTTATATTTCTTATACAAGACATCTTAGCATCATTCATTCGTTGGTAATTGTTATAAAATTAATTATGTTTTTTTTTTAGAGTTTGGTTATCATTATTTTTGTGAGAGGTTATTTGAGTAAAATATGTTACCAGGCTTTGTTTCACTTCTGAAAGATTTGTGCGAATGCTTGCAGAAAGAAGAGCTCAGCTTTCAAACAATTGTTTCTGCAATGGAACCAAGAATGATTATGATTACGGTCCCTGAAGGCAATCCCTTGCTCCAATCCTTACACTTCCATTCCAAACTATTTTTTAGGTGGCCAAGCTGGAGGCTCTCCACGTCGTGCCGGCGCATCAGCTCCATTCAAGCGTGGTGGTTCGTATCTAAACAATTTCATCGGGGACCGTAAACAACGCCCGTAGTCATTTCCTTTTTTTCTTTGAAGATATTGTTTTAGATATTTTTCTGTTTACTCAATCTTTGGTGTAAATTGATCAGTATTTGATCACTTTAAAAAGTTTGTAAAAATCGATTTTAATTCTGAAAGTTAGTTCTTATTTTTCTGAGCTTAGAATGATTACGGTTCCTTAAGTTATTTTGTGGCTTCAGTTCTCTTACATTTCAATTTCAACCTGTTTTAGGTGGTCAGGCTGGCGGCTCTCCACGTCGCGGTGGCTTTAAACGTCCGGTCGGAGGCAAACCGGCTGGCGGCCAAAGGCGTGAGCGTAAGGCCCAACCCACTGCCGAGGAGCTGGACGCCGAACTGGACTCTTACATCAACGACATGAAGATCTAAATATCCAATAGTCTGAATTAGTCTAACAAAACAAACAAGAGAAAACACAAGCCCTAGTCTTAAGCCTAACATATGGACACTTTCCATATGGTAATTCAAATGCATCCGGATCGACAACGCCGCGCCAGGGACAGATCAAATAAATGTTCACTCCGAGAAATTCAGACATTAAAAATGAAATGCCATTTAGGTATGCACCCATTAAATTGTTAATATACCAATTGGCGGCTGTTGGGATAAGTCGACTAACTGAAATACATTTGATGCTGTATTTATTATTAATAGTAATACGCTTTAATAAGATCGACGATGATTTAATGAACACTTGTAATTCTAAACTGAAGTGTAATAAATATTAGAATTAATTTGTGACCAAATCGATTTGTCTTTGCTGACTCATTAGAATAAGAATATAGTTGAGCTATTAGGCGGACTATGAAGAATCTCCACCAACTTGCACAAATAAAAGAGCTATAATTTATAATTAAATGTTTTATTTTGGAATAATACATCAATGGTTACAAAGGGATTTTGTTTTGGACAAGTTGTACAGACTTTAAGAAATTTCAGTTGGACACGTTAAGTACAAATGCTAAATTAGGCTTCGGTAGTAGGTGGTAGAGTTTAGCGAAGTCAATCCATGTTATCCATTTTTTGAGAGGGGCGGAATCACGAGTTACTTAATTTCAACAATTGCGTTAGACATGTTAAACGTTTTACTTATACGATAGAACATATGTGAGAGGTATGAAAATGAATCGACGAAAGGAAGAACGATTTGGAGAGCTGCTTTGCAAAGTGTAATTCGAGTTTTTCCTCCTCTCTGTCTGATCAGCAGATTAAAGATAATGCGCCTCTAATTATGTGTGTATACGTATGTTATAAGCGAGTTATATTTATAGGTTTATGTTTATTGATGGGCTGAGGATGTGATGGTGAGTCAGTAAATGCTTGGCAGCCGCTTCCGCTCCCCGTGCCCACTCCTCTACCAGAATCCACCCGACGAGTATCCGCCTGGTGGGACTCGTCCACGAGCCTCTCCGTTCGTGGCCGCTGGCTTTGCAGATTCCTTTGGCTGGCTGGTCGGGGCGGAAGACTTGACCTCCTCCTTCTGGGTGGTTGCCTCGTCGCGCAGCTTCTCCACCACCTTGTTGGGGTCGGTAGAGCCCATGCAGGCGTTAAGGTTCGACGAGTTCTGTTGGTTGTACTTGGCACGCGGGGCCGGCACGGCCACGTCCGGCTCCGAGAAGATGTTGGTGTGTCCGCCACCTGGTGGCTTCAGCACTCGGCTCGAGGGACGGGCGCTGGTGGTCAGGCCAATTTTCAGCTCAGTGGATGTCATTTTGTCGCTGCTGGTTGAACTGGCTGGCTGCAAGGCATAACAATGAAAAGTGAATCAGATGCGGTCGGAAACACGAGTACCCTAGAATACTAATTCAGTCACGCCACTTGCGGATGTGGCCGCCACAATGACGCCCGTCATCCGACAACATCGCCCCACTGGGGAAACTCTTTGTGGAGTGGAGTGAAAACGAGACCTATTTGTTCTGCCCTTCTGCCCCCTCTTAAGGGGGGAAATACAATTAGAAGGCCTGAAATGAGGGCTATCTTTGGGAGTGGATTGCAAGTAGAGTATTAAATGAATCTTAGTGATTCTTTTTGCATGTTATTGGGTAATTATTGAGCAATAAAAATCAGTCAAGTTTTTTGAAAAATATTGTAATTAAGCCCATTTATGATCAATAATGTGGAGTCGTGTTTTTAGGGAAGGACCTTGCGCCGTGCAGTCTCCAGGTCCAGGATCACGACTTAAACAAAAAAAGCAACTGGGCTTTAAACTTAAAGGTACAGCGCACACCATGAATTAAACCATATTTAAAAAAAATTATTTTTCCATTAAAAAATTTTAGGTTAAAAAAAAAATTTCAAAAATAACGATTTTCTTTTGACTTTGATTGTAAAAAAAACATGTTATAACAAACAAATATGAAAAACCGTTATATTCATGGTGTGGAGAATTTAATTTCAAACATAATGCAAAAAACCGCATTCGATTAAAATAAAATCTCTGACCTGTACATTGCACGGCGACTTTGAAAACACGACTTTTCAGGAGAAGCGTTTAAAGTTTACTTTTGTGCATGTCCGCCATATGACACACCCTCACTAAATTGCGTATAACTCTGAAAATAAGTACCGGACGGCTTTATGCTTTTAAAGGCTTACTCCCAGATATATTTGGAGTACATTAAGCCAAAAAAAATTTTTTCGAAAAAAAAAATTTTCTAATTGTATTTCCCCCCTTAATGGTTTCTCTACACATATAAATTCATCGGCTCCCCCATCTATTTTTGCTCGTTGCGTTCTCGACTTTTAACTTTGCCGTTAACTGTAATTGCGCGTTTTGTGGCTGTCGCACTTTCGTTGTTGTTTTTGGCGTTGTTCATTTCTTCTTTTTTGGTGTCAAGTATTCGCACAGTGGGCCAGCTACCTTCGATTTGTTTACAATCCAACAAATATTCGTAATTTATGATATATTACCGCGGTATCAACTCTGTTGGCAACCACAAAAGTTATTATGACTGCATTTCTTTCATTATCTTTGAATTAACTAAGCTACTTAAATTGATGCAATAATTGACTTAACTACCAACTTTGAAATGAGTTTCCAATACGAAATTGTAATAACTTGTCATTTGAGTCAAAACGCTTTCAAGTAATATATAATTTTAAACGTTTTCCCTAAATTATTTGCAAATTTCCAATAACAGGGTTTAGCATATTATTTACATATTTAAATCATTCTTGCTCTTAGTCCCAATCTAAACATTGTGGCTGTGCAATTTCTGCCACATTTTTATGCTTCGTTCAGCATGGCAAAAAAGAGGTCGCCGTTCAGGCGATGACATCTGCCGCAAGTGCTGTAAAACATTTGTAAAGATGCGTCATCTCCTGGGGGAGGCTCATACTCCCCACTTCCGGCCTCTGCCCCGCCTAATCCCACGGGGTGTATCGCATTTGGGGTGGCTGTTGGCAACAATAAAAACAAACACTGGCCACACACATTCGCAATTTTGTTGGGGCATGGGAAAACAAAGCAAAGTGAATGACCGCAGCGAGTCAAAGATCTTTAGATTAGACGGCTCTAAAGCGATTCCGATTCCCATAGTTGAGCGCTTTTCACCTGGGCAAAAAATTACTAACGTACACAGAAAAACAAACTAGACTCCTTATTAACTTAAGGTTTTCATAAAAACGTACTTATTTGATTCCCAAAATCATGTTGCAATTTTAATTTTGCATATGGGTCAGTGCTGTCTTCGTATGGTTTTATCATTAAAATTGTTTTTGTTTTACAATTTTTGGTAAACACATTACTTTAATTGTGGTATTATGTCTTTAAAAGAGTGAGAATTATATTGCCTCAAATTTTCTCTATGTGCAAAAACAATAACAGCGCTTGATTGTCGTGTTCCCTTTCCACTGTACTTGTTGTTTTTGCTTCCCTAGGGCGATTGCCGGCTTACACACACACATACACCCGTGGAGGTAAATCACATTAACTGTGCATGTGGTTGTTTGTATTTGTGCTGAAATTATGAGTAATGAGCAATCTGGATATAACTCGAAATTGTGGCTCCATCGACCGACTTGTTAACTTAGTTAATATGGTCAAAACACATTAGACGGAAATCCAGTTTCGGCAGAGACCTACTAAAAATGTATCTTTGATCAGAGCCAAAACGGCGATGCACACGGAAACTGGCAGAGCCGAAAAAACAGAAAAACAACTTAAAAAGCATGCTACTACAATTCGGTTCAAACTGCTTCCAGCTAGTTTTTTTAGGTGCATGCAATAATCGCCCGACTAAAACGAAAAACACGGCGACCAACATGGCCGCCCAAAAGAAAAGGCAAAGAGAGAGTCTCCTCGAGAAGGGGGCCCAAAACAGGGAATCTTCCACAGAGGATGTTATTTATAATGCATATGGCAGCTGTGCTAAATAAAATTTTAAAGCAGCTGCACAGACACACACACTAACAGCGCTTGCGCTCGACGTACAAAATTCCATGACACAAGTGAAAAGTGTTAGTCTGCGAAAATATTGATTTATCTCGGGCCCCAAAGAACAAACAGTTGGTCTAGCCTTTTAGCACCCAAATCACACTTACCTTTGAAAGTCTTTAAAACACGATTTTACTTGTAGCTGATGTAGTCTTAAAGTTTACAAAATTCGCTGTGGAAACGACGCGCACTGCCAACGAACGTTGATTTTAAATGATTGTGGTGTGACCGATTTCAGTGTGCCCCAGTGTTGCCAATTGCTAAAGTGTCGATTTTCCCAAATGCTCCGAACAAAATAGAGTTACCACTACAGATCTTATATTTTGCTTTAACCTTGTTGAACATTGGTTGGGGCCCCACATTTCCCGATACCGATATATTGATCATTTCGAAATTCCAGCATAGTGGTTACACTGGAGTTTTGTTGACGTTTCAGGTTTATCAGACTGCGCAAGGAGCCGATTCGACTTTTTCATATCATTTCGACTGATAATAAAGATGGGTAGTGATTGGGACGAAATCAAGCGCTTGGCCGCAGACTTTCAGAAGGCGCAACTGACGTCGACACTGCAGAAGTGAGTTTCGCTGGGACCCGATGTTTTACCATTTACTTATGTACATGCCTCTGTCATATTAACATTTTAAAGGCTCTCTGAGCGAAACTGCGTGGAGATAGTGACCCTGCTGCTGGAGAAGCAGATGCTGGAGGTGGTGTTTACTAACGATGGCAAGGAGTATATTACACCGGATCACCTTGAACGTGAGATACAGGACGAGTTGTATGCGAACGGTGGTCGAGCCAATCTGGTGGAGGTCAGCAAAACCCTAAACGTGGACTTGTCCAGAATTGTGGGACTAGCGGAGCGGATAGCGGCAGAGAATCCGAGCGTCCACCTGGTACTGGGGCAGCTTATCGACGAGGATTATATCAGCCACATTGCCCAGGAGATCAACGAGAAGCTAGCCCTGCGTGGAGAGATATCCATATCAGAACTGGCTTCTCAGTTCGACCTGCCGTCGGACTTTCTTCAGCATGACGTGGTAGAAAAGCACCTTGGCAGGATCATCAAAGGCCGCCAAGATGTTACCAATCCCCGGGTGTTTTTCACCCAGGCCTACATCCAACGGTGCAAAGCGAAGATTCGGGGTGCCCTGACAGCCATTACGAGGCCAACGAACGTGGCTGTGATTTTGCAGCAGGTTGGAGTGCAGGAGAAGATTTTCCACTCGCTGTTGGATGAGATCGCTCCACCTGGTCAGGTGACCTCCAAGCTGGCCAACTCACAGTACGTGCCGCATATTTATGCCAAAACGCAGGCGGACTGGGTGAACTCGTTCTACAAGCAAAACAGCTTCCTGGAGTACGACGCTATCCAGAAGTTGGGCATTTCGGACGCCAAGTCCTACATACGCAAACAATTCCCCAACGAAGAGTTCCTCTTTCTCAAGCGGGTGGCCCTGGGCGCTCGACTTGTGGAGCTGACGGTGGTCACTGCGCTAAACGAGTGCAGTGCCACCAAGCAGTACCTGGATCTTTCCACCATCCTGCCTTCCAACCTGTCCGAGGAGGATATTGAGGAGGTTTTCGGCGCCATCATGGCCCAAAAACATAGCAATCCGAGCAACTTTGTGTACCTGGACAGCATCGGTAAGAACTTGTTCTTGGCTCTGTGCTTTAATTTTGAAGAAAAAGTTATAAAAATCATATGCGAAATCATAATCAAACATTTTTTTTGTCTTCTACTAATTTGTAATTTATACTGATTTTAGTATTTTCGCAACCGTATCTCGCGCAATTGGTTCAACCTTGCCAAGCGCTTGCCGAGTCCCAGGCAAAGGTGGCTATTGACAGCGGAATTTATCAACAGTACGTCGTGGAGAAAACGCTGGCGCAGAAGGGGAACGCTTCGACCCAAGAGCTAGAGGACGATGGCAAGGTGGACAAGCGCGACGAGAGAAGAAAGAAGGCGTCCTCTGGCAAATCAGGTGGCGGAGCTCAGGGTCGTGAGACGAAGACCAAGTCCACAAAGAAACATCAACGAGGCAAGGCGGCAGCCCAAAACGACAGCGATGACGAGGACGATGTGCAGCAGAGCTCTCGAGGTGGTGCCGGAAACAAGAAGGCAGTGAAGCCATTGGAACTGGTAAAGACTGCTGACATCATTAAGCTGATCAATCCCAGTCTGGAAGAGGAGGGATTGGAGCACTTGTCCAAATCTATCGCTGCCTTATATACAAAGTAAGTAACGACATTAGTGGTTTACAAAAATTGTAGCATTCTTATTCGTTTTTGATAACTTTTTTTCATAGCCAATTTAATCAGACGGCCTTAGCACGTGCTCAGGAGTTATTTGAGGCTACGCCGCAGACTAATCGCCGCCAGACCCACGCTGCCATCCAGGATCGGATCAATACACTGCTAATAGACATACGCCTCTACGAAAAGGGCTTAAAGCTCTTCCCCCAGGACACACAGACACAATTGGTTAAATACCTGCTCAAGTCATTGGGCAATGATATCTGCAACGAACTTTCGCTGTACGTAGCCAGCGAGTGCAATCTGACTGTGAAAAATACCAACCTGAATGTAGACCAGCGCAATAAGTTGGCTCAGGAGTGCGAAGCCCAGTACCGCCCTGCGCTGCTCGAACAAAACAAGGCCCTGAACAAGACCATTGACGAGTTTGAACTAGCCACTGAAGCGGTTCTAAAGACTTGTAGCATGATCATCAAAAAGGTGGATAAGAAGAAGGATCGCCTGCTGATCGCGGACCACAAGAAAAAGCTTCAAGAGCAGCTGCTCGATTGCCAAGAACCGGCGCTGCTCCTGCACCTGGCCGCACTGATCCTCTTCACCACGATCACTGGCAGCATTCTGCATGCATCCGGAAAATTTGTTTCAGCCATTCTGCAGCACATTCGCGGCTCACTAAACGAGCCGCAGAACGCTTTGTTGCTCCGGTATCACGGTGAGCTTATACTACTACAATTTGTTTAATTCACTTGTTTTCCATATAATCATTCTTCCTTTTTTAGATTTGGTGCTGCAAGTTCTACAGGCAACGCCAAACAGCAGCGAATCAAAGATTGCATACGAACAGTTGCAGGCCATGCAGACGGATGTGGTCGATCTAGCGGAAAATTTTACTCGAGCCTCCATCTCCAAGGCTGATTGATCGTAGTCCCCTTTTTGATTAAGCTTAGCAGCGCAGTTTTTGTTTCATTTTCATTGGTTTTGGTCCCACAAATTTCGAAATTGTTAAACTTTCCATAGTTTATAAATTGTTTTTATTATTGCTAAGCATGAGAGTCGCCTAAATACATCAGTAAATATACAAAACGACGAGCCTTAAACAGAGTTCCAAACTGTATCACTTTCGGGGATTTCTTACTAGGAAAACGATTTAAAATTGATTGGGTTGGAAGGGATATTCCCAATTTAGTTTGGTAAGCTCAAGCTTTGATTTGTAAAAGTCTCATTGAGCTTTTGATCCTTATATACAGAATTGGAGACCTATAATTACAAGATTTTGCTAACAAGACGTATAAGTTGTGCTTTTCCTGCGGTCTACAACGAGTATTTGTTTGATTGCTAGAATTGATGTGAGCGATCAGTAAATAGGGATCCTGACACTTTATAAACTATGTAGTCTTTGAAGTATTTGCTTGGCTTTATCGCTGGATTGCCTGAAAATAAAAATGGAATGAGTTTTAATAATCTAAAAATTGTATGTTCGATTCTTACATGAAGACTGGATTGCTTGCATCACAGCTTTCTAAAGTTTGTTTTATATATCCTATGAAAAGCTCCATGTTTTTGAGTGTCTCGCTGTTAGGCAATAACCAAACCGTGGGCAGGGTATTAACAATGATGTAAGCTTTGTTAATTGCATCGTTTGGCGTGCAGACCCGCATGGCCAAAAGAAGGTAGCGATTTAGCAATGCTCCTATTGCCAGCTCCCGAAGCAGTTTATCCGCTAGGATGCCCTGCCAGCTGAGAAAGTTGCGGAACAGTTTTAGCCCGCTGCAAAACTGTCGCTGAAAGAACGACGTCTTTGCCTCTTGCACTCTACAAATAGAAATTGTAATTAATAATTATTGAAATCATTAAGGTATTATCCACTTACTGTTTTGGAAATATGGGAATAAACACATCGTTTTCTAGGGCTAACCGCATGCGTTCCATAATGGATTCGAAGAGTTTGTTGAGCTGTTTATTAGTACCGCTCAGCGGAAACTCGCGGCCCAACCGATTGATGAAGCCAACCAATCTGAGAGTCTGCGTGGTTGACAATGGATCCCAGCATTCCGTTACCAGAGCTACAAAATATTAAATATTAACCGTAATTCTTTTTTTTATAAACTTTTGGTTACTCACCAGTCACCTTTGGGAGCACAATCTTCTCAATAAGTGCAGGCACCAGGTTAACGTCCGGGTCATTCTTTAGCTGATCCACTGTTTCGTCTGGACGACAGGCGTATAACATGCACGCCTGGTACCATCGCATATTCTCTATGTCCGCGTACACATCCAGCAGTGGCGACCACAGGACAAGTTCGTGGCGCACAAGCGGCGCCAGAAGTTTCGGCAGGCACAGGCTAACGAATGCATCCTGATATGATGACATGTCAGTTTTGCGCCAGGCGTAAAACTTCGTTAGGATCAGCTCGATCTTGCTGAAGTCATCGGTAACGTCCTCAAAGGCCTCCACCGACTGGGTTTCAATCAGTGCCGTGGACGCCATGCTCTGTTCCTGTTGCTGGTCGGCGATCTCATCGTCGCTTGACATGCCATCCAGGTGGGATGAGAGCAAGTCGTTCCGCTCACGCTCACAACGACGACGTGTTCTCCGACCCTCCCTCTCTGCGGCTCGACGGACCTGTTCCTCGTATTCCGGAGTTCGACGGGCAGCAGCTGAGATGGGCTCTAAAACAAGACAAATTATTAATAATCGTTAAGCGGCTTTTGTTGAGGAAGGAATATATAGAAAAAACAAAAACTCTGTTCAAGCAATTTCCTAGATCTTCGGTCCTACTCATAAATTTCTCATACTTGCTGCCTCGGCGATTTCCTTTGCCTGATCCCGGACATCTTGCCGCCGTCTATTCACCAAATACCGCTGGTTCTTGCCGTACTGCTGGAGGGCCCTCTTCTCAAGGTCGTTAATCACCGGTGTTTTCTCGGCAAGGCAGTCGACCAGGTCGTTAACATAGCACTTTACTTCCTGGTAGAACTTATACTTTGCCGCCGCTGTGGGTGCATTTTGCTGGCACTCCAACTGCTGGAGCTTTAAAGACTTTAGTTCAATACTGATCCTGGCCATACTGGCGCTGTGATCCGCTGAGCGTTCTCTCAGCTCACTAAGCCGAGACTGAATCGCGGTTAAGATTTCTTGCGGAGTGCGCAGGGCTGTAGCTTTGGACTTATCCTTCTTGGTCTTGGCAGATGAACGAACTGCAGCCGCCAAATTGCTTCGATCAATGGCGTTCTTTGCATAGGCCTGCTCCAGCAAGGTGGATGTGGATTGCGGTGCCGCTAAGTCCACGTCGTCCATCGCAGATCCGCCTCCGGGAGTGGTCGGCTTGATCATAAAGCGGGAAAGCACGGTTTCGTGCTGGGAATGGACCAACTGAGCAGCCGTGACTCCCTTACGGATCTGCTGGTTCTCCCACTCGTTCATCTCGCGGTCAGAGTCTTCATCGGTGGCTGCGGTAGAGTGAACAAAGGTTAGCAATAGTTAACAAAGGTCACCTGTGTTTGGCCTGGCTTCGTTTCCGGCCACGAATGGGACTGGGCTTCCTCTACATACAATCATTTTCGACGGCGTAGAACTGCTCGCGTCGTTCTTCTCGTTCTTTGCGTCCAGTAATGTCGTTCATGTCCATGCGCTCTTCGTCATCCGATTGATCGCCCTCAACGTCCTCATTGCTTAGGCGGGTACTAAGCTTGGGCGGCTCCTTGGGTTCCTCGACGGGTATGTAGTCGCCTGCTCCTGGATGTGTACCCAGGAAAATGATAAGTAATTGTCGTGCTAACAACTTGACCAACCTACCTTGTTCTCTGGCCCGTTGCCGGCGCTTTCGGGCAGCGTGTATCATGGCGGCATCTGGAATTGAACCGCTTTCCAGCATCTGTTTCAAATGTTCCGGCTTGGAGAAGCGGTGGCGCGTCTTGTCATGGCCGCCATCCTCGGACTCGCGTTCATCCTCGTCGCTCATATCGTCCCGACCAGCACAGAGGGCAGCACGACCATTTAGAATTCCCTCGGGAGTCTCTGATTTCTTTACCACTAGCTGCGGGAAAAAGTGTAAATTCATATTATTGGGGATCTTTACAGTCTTTTGTTCACAGTTATGCTGAAATGTTCATGCTGCTATTAAGAAAAAACATGCAATTATAGTCAATGGTGGGAAATGTACTAATTTTTAAACTAGATCGTCAATCGAGACGCCAAAAGAATTCCTAGATACAGTTATATGATTCCAAATTTCTTTTTCTTATAAATGGTTTCAGAGCACAATTTATGTGTCCTAACGAAGGGTATTAATTTTTATGTATATGTTCTATATAATAGGTGTCAAGTAAATACTTCCCATCACTGATTAATTAAAACTGCAAACAATGCAACGTCTACCACTTGGTTCGTTAAGACCAAGAAATGAAATAAATCTAAACTCTAAACACACAATTAAACTCAATTAAGCTAGTCGTGTAATATTTGTTCACAATCGGTCTACGATAATTCAATTGTAATTTCTGATGTTCAAATTTCGTTAACTGTATTATTGTAGAAGAAATTGAATAATAATAACCTTACCACAAAGTCGTCTGTGCGTATTTCGGTTTGGATCATATGATTATCACTTTTTTTACTTTTACTCTGATCGCTGGCACTTTTATATCTGCCAGCACTGGCAGGATTTGAGTTGGAGTTGCCAGGACCCGAAGATGGGCCACCGGTCTCTAAATGCTGTGTACTACCATTTTCGCCCCCGAGGTGTCCGCTGTTTTCCGCCCGCTCCTCGCGCTTCTTCTTGCGTCGCTCCTTGTCCAGCATACGCATTACTTTCTTGCTGTGTGACGATTTCCGCACCTGAAAGACCTCGCCGTCGTCCTCTAAAATGGCATGTTGATTAAAGCCTGAACTTATTCTGGTATCCTTGCATTACTCACCATCGTCCGCGAAGCTGAGCAGTGCCTTCGGTTTGCCGTTGTCTTCCTGCGGCTTTGCGGCCTTCCGGCTTTTCTCTTTGTCCCGCTTGCCGGAAATTATGGGAGGCGGAGGCGCCTCCATTTCGGCGTCCGGGTCCAGGGATGTGCCGTCCTCTTCCTCATCGGCGTTGCTGGAGAACACGCGTCTCTGGATTTTCTTTGGTTTGCGAAAAAGCGACATTTTTCACACTGCTGCAGCTACTTTGGGATTTGTTTAATCAATGAAAACTGGGGAGAAAATAGGATTTCTGCAAAACTTCTTCTTCTTCGCTCTCGATTTTAAATAGTGATGGAACTTGTGGGATGTAGTGCTTGTGTCGCGTGAGGCACTAGTAGTGACGGAAAAGGCACGGATGCAATTTGTGGTAAAATTTCGACAGAATTATATGAAATTTATATTCATTTTCAAACACATCTACATTCGACTCCATTCCGTTTTTTACGCTAAATTTAAAATTTTTTGTTTCCCCAGGGATGCAGCTATTAAGTCTGGTCACCCTAATCTTAAAATCATCGAATAATGCTTATTTTAGTTTTCATCCCTAGATACGCACTACGCCCATCTCTAATCTCTGAATTCGGCGACCGGAGTTCGTTTAAAAACAGATTGAAATCGTCGTTAATTAAGTGTTACTTTGAACCACAGAATCTCTAAAATGGGCCTTAAAGGTTGTGAAGTGCAATTGGACAACCCCTGGAACACCTACTACGCTGGTCAAACGGTTAACGGTCAGGTGAAGTTCACTTTCGACTCGCCCAAAAAAGTTCGAGGTAAGTGTGAATTTTTTGCTCACATTTTTGAACAGTGCAAGTAAATGTTAATTAAAAAATCCAGCTGGGTTCTATTACTCATACAAGTGACGACACCTTTGTACAAACCAATGATTAATTCAGATGTTAGGTATACAAATACACACATCTATAAATTTGTGTCATACACAGTTGTAGTTCTATTTGGACTCTTGGCTAACTTTCTAGAAATCCCTTAAAAATGCCGGTGCACCACCCACAAATGTCTGTTTGGCTAGTTCTTAAAAGAACCTTGCAAAGGTTTGTTGAACCCGCCAAAGAAATGCACTTTCTTTTAATCGGCCTAAGACGATAACGAATTGTATATAAATAGCATGAAATGGGAACACAAAAGAAAGTAAATAAATAGACATGAGGGATCGACCTTTGCAACAAACAATCCACAATAACAACATTTTGAGGCCACAAACATGGGAGCGATGCTGTTCGGTGGCGATGATGTCACCCGTTGGGCACGTCGCCGCGAGCTTTTCATTTTATTTATAGCTAAAATTAAAACGCGACAGTGACGTCGTAGATTGTCATGTATTAAATTCTGCTACTTGTTTTTTAGGCATCATCATCCGGTTTCTCGGAGAGGCCAACACCGAGTGGACGGAGGAGCGCAATGTGACCACCAGCGAGGGCAAGACAGAGAATGAGGTGACCCAGCTTAAGGGTCACGAGGAGTACTTTAAGATCCAGTACTATCTTTTGGGCGGCAAGAACAGTAAGTAGACTCCGGGAACAAAGTTTCAATGCAGCTGATATACTATGACAACCCGAGGACATATTCGTTTGGTTCGCAATATTATAAATTTTGTTTTTTTAAGTAAGAGTTTACCAAATTAATTTTGAGAATCAAGTACTAAAATTAAAAAGTATACATATACATATGTAGGTTCATAGTAAAAAAAAATTTATTGTGTTATAAAGAAACTCAAATTGATTTCAAATAGCAGTTAGTTTAAGACACAGAACGCAATGGTCATCAATGATCAATAACCAATTTTAACCAGCTTAAGGTTTAGATTTTTTGGTATTGGTAGTTGATTTTTCGGCTCTTCTTTTTGATATTTTACGCCGAGTAGTATAGTGAATTCGATTCGTCGCTGTACTGCACCTCAGAGAATTGTACCAGAATTAGCAAAAGCACGAGCCACATGATCAGAATTAGCGAAGCCATCATTTGAAAAGAATTAACAAACTAAATGATTTTTAGTCTGGAATATGTAAAAAAAGACTCTTATTAATAAAGAAAAGATTAAAACGAAATAAACAATTGTTTACCTGGATCATGTTTAGAAGACTCTTGTCAATTAAGGCAGGTTCTCACCTTGTGGGGAAAAAATCGTTTTTTTTTGGCTTATCTTATAGATATATGTTCCAAAAATGTGCTTAAAAATTTCAGATCTAAATTTGCAAAATTACAGGCATGGAGCACATGTCGAGCACCGGTCATTTGAAGCCTTAGCCTTAAACGCGTTTTTCAAAACAACTTTTTCGCACCTTACCGAAGTGATTGAAGGCGTTGGGATAAAACAATCGTCTTCAATTTTAATTATTTTAATGTGTACAAATAAGACAGTCTACAGCCACAATAAAATTGTTGATCTCTTAGAATGAACAACCTCTGTTCAGTTGTTTTTGTTTGCAGCGAATAGGAAAAAATGTTATTTAAAGATGAGGTTGATTTGTTTCCTAAGTTTAATATGAAATTTGAGAGTTTTTATTAATTACAACAATTGCCACCGAGTTATTATCGCGATAGGCGCATAAAACAACAACAGTGGAATTAAGCTTTGTTGTGGGGATTGCTAATTAATTTTATATATTGTCTAATCTAAGTTTTGCTTTTTCTTTTGTTGCAGGTTCTGAAACAGAACTTCCGCCTGGCACCCACACTTATCCCTTCACCTGCGCATTGCCACCAAATCTGCCTTCCTCTTTTGAGGGCGAATTTGGACATGTACGTTACACAATTAAGGTGACGCTCGATCGCCCCTGGAAATTTGACCAGGATATGAAGATGGCTTTTACGGTTATAGCGCCTGTTGACTTGAATCTCAATCCTCGCGTCAAGGAACCGTTCAAGCTAGAGCTAGAGAAATCCTTCTGCTGCTTCTGCTGTCGCTCTGGACCTCTGGCCGTGGTAACGAGTATACCCCAAACGGGTTATGTTTCGGGCCAGGTGCTGCCCATCACCTGCGAGGTGGACAACGCCAGCAATGTGAATCTCACTGCGGTTAAGTTTGAGCTTCGCAAGTTGGTCACCTTCCACACGAATCAGCCGAGAAGCGAGAAGCGCGAGTCAAAGGTGATCATAGCCAACTTGAGTGTTGGCCCAGTTAATGGCAGCGAATCGCGCACGTTTACGCAGCAAATGGAGATTCCGGCCTTGCCACCGACCAACCTTCTCAATTGCGGCATTATCGCTCTCGACTATGATCTGCATGTTGAGTGCGATGTCAGCGGTCCGCATCGCAATCTCACTGGCAAGGTGCCAATAACCCTGGGCACCATTCCATTGGCGGGCGTAAGGCCGCCAGCCCAGTATACTGATGCTCCGTCGGCTGTCCAGTCCGAGGATCCGTCGCTGGCGCCCACACAACCGGTGAGTCCGGCAAGTCCTCCAGGTGGCGATGGCGTGGGCGGTGCCCTGGGCTGGAACGTCGCCGACAGCACTGGTGGTGGTTCCCTGTACCCCAATATACGTGAGTATATTTTTAACATTTTTTTATTTTGTAAGTTTTTTGTAAGTCTTTATTTATCGAAAAGCTTAAATTTTAACAAACGTAGTAGGTTATTTTTTGAATTTTTTTATCTTACCTTTTTGTTATATCCTAACTAATAAAATGATTTACAATTTTTTAGCGCCACCACAATTTGTGGAGACCCAGTACAAGGCACCAACTATTGCCGGACGCGACGACTCAGAACATACCCAGATAATCGGAGACGGTGCTTTTGCTCCCCGCTACCCAACCTTCCAGTTTAATAACGCCACTGCACCGCCAGCGAACCAGTAGATGAATCTCCATGCAAAGACCCAGGATGATATTACCTGATCCATAAAAAAAATGGCAAAGACATTTTCACTCGCTGTCTCTGGAAGTTGAGTAATTAGTCGATTTAAGAGGGCTTTTATTGAAGAGGGCTTGTTTTTCTTTCGTAATTTTGATCGGCTTTGCATTTATTGAATACCAGCTTTCCGTCCAAAACGAAAGCACAATTAGTTGCAGTCAAAATAATGTAGTTTTGTGAAAATGGTTAAACCACTAGCTGTGCTTTGTCATTTAATTGTTATATATTTTTTTAAAATAAACTTTAATGAAAAAAACTTCAATATCGAACGCCTTTTAAAGTTGCCATAGATCCAAGTTGAAAAAGATATTAATGTTCCCCAGTAGATTTTGTACATATTTATCTTGGGCATTAGCAGAAAGTCATAAAGGATATATTGTTTTGACTGTATCTGAATATATAATTGTATATGTACGCACAATTTACTCAATTTGGATAAGAAATGCAACCGCGCTGCTCAAAGTAATTACTTTCTCATTTTCTAAGCCAGAAATAGTGCCTGAAACTAATGTACGAATATTATCGTAATAAAACAAAACTTATTGAAGAAGTTTAACAAGGCCATATGGTTTTGCGGCCAAGCCTTTTTTGATTTCATGGAATTTAATCAACTTAATTCGGAGGTGAGCTAAGGTATGGGCAAATTTCAATTTATGGTTTCTGTAAAACTATTTCTTATTTTTCTTGCAGTACTCCTCCAGTTCCTTGGCTTTCCTTGCTTTCTTCTCGCACTTGCACTGTTCCTTGAGAGTGATCTTCTTACATTTCGCGGTCAGTGCCTTGACCTTCTTTTTCTTTTGCTTAAGCTTTTTGTCGGCCATTTTTTTGCACATCTGAAATAGTCCTGATACATCGGCCTTAGGTGGTGAAGGTGATTGCCCTGCGGCCTTGGGTGGTGGCGAAGATGATGGGGGAGAAGGTGACCCGATGACCTCTGTTTTAATCTCACTCCTAACTTCCTGTGCGACATCTTTGTGAATCGCATCGTCCTGGTTTTCTTCGGGTTCTTCGTGGAAGTCGTATTGAGCGCAAACGTCTTCTACCTTTAAACACTCGTTTTGTTGGTTATACTGTTCGCACATTGCTTTCTTGGCCTTTAACTCCGCTTCAGCTCTTTTTCTTGCCTCCTCGGCTTCTCGGGCGGCTTTGAGCCTGGCTTCCTCCTCCATTTTGGCCCTATTCCGTTCGGCCCTCTCCTTGTCGGCCTTCTCTTTTGCGGCCTGTTTTTGGCACTTCTCAATTGCTTCCATTTTAGCGCACTGGGCTTTCATTCTCTCGGCCTTAACCTTTTCGGCCATGGCCTTAAGTTTCTCCTGACTGGCCTTGGCCTTCTCCCTTTCCTCCTTGGCCATTTTGGCGCACTGTTTCTTCAGTTCGCACAGAGTTATTTCGGCACCTTTTCTTGCTTCCTCTTCGGCCTTTCTTCTTGCCGCCTCTTCTCGTCGCCTTTTACATTCTTCTGCTTTCTTCCGGGCCTCTTCGGCCAATCTGGCGCACTCTTTTCTATACTCCTCCTCGAGACAGGCTTGTTTGATCGCCTGAATTTTAGCTTCTTTCTCACAGTTCATTTGATCCGCTATCTTCATGACTTGTTTGTTAAGCTTCTCCATCTCCTCCTCCTCATTTGGGCATTTCTTTTCCCCTTCGCCCCCTTCCTTTCCCTTTTCCTTTTCCTCTTCTTCCTCTTCATCTTCTTCACTTTCTCCCCTCTCTTTTCTCATGCAAATCATGCACTGCTCCATTTGGGCCATATCCTTGCATATTTTTTTTCGGCCATCTCCTTGCACATTTTCTTATCGGCCATTTTCTGGCACTGCTTGCGCAATTTCTTTGTCTCCTTATCATCGCCGTCGTCCCCATCACCTCCCTTCTTACCACCACCCTTGCCACACTTCTTTTTACTTGTACTCTTGCCTTTACCGCATTTGTCATCGCATCCACTGCCATAGCTAGCGGTCTCGGGAAGCATTTTTCGTTTTAGGGATGTTTTAAGGTGGGAAAACTCCGGGCTTAGGATCCTCCGCTCCAGTTGAAGCTCCAGATCCGTCAGAAATGCACAATTACAATTACCTGACCAATAAAACATTTAATATAATTGCAAAAAAATATTTTCAAAAAGCTTTAAAAGTGGAATAACACACCTTCCTTGTAAATCAATTTGCTTTCGAGCTCGTTAAGCTCGCACCTCTTATAATCCTGGTTGGTGTTTTGAACGTCCTCCATGTCTTCCTGGACCTGTGTCACGTGATACACCCGAACGCATCTGCAACAACATCTGCATCCGAAGGCACGACAACAAGCCTCCGGATAGTGGCGCAAGACCAGAGAGGCTCGTTTTAACATATTTTACTTTAATTTTGATGCCAAAAGTTCACAGACAATTTTTAATCCAAAAGGTTATGAGCTAAGTAAATGCTTTAGTTAGGAAAATTGTGACCCGATCTGCGCCATAATATTCCCTAAACTGACACTATTATCACAGTCAGTCTGGAATCAAGCAGGAAAGCAAACTAGCTTAAGCAAGTCGAAGAAATCAGATTAAACGACAAGATCACTTAGACATAGTTAAACCACGATGTTTTGTCCAATAGTAGATTTGTCAGATAATAAGTATTTATGTTCTTAAAAAAATTGGTTAATGTCGGAATTTTTCCATTAATTGGCAAATAAATAAATAAAAAAAAAACCTAAAAATTGGTATATATTAACCTTTATTCACATACTTGTTATATAGTTTTCAATTGATAGAAAGAACAGTTTGCGACCTTATAAACGATATATGTATAATCTTAATCCGTGAGATATGGATTAAGATGCTATCTCGAAAAATACATATACGATCTAGAATACTGGAATTAAGTATGTCGATTATAGAGCTGCACTAGTTTAATAATAATTTTTAAAGTTTCCAAAACGAAAAATGTTTGACTTGACTTAAAAACATTATATACATTTTAAGAGTATAATTTCATAACGTCATATCAAATTCTGTACTATGGCAACTTTACACACTTTCCTTTATTTTAACCGCTTTGTTTGTATTTATTGCAGACGGTATTAAGGTTTCAGTCAAAAGTTTTCAACGCAGTAAGGGAGACTCCAATAAATGTATTTATTCTGGTTCTGCATCATTACATAAATGGATCTACATATATAACAAAAACTATAGCGTCGTTGTTTTTTATCACACAAGCAAGATTTTTAACCACGATTGAGTCAAGAAAAATATACATACATACATAGCTGTCATATGAAAGATCAAAATATCTCCTTTAAAATTAACGTGTCAAAATTATTTGTCATATAAGCATAATTTGTGGAATATAGAGTTTTCTAACATTTTTTGAATTTGAAATTATTTAACGAAAATCGAACGACTATATGTAGCTGTCATGAAATCGCAGAAATTATAGAAAATGAACAAGAAAATTTGTATAGTTTTAATGAAACAAGCCATTTGTGTAATCTGCTCGGCAATAAAAAATTCGGTCAGATAACATATATTCATTAACATCAGTGGCGGATTTACGTTCGGGTAACCCAAAAAAACCCAAAAAAGAATAATTTTACATAAATTAGAAATATATATGAACTGATATAAAGTTAATTCCCGAGATTAACATATTAATTCCACAGATTAGATTTACACTGAAAATTTTTTTTCAATCGAAAACCCCTCCCAGATTGAAATTCTAAATCCGACACTGATTAACATATATATATTAACATATTTTATAAAGATCGAAATACTTTATCGCAAAACTTCTACTTATTAATACAATTTTTCATTGATGTTGTAACGATTGCAACCAGAGTAGGAAGCAATATAGTTACTATAGATTTGTAATGACTGCAGCTTCGACTTGCCGAAATTCTGGCTACCTTGTTATACCCTTGCAGAGCGAAAGGGTATTATAATTTCAGTCAGAAGTTTGCAACGCAGTGAAGGAGACACCTCAGACCACATAAAGTATATATATTTTTTATCAGCATCACGATCTGAATCGAAATACATCTGTACGTCTGTCCGTCTGTCTGTCTGTCTGTCTGACCGTCTGTCCGTCCGTCCGCCTGTCCATCTGTCCGTTTCTACGCAGACTAGGCTCTCAGTTTTAAAGCTATCTTGCTGAAACTTTCCCAAAAGTTGTGTAGTTATTGCACGCAGTATAAGTCGGAACTGTTTTTGATCAGATCGACTTGATTTCTTCAAGATGGAAATATTGAGTTTCGGATTAAATTTAATTAAGATCGGCCACTCTATCATATAGCTGCCATAGGAAAGATCGAAAAAATATATATAAATAATGGAAAAAATTATAACGTCGTTGTTTTTAATTCCACGAGCATGATTTTCAATATATGGAGTATTTTATTGATTAGTATTTAAAATGGTAACATCGTTGTTTTTCATCAGACAATCAAGATTTTTCTAATGACTCGAGTTTAAAATTAAATTTCATCAAAATCGGAAGACTAAATCATATAGCTGTCATAACAATAGTCGAAAATATGAAAAATTAATAGAAAAATCGTCATAGCTTCGATGTTGTTTTGTTCGACTTATTTTATGACTGCAAGGGTATATAAGCTTCGGCTTGCCGATTTTTTAAATTTTCATTCTATTTCCATAACTCTTCTGGTTTCAATCCTCGACTTTCGTACAGAGGGTCAACAAAAGGCATTACTAGAACGACGATACATAGCAAGTTCTTGCATCCACTTGTTACACACTTGTCAACAAAAACCGGGTATAAAAAGGATATACTTAAGGTTTTTATTATGTTAAATTATCAACAAAATCGGCAGCTTATATATTATACATTAGACGCGTATAGCCTGTTATTTCTATTAAATTTAAAACCATTAGCATTAACTTAAAAGTATTTTAAAATATATAAACTTTGATCTCGAGTTAGCGTTAAATCCCATTGGTCACCTACTTCTTCTTGCCCTTGCCCTTTCCGGCTTTCTTTTTGCATTTTTCTTTCTCGGCTAGCTTTCTGCACTTCTCCTTTTGAGCCAGTTCTTTACACTTTTTTAACATTTTTTTCATCTTTTGCTTCTTGGCCATTTGCTTGCATTTTTCTTTTTCAGCCAATTCTTTGCATATCTTTTTCATATCAGGTTTTTTTTTCTTGCACGGGTCTTCTTTTTTGCATGGATCTTCTTTTTGGCAAGGATCTTTCTTAGCATTGGAGTCTTCTTCGCCGCCACCTTCTTCTTCTCCGCCACCTTCTTCTTCTGCACAAGGGTCTTCTCCGGCACAAGGGTCTTCTTCGGCGCATTTGTCCTTATCGTCTTCGTCTTTATCATCCTTATCTTTCTTGCCTTTACCTTTCTTGCCTTTACCTTTCTTGCCTTTACCTTTCTTCTTCAATTTTTCGCATTTCTTTTTAAGTTCATCCTGCTCACATTTTTCCTTTTCAGCCAACTCTCTGCACTTTTTTTTCAAAGCCTCCTTTTCTTTCTTTTCTTGTTTGGCCAATTCCTTGCATGCCTTCTTGATATCGCCATCATCGCCAGCCATAGTGATCTCTTTTGCCAGTCTCCGACATTCTTGCTTTAGCTTTTCGAGCTCTTCGTGCTGTTCTTCTTCCTTCGATCGATTTAATCCAATTTTTTCTTCCTCTTGCTGTTCAGAATCATCCAAGAATCTTCGTTGCATTGGGTTGACGAGTGGAGAGGAATTTAGCTGCTGTATATGGACAACCTCAAAGGAATCCTCATCATCAAACCTTTTGGGCATCTGATTGGGAACTCCATCTTGTTTGTCTACGCCAGCGAAAAAAAATACTGTCATTATTACTGGAAGAAGAATTACATAAAATTATGATTAACCTTGCTTTCTTAAGATCCGAAGGACCTTGAGGTGGTGGGACCTCGTGTATGTGGGCTGAATGCACCGACTTAGAATTAACGCAGATTTCTTAAACATCGTTCTTTTTCCTAACCTCTGGTCCGAAAGTAACTAAAAATTTTGATTTTCCCGATAAACTCCGTGTAGTTTAGTCTACGGGAGCAAGGCCTAAACTGAACTCCGCTTCTTGATTCGTTCAAAAGGTAAAACAATTTGGTTTTGACATTGTTTGCTTTGATAGCTTGTGAAAATATATATAGAAACCGAACGTCACCCTCAAGACAGAAATCATTTCAAAAGTTATGACTTATATTTAAGAGATGTGCAATAATGTGCAGCTAGCAATTTGTACATACTTTTGAGTGAAACCGAATAGGAAGTGACCCTAATATAAAACACATAAACAGAGCAATCTAACCAAAGGATATTGAAGTAGCGACTCATAACCGCAATTCGATAGCAAGGGATTTTACTATTTAAGAGGTATGCAATGGTGTTTAGCTAGATCAGAAAATGAACCACATATTAACACACCGCATTTAATAGCAAGGAGTTTTAATATTTAAAAGATCTGCAATGGTGTTCCGCTAATAATATGTACTTTTAGATGGGAACAGAAAGTAAACGTCGTATAAAACACACCACCAAACAATCCAACCAAAAGATATTGACTCATAACAGCTCTTTGATAGTAACTCATAGCTATACTATCTAGAAGATCTGCAATGGTGTGCAGGTAAGTAGTAAGCAGAAAGTGAACTCCATATAAGACACACAGAGAGCAATCTAACCGAAGGTGATGGTGATCCTGAATCTTAACCGCCAATTGTTCAACAAATATTTAAGATTCTGCAATGACGTGCAGATAACAATTACACAATAATTTTATATGGGCCTGACTACCACTAAACCACTGAAGAATACCACTATTGGGCATGTTGACAGGCCTTCTGCTTTCTACAGTGAAATTAAAAAAAGAATTGACCAAAATTGTTGTTCAAAATCAGTTCCTATTTAATTTAATAAATTGCATGTTTTTAAATAAAGCCGCTTCAAAAAAATTTCAATTTAACGCGCCAACGCCGGTCTGCTCACTTCTTCTTGCACTTGTCCTTCTCGGCCATTTTCTTGCATTTTTCTTGCTCTGCCATTTTCTTGCATTTCTCTTGCTCTTTCTCTTTTTTTTCCTCGTCAGCCATTTTCTTGCATTTTTCTTGCTCGGCCATTTTCTTGCACTTCTCCTGCTCTTTCTTCTTCTTTTCCTCTTCGGCCATTTTCTTGCACTTATCCTTTTCGGAGTCTTTACCCTTGCCCTTGCAACCTCCTCCCTTTTCCTTCTTTTTCATTTCGTCGCACTTCTTTTTCATTTGTTCTTTTTCACATTTTTCCTTTTTTGCCATTTCGTCACATTTTTTCTTCAAAGCATCCTTAGCGCACTTGTCCTTTTGGGCCTGCTCCTTACACTTGGCATCGTCGCCCTTTCCCTTTCCAGCTAACATGGTTATCTGGGTGGCTAGTTTTTGGCATAGCTTCTTCATCTGCTCGAGATCTTCATGCTTCTCTTCTTTCAACCACCGGTTGGCTCCAAGCCTCTGGACCTGCTGCTGCTCCAGATCGTCAAGGAATTGACGATGCATCGGGTTGGCGAGTGACGAGGACTCTGACTCCTGGACACGAATGACTCCGAACGAGCCATCTCCGAAACGTTTAGGCCTCTGGTCGGCAAGATCATCGGGCTTGCGAATCTCTACGTCAGCGAGAAATAAAATACCACCGTAAGCAATTTAAAAATATCTGTTAATTGAACACAAACCGTAGTCCAAGTTTCCAAGGACCTTAAGGTGATGGGACCGAACGAGCGTGGGCTGAATGCAGCGATTGCAAAAGCTATCCTTAGCGCACTGACTGAGAACAATAGCGGAACTTTTGAACATTTTGATCAAAATTTTTAACTTGGAATTTGGAAAAGGAAATAAGCCCAAAGGTAATTTTGTACTCGCTCAATGAAAGCAGAGACCGAACTGACCTTTAGCTGGAACGAGATTTGGCTCGTAATGGAAACTTGAATGACAAGGATATCACAGTCTACTTGTTCGCAAAAATAGGAGAATAGGGAAGTTTAAAGGCCTGCTTAGGTCTATTAATGAGTCTATTGAGCCCCAATATGTACATTTTATTTTGCAAGAACTTTCCCGACAATCGTGGATAATAAAAAAAAAAAGAAAAAAAAGGTTTTTTATTCGTGTGCTCTGCTATATAACTCGTCTACATTGATAAACTTGACTTGAAAGGTTTTCCAGCTTATCTTCTTAGATGGATCCTTAGAAATCTCAGTGGCCGGCCACAAAAAGTCCACTCACTCCATAATGTCACCTATACGCTAAATTATGTAAGTCTTGAAAAGAATCACGCTTGTTAACGACCATGGCGTCCTCCTGGACCTTTGAATGGATTCCCTTTTCATTTTTGGAGAATGGGTTATAATGCTAGGGGAGTGGATGGATTTATTAAATGATGGTTGAAGGAATTTGATGATCCGTACATTACCAAGAATTAATTTATTATTATCATTGGTCCGGTCAATCCTTGAGTATGGGGCACATGCTTACAGTCTTCAATACGGAGTGCATGCTGGTCGAATAGAATCAGTCCAAAATTTTATTGCTTTCGCCTTAGTTTCGCCGTCTAAACTAGAATGCAAACCTATTCTTACCCTCTTATTCCAATAGATTGTTCCTTATTAAATTTCCCTTCCTTACTAACCGCAAAAAGATGCTTTGTTCTGTATTTATTTTTAACCTTATACGTGGTGAAATTGACAGTACCTACTGTTGGGTAGTCTAAATTTCTCGGTGCCAAGTAGATTGCATGAGTCTTTCAGAGTACTTCCAGAGTACTTTGTTCTGACTATAATAGACAGTTTTCTATAGTATATACTAAAGGCTCTCTGCCGCTCCCAAAGCAATAAATATTAACATTTTTAGCATCTAGTTAGCCCTTAGAATTAAAAAATAACAATTTTATGTTCCCTCTGCTTCTTATTTTTTATAGCTTTTAAATTTTTTTTTCCTTAATATCGCGTCAAAATTTCCCTCTGATGGTTAAGCGAATGGTGTTTGCCTTCAAAAGTTCTGAATAAGGTAGATAATGTGTAACAGGTAAAAGAAACCACTTGCGACTATATAAAAGAACACGATGCTAAGACAATGAAAATTTGCATATTCACAAAATTGCAACTATAAATATTTTTGCAAACTCCCGACCAACTTTCTTTTCTGAGTCTGACAAAATAAAAAAAAATTGTATTTATAATAAATACAGTTAAATTTTCCTTTTTCCGTGTTACATCACAAAATAGATGCTGTTTTTAAAGACAATTTAAAAATAAACAAGGAAGGAAGATAGCTTTTACTCGTATACCCTTGCAATCATCAATCATCTACAGTAAAAAAAATGTTTTTCTATTGTTTCTTATAGCTAGTACGATCCATATAACGTCAGGGTTAAAGTGTAGCGGAGAGTGGCGATAGGTGAACCACGGGGATAGATGAACCACTGCAAATATTTCACCTTTTGTCATGATTTTGTGCGCCACCTTTAGCATTAAGTTACTTAGTCACGCACAGTCGCATCAAACGATTGTTGTCGTTTTCATCGCTAATCGAAGTTGTTTGGATACATGAACCTCCTTTCCAAATTTGATTTTCTAAATTTTCCATCGCAGGCTGCCAAAATGGTGAGAAACTACGAAAAATATCAAATCAGGTTTTGAAAAGAGTGGAATTTTTCCCTTCAACCCACAAAAGTTTTCGGCATCTGACTTTCCTGGGAGTGATTACACTATCAGAGACATGAACACAGTAAACACTCACAGTCAAAAAAAAAATCTCATCAAATGGCAATCGTAGAACAATAACTTAGTCGAGTCCGCAATGTCTCCCAGTATTAACCTGAATGATGCTCCTTTGACGGTCAGAATGCGTGGGTTCTTGCCAGAAAGTCGCCAGAGGACTTTCGAGGGTACCAAAGGGCTAAACCACGAAAACGGATGGGTAGAAGAAGAAAACGAGGAAGAAGTATAATTGCTACAGACGCAATGAAGAAAAATTGATCGCAGAAATCAGAAAACTCAAGAAAAATTAAAAAAAATAGGTAAAAAAACTTTTTAAGTTAAACCGTTTTATGTAAAACATACATTGAAATGTTTAAGATAAATGTACTAAAAACCTAAAAATAATATAAAATAGATACAGACGTGGGAATTATAAACATATGCTTAGATTAGACTAAAATAAAACCGTGGGACGTCGTTGTTTTTAAGCCCACGACCATGATTTGTAGAATATCGAGTTTCCTCACTACCCTTGAAGAGAAAAATTTCATAGAAATCGGACAATTATATTATATAGCTGCCATGGGAAAGATCAAAACAAAAAAAAAAAATATAAAAATGAAAACATCGTTGTTTTTAATCAGAAAAGCATAATTTTTGAAATATAGAGTATATAGGCGACTATATCATATAGCTTTCATACAAACAATCGTCGGAAATACAGACACTTTATTGAAAATCGACATAGCTTCAATGTTGTTTAGTCTCCATGTATTTGGTTCGACATATTTGTTGACTGCAAGGGTATATCAGCTTCGGCTTACCGAAGCTAGCTTCCTTTCTTGTTAAATATACAATTTATTAATAACCCTTGAATCGAGAAACAAATTTCATAAAAATTACACAACGTTATCATATAGCTGCCATAGGAAAGATCCAAAAACCTATATTAACGGAAATAAATTGATAAAATCGTTGTTTTTGTATTGACCCAACGACTCTTGAATTTCTAATTAAATTTCATAAAAATCGGACGACTATATCATATAGATTCAATGTTGTTTAGCTTTTATGTATATTCCTCGACATATGAATTTGATGATTGCAAGCGTATATACGCTTTGGCTTGCTTCCTTTCTTGTTTGTTTATAAACTAGACCAGTGTTTCCCAAACTTGTCGGGACCGCGACATCTACACAAAAAATTGCAATATCTATATGGCAATTAGTACCCACCAAAAATCTACCCGCGACCCACCAGTGGGTCGCGACCCACACTTGAACTCTCTAAAAATATAATTGTATTAGTTGTGAATATTGTGAAAATAATTCCTTACATGTATAACTAATCCTTGTTGCGAAATAAAATAGTTTAGGGAATTAAAATTTGTAAATAATTTTATTACGGAAAAATAACATATTATAAGTAAGCCGAACGGTTCATTTGCTTAAAAAGCAATTACAGTGTAAATATAATTTCTCCGATACAGCCAGATTTTGTGCTATTTTAAGCTCCAAAAGAATCCAGAACGACCTCTTTAAGAAGATGCAGCTTCAATGGGACCTTCATTCCATCTGGATTCAGATAAACTTATCCGTGTGCCATCATTTTATTTGTCTGATCATTTCACTTTGTTTGAGTTGCTCGCCGCATCTGGAATTAAAGAAAACTGTCCCCCATTCGGTTAGAGCTTTTAGTCTTGACCTACAAACAACCTAGGTCGCCTCTCTGTTTTTTTTTTTTAATTTTTCTGAATGTTTCGTTGCCTCAGAGCGTAGGCGCTATACTTTTACTATCAAAGTTGAGCCGACGCTGATTTGCGACACCTTATCAGACCCCGGGGTGGTATAAAATTTTAATTGACTCGGAATAATTTCTTACTATGTCGTGCGAAACTGAGCTAATCTATATACTACAGTTTGCTGGGCGTCAATCACCTCGTTTGACTTTGAAAAGGTCTCTGATAATAGTGCGTTGTGGGTTTCCGTTCTATTTGCCCCCAAAATTTGGGTAAAGAAATTGGTTTCGCTAATTGAGCTTGAAGATTGTTAATTAAGTTAATGGAAAGAAAATCTATAAAAAATTAAATGTACTGTTCTGTATCTCGGAGGGAAATATATATCAAGTTAGAAGTTATTTACTTAGCGTTGGTTAAGTAGGTACTAGTTATTTTTTGATTTAATATTGTAATTCAGTGTTTCCTAAACTTGTCGGGACCGCGACCCATCTATTTTTAAGATCTATACGACAATAATGACCTTTCTAAGGACTGTTCCAAGATATCTTGTGATGGAGACTTTAACCACTTTCGGTTTGGTGGTCTCAAACTTACCAAATCTGACGGCAAAACCTCGGTAGGCTGCTTGGGAGGTTTTACTTGCCGCAACCGCAACCGTCGTCGTCGTCGTCGTCGTCGTCGTCATGTTCCTTTTCGAGCTTCTTGAGGACTTCCATTTTTTTGTCACACTCCTGAGATCCACCAAGGATTTTGATCTTCCTGCTCTTCTGCTTTTCCTTGAGAAGTTCACGGGGAGTCTTTTTGGGTGAATAGCACTCAGGCGAGCCCCCTTTTATCTCGGTATCATCATTTTTTTTCTTGGCGAAGAGCTCAAATGATGATACCACCTGTTGCAGGTGTATAGTCTCAGGAGATTCATCTTTAGAGACATTATCTGGTTTCACCTCTTGATATTCGGTTATTAGTTGGTTGGATCCTTCCCCGACGAGAGTCGTATGCCAACTCAAGGACCTCGTTAATTGGCAATTACTACTGGAGCTGGTGCTCAAGTAACGTCGACCCGAATAAGAGGACATTTTACGCTTGCCCTTGTTGTCCTTGGTCTCGTCTTTCTTGCCCCTTCCGAGGATCTTGTCGAAAAGGTGTTGAAGGAGTCCCTTCTCGGCTGGAGGGGTTGGCGCCGCTGGAATCTCCCCCGTAGTTTTGTCCAGCAATTTTAGGGACAGCTCTCCTTCATCCAACTTCGGTCTCTCTCGATTTTCCTGCACTAGAACCTTTTCTTCCACCTTGGTCTTCGTTTCATCCATTGCCTTGGGTGCCTTAACTTTTGTTTCTTTCTTTTCCGACTTGATCTCTGGAGCCTCCAGACTCGGGTTGGACTCGTCGGTTTCTTCAAGTTCGGCTTTACCCGACTCCACTGGGGCGTTCGAGGAGATCTCATGTGTTATTGGGTCATAGAGATCGCTTGGTGTTAGCTCCGAAGTAGTTTCCGATTTGCGTTTGTTCTTCGATTCAACCTTGTTTGATACATGTGCGGCAACATTTTGGGTGGCATCTGTTCTTTTGGCACTTTCTTCTGCAGATTTTACGAACGACGAAATTTTCTGGGCCAGATCAAAACTTCCCTGATCAATGTTGCTTTCATCCTCATCTTTTTTGCCTTTTTCAGACGCTGTACTGTTTATTGGATTATCACTCATTTGCTCTTCAATGAGGGAATCCAGGGCAGCAAGATTTGCGAAATAGTCATCGCCGTGATCGTCTTCCTCTTTTTTGATGGGGGCTGCTTCCTCCTCTCGAATATTAGAGTCTAAGTTGCCAAGTTTTTTGAAGTGATCATCAACGTTGACTCCCGAGGCAGTTTCAGCAAGTTTTCCTGTTCCAGTGATGGCGTTACCTTCCTTCTTATTGGGTCCGGTCGAAAGAACGGACAAAACATCCGCTTGGCTGTTTTTAGTGGCTGTAGAGAGCTCTGGTAGGGTCCACCAATTATCCGGACTTTCATTGAATTTTTCAAGTGTGTCGAATAATTCCTCGTTCTTAGTTTGCTCACCTTCTTCCTCGAACATTGCCACTATTTCCTCTGTGGACTGACCTTTAGATTCGTTTTTACTAACAGCAACTGTTTCTAGGGTTTGAGTCCCGATGACTACATTTGAGTTCTTGGAATCGCCCATTGAGGATCCCAAAACATCAGAATTCGAATTACTAGTCGCTGGAAGCTGATTAAGAATAAATTCGGTGACTTTTGTAGCATTACTGATCGCGGTAATAGGAGCATCTCTATCTGATTTTACTTCGGATAAGGGTACGGACTTAAACACCTGCTTAAACTCTGTTGGAGCTTCCTGCTCGGGCACGATTTTCAGTGGCAATGACAATGGAGGGCTGATATTGGGGGTATTTGTTGTGCCGGCATTCTGAATTGAGGGGAAGGAATTGCTCTCCAAAGGTAATGTGTCTTTCGGAACCCATTTATCGTTCTTCTTGTCCAAAGTACTATTTTTAAAGAAAGGCTTTTTTTTAACCTCTGAGGGGGTCATAATTGGTTCTGGGTTTTTCTTTTCAAGGGGAGCGGCATTTTTTTTATTTGCCAACTTGAAGTCTTCTGCCCACTTCTGGACCATTTCCTTAATAGCATCACTCTCCTGGACAGCCTCGACATTTTCAGTCCTTTTTTCTCGAGCTTTTTCTAATAACTGGTTGAATTGTTCACTGTTGTATATGAGATTACCTGGTTGGTTTCCTTGGGCTTTCTTCTTATAAGTCTTTTTCTCTCTAGGCATTTTGTAACTGGAATTCTGATTTTCCTTGTCAATGGTTTTATTCTCAGAATTTTGTCTATCTAGCGGGATTTTAGCTGGTTGGGCCTTAACATTCTTATTGTTTTGCTTATCTGTAGACCTTTTGTCCTTAGCTTCAGTTGGAGATTGCGACTTGGAGGTTTGAGATAGGGATTTATCTTTTGCCGCCTGTTGAGATATATCTTGAGGCTTTGTCTCATTAGGAGCAGGAAAAGTGGTTTGATGTGGCAGTACCTCCGTTGATTTCGTTACGCCCATAGAATTTTTGCCAGAATCTGAATCCTTCGTGCTGGAGTCCTTTGAGTTAAGCTCAGCTGTGGTTGAAGACAAGGGTTTATTATAAGGTTGATCCATTAAATTAAAAAGGGACGTTGCCAGGGACGACAGCTCGGATTCCATCGCCATGAGGTTGTTTAATTGAGACTCATCGTTTGGTTGGGTGGGCTTGGGAGTAGAATGGTTTGGATCATTAGTGAGTTCAAAAACTGTCGGAGTTCGTCCCTCTGGGTTTAATTCAAAAACTATTGGGGAGATGAGTCATTTTTTGCCCATCAATTTTCATCCTAGCTTTGCTTACCTTTCGATTCCAGAATCTTAACTGGAGACTCATCCACCTTGCTTCCGGAATTCTGGTTCTGTCCCAAATCGTTTTTTGTTAAACCCGATAAATCACTGTGATCAGAGGTGCAGACAATAGTGTGCGGATTTGGCGGCTTGACCTCCGCCGGTGGTAGCGGCTTCGAGCGGTTGGGATCGTCCTGGATTGGCAGGACCTCGGGCCTGAACTCGTTGGGCGAATCTGGTCGTCGCTCTCCCGGAACCGTCGGCGGATCGGGCGGGGCTGCTGTCGTCTCCAAGCCACCAGGTCCCTTGGCAGGACCTTCGGTTTGTCCCTCTAATCCCTGGACCGGTGCATTCTTTTCGCCGGACTCCCCCGATTCCGACGAGCTGATGTGCCGGCGTCTTCCCTGGTGTAGAGGCCCCAAGGACGTTTGGCGACCGAGTTGGCGGTGGAAGACGCGCAGCAGCTTGAGGCAACTGGATGTTCGGCGACAGGCCGCAACTCCGCCGAAAACAATTCCTGCCATCTGGCTGCTCGAAGAAGAACAAGTAAGTCGGCTGACTTACTAGTGGAAACTATACAAATTTGGTTTATCGAAAACACAGAGTGTCCAGAATTTAGAATTTGTGCATGACAAAGTCTTGGGTCTATTGAGTGATTCGCATTAGATTGCTGTGTTTTCTAGGCTATATTTATCGATTATAGGCTATATTTATACATGAGTTTAGAATTTGCGAGGGTTGTTGGCGTCCCTGGGCTGCACGTGGATCATCACCTTGATGGCGCCACCCAGACCCTTTCGCGAGGTTTCGAACGCCTTTGCCGTGTCCTTGATGTCGAAGTGGTGGGTCACCAGCCGCTTCACGTTCACCTTTCCAGAGGCCACCAAGGCCAAGGCGGCGGCATAGCTGAAAAGTGAATTCATCATTTAAAGGATTTATTTCTTTCAGGACTTGCACACTTACTCGTTGCAGTAGCGGAAAACGCCACGGAGATCCACTTCGCGGGCCAGGGCATTAATCAATGGAAGCTTCACCTCAGCGGCTCCCATGCCCACCACCACCACCACTCCACCGGATCGAGTGGCCTGAAGGAGAAAGTTGTACATTTAGTTAGGTGTTAGACAGGTTATAAAACCCCATGGGATGACTTACAAAAATGGCCAAGCGGGCGCTGCTCTCTGCACCGCAGCAATCGATCGCCTTGTCCGGAGAAGTGCCCAATGTTTTGCGGACGAGCTCCGCCGTCTCCTCGGCGGTCTGGTCCCGCTTCAGCAGAAGCGTGTGGGTGGCGCCCAGCTCCTTGGCCACATCGAGGCGCTGCTGCAGCAAGTCCGTGATCAGGATCTCTGATGCACCCATGGCCTGAGCAGCCTGTTAAGAGAAAAGTAGAAAGTATAAGTTATTATTTGTTAAAAATAACTGCCGTTTCCTTTAAGGTGTTGATATTTCTTTTAAATAATTGTATATTAAGAACTGAAACTTTTCTCGGGTTTGGAAAGCTTACATTATTTTGCAATCAACATTTTATAACAAATTTGGTTTGTTGTTCAGAAGGAAAGGAATTTGAATATTTATTTAAGATGTGCATAATTTTAAAAAGGTATTGAGTATTTGTGTTTTTTTATCCAACGTGCAAACTTAATAAACGAATATACCTATATTCATTAACACCTGAATAAGTATTAAGAAATAATGCTATCTTTCCTTTTTATACCAAAACTATTATGCCTTTTGTGAAATAATTTCATGTAAATTTCTAGATAACGTACTTGACTTTACACAATTAAAATTTAATAGGCTCTTTTTGTTGAGGTTAACTCACCATCAGAGTGACCAGGCCGATGGGTCCTGCTCCCAGGATGAGGACCTTGGAGCCGAGGGAGACCTCCGCCCGCTTGCAGGCGTGCACGCCCACCGAGAGCGGCTCGAGCAGGGCGCCCTCCTCCATGGAGACGTGGTCGGGCAGCTTGAAGCAGAAGTCCGCCGGGTGCTTGTAGAAGCGGGTGAGGTTTCCATCGTAGGGGGCGTGGCGCAGAAGACCATTCCGGGGCAGAGGTTGTACTGGCCCTGCTTGCAGTGGTCGCAGTAGCGGCAGGGTACTCCCGGCTCGATGGCAACCCTGTCACCCACCTTCAGGGTGGTCACCTTCTTGCCCAGCTTGGTCACCACGCCGGCGGATTCGTGGCCAATCACCATCGGCTTGGTGAGCACGAAGTCACCGATTCTTCCGTGGGCAAGGTAGTGCACATCAGAGCCGCAGATGCCGACACTGTCCATGGCTAAAAGAACCTCTAAAATAGGGAAAAAATTATATTTAGGACATATACATTTTGGAAACTGAAAATTAAGCGCAAGTGCCATAAAGCCATTATATGATCCCAAACAGAAATAATTACTTTGGCAACTTCCATTAAATTTACAACCCATTGACTAGCATGAGTTGCCCTTTTTGTCATATCAGTAAACGATTAATTCATGTTCATTTGACCTTGAAACGTTTTTGTTTGAGGTAGGGGGTCATTAAGCTGATAAGAAAATATATTAAATACAAAATTAGTTAAACAAATCGTGTAAATCTCTTCCTATATTTCGGTGTATTTTTCACCAACAAATTTATATGACAGCCTTTTTATTACAATTTTTTTAAATTATTCAAAATACATATTACTTACCATCATCTGCTATTTCTGGAATAGGACGTTGTTCCTATTAATATAGAAGAAGTCGTTTATAATCCAATCTAGCAATGATGTCCCTTTCTGGCTTACCAATCGCATGTCCTCGATGCCGTACAGCACTGCCGTCAAATTATCCTTGGCCATTTTAGCTTAGATCGAACTTAGAGAACCACACGCTGGAAATGCCGATTTGCAACTGATTCAAATATTTTTAAACGTGCAATAGTGAACCCCTAAATTAGCGGTTATCAGTTGATAGCACAGTTGTGTGTGTGAAAACGTGACGTAGAAAACGCTGATAGCGATAACAAATAAATCGACACCACACCCACCTTCAATTTGCGGTCAAATGTTATCACTCTTATCACCACTTAAATACACCTGTTTGGTCGTTATTGTTTACATTTTTATTGCAGTGTAGTAAACGGGTATCCTAGATTTGTGCAAAAATGTAAACACCGAGTAAAAAGATTTAATGACAATGAATGACCTATAAAGACCGAAGCACATTTGGCTTAAGAAGTTAAAGCAAGGTAGCTTGACTTTAAAAGATCAAATGGGAATATAAACTTGATAAGCTATCTCCTGATCTTGAATATTAACGTTTGTAAGCCTTTTGGCGTTGCGTAATATACTTAGTGTTTATTCAATTGAATTATAAACGAATAATAAAATATTTTTTTATAAATTAATCATTCAAATTTTTCTTTCCAGCTTTATACTACTAAGTATCGGTTCCTTTTTGTTTTTTCATTTTATTCCGTTTCAGAACCCATTTTTATTCTTAAATTGAAGACTACTTGTCGTATACGTAATAATTCTGAATGCTTTTATTTGCGTTCTTTTGTTTACATAAATTCGGATTCGGATTGCAGAACATTTTATTTCAAAATGTCCATGACTGGCACACCTTTATATAAATGAAAAGCAGAGCACAACACCCCACTAATGTCCTTCGACGTGGGGAATGTACTTTAGCACAAATAGAGGATGTCCTCAATGTGTCATTGCGGACATTTAACAGAACATCAAAAGAGGTTGCGCCATAAATATGCAGACCCCAACTTCGACCCCTCAGCTAGTTCACATCCACCCCCAATCCGGATCTGCTGGTTCTCCTGGAACTGAACCATTTGTAATTTTTTGCTCGGACAATGGCAACGACAAACAAATTTTAGTCCACTTCTGTTTTATGGCAAATTAATGGAGCGACATGCTGCCCATGTTCGCAATGGAACTTCACTCCATGCACTCGAGCCTAGCAGGTGGCCCCAGCTTCCGCCCACTCCACTCTTACCCCCCGCTTTGGGCAGCCTGCCTCCCTTTTTCTCATCTGCGTTTTCTTCACACATGCCGAATAAACATGGCTTATTGCGTACCCTAAAATGAGGCGGTACTCTTTGATTTCAAACCGAATTTATACAAATTAAAAAAAAATTATATATTTCATGTTCATTATTTTTTTATAAAATAAAGAAAAGCAAATTAAAACCTTGTGTAATAATGTATACACTAATTAGGTGCTACTGAATTGGTACACTTTATATCCTTAGGATCGATTACTTAACATTTAATTTTTATCAATAAAGATATTAGCAATATATATTTACAATATATTTAATGTTTATTGGTTTAAAAGCCGTTATCGCCTCTGTACAGGGTATTCAAGGTTTTCAGTCCATGATCTTTATTGTCTTTTGTTTTAGTTGTTGCTACTGCCTCTGTCACTGATGTCGATTTTGCGCAGGCCGTATGTTTGGGTGTTGCTTTCTTTTGGCTTGGTTATGTGTTGCCAGGACGGGCTAACATATTGGACATTTATTATTTTTCGTGAGTGTTTTTGCTCGTCGAGTAAATTATGGCGGTCCGATGTGGGTGGAACTGGACCAAAACCCTAGCTACTAGTGATGGGAAGAAGCTGGTTCCCTGTGCTGAGGGATTTGTTTTTAGTACCATTTACATTAACACTTTCGTAACTAATAATCGTGCATATTATTAGCTACCCTTGTAATATCTAGGTATTAAGTTTATTAGCTATAAAATAAATAAATGATGGCTAGGTGCAGTATATTAGCGATTCTGTTTACTTTAGTTCTAAGAAAAATATTATTTAAACCTATACTGTAACCTTACTAATGTAAGAGAACTGCATCCCGTATTCATTGTCCATAATTTGGTAACCTAACAAAAAAGCTTTCCATCACTGACTCCACAATTTTTTATTGTTTGGAGCTTCTCCCTTACAAATTGGTTCGCAACTCTCTTCTCAGTTGACACTGAATGTTCACTGAATGTTTAGGCAGCTCAGATTAGATCTGTATTAGTTCCGTGATAAAACCGGCGGAATGGAATCGGATTCAAATAAGAGCGATCAAGGGTGGGGGTCAGTCTGTGGAGGCGCGTGGGAGGGGGCGTGGCGGTTTCGCAGGCGTGTTAAATTAATAATTGCATAAATTTTACATGTGCTGTTGCATGAGTTATGAACGAAACGGCATAAATCGCGAATAATGTGCACACTGGCCGTGCGAATATTTATGAGCGTGACTGTAAATCATCAAACCATAAACGCACTTGCAACGCCAACACCAAGCGGCCGCTATATGCACCGATCCTCCCGACCTTTTGCTCTCTTCCACTTGGGGTCGTGCACTATGAGAAACAAGTTCATGCTAAGCTTAGAAGACGATTGGTAAATGGTTCAAGATTGTTAAACACAGCGTTCACTTCTGTAAGTTACCCACAACGTTTTTGTAATATTTCATTTGTGATATCAAATGATATCGCAAATATTCAAATACTAATTTTCTTTTTTAACCATTAATAAACAATTTTTTCAATATATGTATAATAATTTCATAAAAAAAAACACTGGCAACATGTTAGAAAGGTTATCATACATATTAATATAATTATATATAGTATGCTATATAACACTTTTGATATTTATAGTAATATTTATTACCTTATGTACATTTTATGTTCACTGTTACCCGAGTAATTCCACAGGTCGAATCATATTTAAATAACCTGATGTCATTTTTTCCCTGAATGGTGCAATTCCGTTTGTCGTTTGAAATTTTCAAAAATTCTGCCATGATAAATGCGCGAACTTAATGAAGTTGCATAATTGTTAAAATACGATTTAAAATATTTGTGCATTTATGCATTAAATTATCCAAGTGAATGAAAACCTGAACTTATTTTTAAAATCACTGTGCGATTATTTTAAATTGGAATAAATTTAAAGACATTTATTACTGTACTATGTGTGTGCTTTTAATATTTAATAAAACGTAGACAATAATTGTTAGTAACTAAATGAAATTGTTGAAGTCAAATTATTTAATGTATTCCTTTGTTAAATAATGCAATCAGAATTCTCATTTTCGTCGAAAGCCTAAAAATATGCAGCACTTTTGAAATTCTGCAGTATTTTTCCAGAGAGCCAGGAAAACAAATATAGTACGCCAAAGATGTTGTCTTCAGAATGTCCTTCGTAACTGTCTTTGTCAATGAAGGACTTCCGGCAGCTCCCGGCCATTAGTCTTAATACACGCATGGAGATGAACCGAAATTTGCCCAATAAAAGTTCGATGCCATAAATTAAGAGCGCATCCTGCGCCATGTCCATGGCCCAGAGCCAAGGATACGAAGGATACCAGGCGCCAGCTGCCGAAACGGACGAAGGGCATTGGTTGGGGGTTTTGGCCAGGGGCGAAGGTGTTGACCAGTGGAGGAGGAGATATGCGATCAGTAAATACGTTTCCGTTCCGACTGCTAATACACTTCCTGCAGGACTCGACTTTAATTCTTAAACACACGCCAGCTGGTGATGGATGAAACCGAGGGGCCCCCAAAAAATAACGGGAGATACAAAGTCATTACTCTCAGCTGGTGCGCTGCAAACTCGCAACACTTTGATGTTTCAAAAATTATTTCATTTTCTATATCCTCCACTCCACTCCACTCCAGATGCAGCAGAAAAAGGAGCAGGACACTCGTGGAGAAGCCAGGAGGCCAGGACGCGGGCTTAGATTTATGGCCGGGAGCCAGACAAAGTGTCTGCGGTTCGGTCAGAGCCTTCAAGGCGAATTCTGCGGGCCTTTGTGTATCGTCCTTCCCGTCGCAGTTGCATAGTTTTCCACTGCGCTTTTCCCCACAGTTCGGCGAGCAGGAAAAGCGGCAAAAAGTTGAGGAATGGTGCAAACTTGGCCGGGTCACATGTGAGTCAAAGTAACGGAGACGTTGCAGCTGAAGGAGAAGATTGGTTAGTCAAGTTTTCCGCAGCGCCGATGCATCTCTCAAGACGAAAGTGCAGCGATGGCAAAAAAAGTTGAATCGGATGTCGGAAGCACTCCATTCAATCTGCAAACAAGCCGCAACTGCAGCGAAATGAGATATTCGTTTTTTATTTAAATTTCAAGGCGGCAGAAAAACATCTTTGTCTGGTATCTTGTGTCCACTGTTGCTCTTGGCTTTGATGCTTCAACAGAGTATGGCTTTATTATATTGTTTCTATAATGGATATTTCTAAAAATGCTTACTTTTACTATACGTTTTAAAAGACAAGTTCAACTCACATAACCGTAATAAATTTTTGAAATATTCACATTTATGTACGGTTGTGCACAACCAAATTCAGAATTTGTTTCGCCAAAGTGATTCTCATAAAAATCATTCATTTATTAAAAGAAAAGCGTAAAAAATCTATTTAAACTTTTAAAGCTTTGTTTTTATTTTATTTTGTATAGTTTATTAAGGCTCTTGTAAGAAAAAATTGTTTCTGAGAGTACATATTTTTTTTAATATACATATAATGCTTTTATTATACTATTAATTATTTACAAAATAAAGACGTTCAAAAAAATCACTTAAAACATGAAGTATTTTATTTAACATTTTTAAATTATTTAAATTTACAAAAAATAATTGACTCTTAAACGAAAAAAAACTCAAGCTGTGGTAGGTACAATATTATTTTTTTCTCTGTGTTTCCTGTTGGTTCTTCTGGTGATTTTTCTTTTGCGGCACCCAAGTTTTCCACTGCTGCTGAGTTTTTCACTGCAGCTTCCGGCGCGAGGAAGATGAATGCCTCGCCAACGAAAACACGATGACGCCAATAGTTTTTCCTTTCTCAGCTCAGTCTCAGCTGAGTTCTGCTTTTCCAAGTTCAGCTCAGCTTGTGGTCTCCAAGTTTT